CTTTTATATCAATACATTCTCTTTTAATATCTGCTTCTTTTTTAATCTTCATGTGTTTTTCACTTTATTTTCCTCCTAATTACTTTCTACCATAAGATTGTTCTGTGCGCTATTATTTTAATGTCTTTGTATCTGGAACACCGACGACTTTGTTTTTCACATCACAAATGTGAGTTTCGAATAAGGCCGGTAATTAGCTTATCGTATAATTGGGGATATTAACGTAAAATCTCATATTATAAGTAAGATAAATACTGTAATTGTGCAAAGGACTAAATTGAGTGTTAATACTTAATTGCTACATAGTAACAGCACATTTGAAAACCTCATTATTTAAATCAGAGCTCCCATTTAGTACTTTCTTGTGATGCTCATGAAAAAGCTACATCTTGGCTTTCCCCTTTCCATTGTTCATTGCATGTAAGTTGGAGGTCAAGCAACAAAATGCTTTCGAAACAAACCTTATAAAAACATTTGGTAATTCATTCTCAAGTTAAAATATATTAAAATATTTGAGATTTAATTTATAATACGATTATTCACGAGTTGATTTGAAGGTTTTGCATTAAACTTATATATTTTGTAACTTTTTTGTTTAAATCTATTACCCAGTTAATGGATGGGTTATTATGTTTAGGTTGTTGGGTGACTGTATAGCTGTTATGAGTCAGCACTGTGTTGAAAACATAATGCACGAACCTTATTGGAGCTATTACTATATACTTCAACAGTAATAAATGTTATAAACGATAAAAACCGCACTTAATACGTAATAGCATGCATTAAAATTCACATTTTCGTAAATATATCGTTTACTTTAAGTATTTGTTTATATGTTTTGTTTATAAAAACAAAGTGGTCGGCTGTGATATGAATGAGAATTCCAATTTGGCAAATAGCGAGTGGCTCACAACCAAGTGTCAAGGTTATGTACCACGTCACACCAAACACTGCCAAGTAGTGACAACTCGATGCTGGGGTGACGCATAGCTTTTTTTGTTTGGGATAATTATCAACGGTTTTATATCATTACATTATGTACGCGAGATATATTCCACGTATTGTTTGTGTTTGTGAAGCTCGCCACAAAGGTTTTTCACGGCTGAATGGTTCGTTATGAAAAGTTTTGAATCTGTTTAATTCATTCGGCGCTAATTAAACCGCTGTCGGAAGCGGTTTTGATGTTTTTTACACATTTTTTTTAATATTCTCAGCGGTAAATTCCTGAACGTAGTCAGCAGTCATTATAAATTAGAGTAGAATTTGTAACTACTTGATTCATGTTGACATAATACGTACATATATTACTTAGGTTTCTGTAGTAAACGTAACGGAATCACAATTAAATTGTTAAATATGGCTCTCATTTTAAATCTCGTCAGCCATATATGGTTGGTTTCTAACATTGTGAGAGTTAATGACTTCATTAAGATCAGTTAACTCACTCCTTTTCGGTTGTTACTCCAGTTTTAATATGTTAATTTGTCTCAAAAATATAAAGACCACTAAGGAAAAATTAAGTTAATTTAAATTTCATATATTATTCTTAAAAAATCTTCACCTACAAGTACATATAATCATTTACATTTGTTATAGGGAAGTAATGCGAATCAATGTTCGGTTAAATAAACTGGTGGCGTGATAGATTATTCAATGTGACAAATGGCATGCGTTTATCACATCTATGACACAGTATGATTTACAGTGCATGATGTCGGCTTACGGAACAGTCGGCTTATTGTAGTTTAATGGATCTGTCGCTTGACGCTTCATCACCCCATTCATAACCTTCGCACTTGGTACTCAGAACATAACTTTGTAGCGTTCGTTAATTTCGGGATTACTGACATTTGAAATTGTACCCAAAATAGAAAGTTCTAATTTTGTTAGAAATTTGTAATTTTTAGTCAAAATACGTATATAAACAAGCTATTATGAAACTACAACAATACATGGCATAAATTGTGTTTAAAGTGACAGGGCTTATCGGTTATCGTGCAATCAGCGACTGTTGACACAATGTTATCAAGTAATCACTAACGAACGGTCTGTGGGGGCTTTGACGTGAGACTAACAATTCGTACCTCACAGAAACTATGGATTCAGAAAAAACTGGACAGAAAATAATAAACAACAATAATTTTATATAAACAAAATGTTATGAATATTTAATCAGCCGGAAACATCTAAAATAATATAGCTGTTAAAAAGCGTTATATGATAGGAAACATTTCCGACGACAGTAACTTAATACTTCAACTGATGGCTGGCATTAAATGAAAATGAATCCTACACATTAACATATAAAGGTGAGAATAGATCTAATTCAGTTATAAAGGGTAATAATTCCTACTGGCCCCAGGGTATTAGCGACGCTGTCCGCCCCACTTTGTGTATTAACTCCGACTGTTTAAACTCCTAAAACTCATAATCCAATAAGGCCGTCATGTGTCCACTTGAGTGGAAATTTTATTTCATCAATGTTATTATTACAAAAATACACATTCATAAAAAACCCGCATACATTTTATGCGTAAAATTTTACCTAACAAGTTAAATTTATATTTTATCTTGTACTAATAATTTTACATACTAGAAAACAATTATAAACGAAGCATGTCATTTAAGCAGGTGACAAAATATTTGACTTGATAATACTCAAAACTGTCTAAAATACATCCGTCTTCGGTGACAATAGAAAAATATTTATTATGTCGACGTCTGGAAAGAACAATGAGAGAAAAATGAGCTAACAATGAAAATTTGGCTCGAAAACATGAAACACAAAAACACAAAGCAGACATCTTATTTATCATCTACAAATAAGCAGACGTTGAAACAAAAGCGTGTTCACGTGGCCGAGGGGGGCAATTAGAAAGGCTTCGAGACCGTGTGGGGATAGGTTCTGGGGGAGAAGTGAAAATAAACTATCGGATTCCACTTCCGATACAATTACAAAACAATGTTGTACAGCAGCGGCCGGCTGACCGCAGCTGATACCTAGCCACCGAATCCGATGGCTCGTTACTTTATAATCGGTTTCGCAGCCAACCTCGGTTTTTGCAAGACCTAGTTAGATCATTCCAGAACACTGACAACGCGGAAGATTCTGGTTTTTATACAGTGAAAATACGAATCGCGTGAAATAACGAGGAAGGCGATTTGTTTTATCAATATTAATGACTTTAAGCAATCTATATCGGATTTTTAATAGTGCGAGAGAGAGCTTTTAACTTCCACATTAATCATGATCGATTCGTCGCCTCGATATGAAAGTAAACAATCGTAAACACCGCTTGCAGTATGTTTCTAGATGAGATGATATGAGTAATAAGATACTTTCTTTTATATAATTATGGCAAACAGAATGATAGTTTCTCTTAGGAGACAGTACAATGTAACACGAGACAGAAATTCATAAATCTCGGCTGGTCATAACATGAGAAGTAATTCAAACTTCAAGGCTATCTTCAATTCATAAATTATTTATTTTAAATGTACTATTTGATAAACAAGTCACTTGGAACCGAATTATAAACGGATTAATTTAACAAAGTAACAATATTAAAACCATTCCAAAGCAGATGTCCTAATACCCATTGTTCAAGCGAAGTGTGAAAGCTTATGCTGAATGAAGGTTTTTATATTCAAGTTGTCCTTAATTTTCTCCTTGGCACCACAATCATTGCAAAACAATAGTGAAAGTGGCATACGACGCCCTCCCCTCTAAACAAGTGTCACAATGAAAAACCCTTACATTTATGCGACAACAAAAATCTGTTGAGCAACATAAAAGCTTTTCGCCTTGAGCGTTGCGATCCATTAAAGACACTTTACAAAGACTTGAAGAGCATAAGTTACGACAACCACAGTAACGGGAACCCCAAGTTTGGATTCTGTCAGAGTATATGTCTGTACACTAGGGATCAAGTGCTTCTGGTTGATTGTAAATACTCATGTTTCAGAATAAACACTCGTCGTACGTCAGAAGCGTGTGACCCAATATAATAAAGTTTTTACGTTCCAATCCATGACTCGCACAAACCACATGACAAAAAAATACGAGAACAAAATAACATTCAACCTTGAACGAATTTAATATTAGTTACATGATTATTGGCTACAAAAAAAGTGACAAAACTGAAATTATAACAATATTTTTTATATTTTAATGTTAAAATAGATTATTTTGGCATTTTATTTTAATAACATATTTACAGTTAGAGTAAAAGTACGAGCAAGTGACAAGTTCATGTCCAACAAACGTGACTTTATATAATGCAAGCCGATATGGCTTTCTTATCTGGAAGTATTGCTATTTATAGAAATGACACAACCGAATAGGCAGTTTGAGTCGTATTATTTGACCACGATCTACTTAGAAACAAAATATGATAAATTATAGCACTCATTGAAATGTAAGGTTTAGTTCACTATTAAATAAATAGTGCAAGTAATGATGATGCATTTGTGTATATAAAATTATAAATAAAACTGAACAAGGTTTTACGCAGAAATTATTTATCATCCTATATTTAACTCTTATTTATTTATTTATTTAGAACTACCAACAAAAGACACAATAATTCGTGTACAGCAGTAATTATAGTAATACATTTCAATTGTTCTTTTACTTACAGGTAATTACAGCATGCAATTTGTTATAGGCAATCAACGACTAACAGAGTTACATTAATAAAAATAATAGACATTCAATTGTGTAAAAAAAAACATGATTACAAAAGACAGGATATTTTTTAATTTTTGTAAAAAATAAAAATTGTAAAAAAGGAGAAAAGCTAGTAAAACTATATAAGAATTCCATTAAATAATCAAAGTACGACGTAATGGTGTCAAAAAATGTTCACAAGTATTAAAAAAAATCACGATATAAAAATAACATATAAAAAAAATATGCACAGTTTTTTAGATGTGAGGCGTTTTTATTCTTAAAGGACTCTTCCTTATAAAATCTTAATAATAATCTGAAAGGTCTTGCATCATATGCTGCAAGGTAATACTATAGAATATAACTCACCAGGGTTCCTCATGAGTTGATCGTAAACGGAGATGGCCACGGCATCTTCACTCACAACATCCCACAGACCATCGCAGGCCACAACCACGAAGTCCTCGTCCCCATCTAATTCAACCACCACGATCTCAGGCTGCGCCGTCACATACGGCTTGTATTGAGCGTTACCTACATCGGATTAACAGAAATATTTATATTTTATTACTGTCATTGGTAACATAAAAATGAAACCCTTAAATTCATTCAAAAATTTCCGGCTTAATTGCTGAATAAATTTACATTCAAATATATTTGCATTTTTATTTCTTATGTCAATTTAATATTCATGTTTATTCATGGTGTTTACTGTAGTATAATATATTTACATATTTAATTAAAATATTTCGGATATATGAAAAATACGTTGAAAACTAAAACTGCAATCAAATAAATGAGGCATTTCATTAAAAAATTTGTTAAAACTTTAGGTCATTAATGTGAGGAAACTAATTTCAATCAAGCAATGTAGCGTTAAATTCTGACGGATCACTGTGACCAAGAATGGGGGGACGGAGGATGGTTGCGGGATCAAATCTCCCGTGGAACGCTCGGAATCAATGGGACTTATACAGGGGGTAGCCCGCAGTCTGGGAAGACAATGTCAACACTCCACTATTGTTACACCGCTCATACATAGAGATGGGTAATAGTCGATAAAAATATATTTATTATTAATAAACATTTTTTTATCGATAGTATTTTACGTAGTTTGAAACAAAATTTGTGGTTATTTATCGACTGTTCTGATTGTTCTAATTTAGGATACAAGGAAAAGTTTCCATTTAATTGGAATCGTGACTAATATGTCTGTCTTTGCAATTACTTGGGCAATAGTTTCATTGTTCAAAACAGTCCGTATTTCTAGGAAAAGAATCATATTTTTCTGTATACATGCATGTTGTAATGATGAAATATATTTTAATGGTGTCTGTTCGCTGTAACGTTAGTACACCATTTCCTAATGCGACATTTACGTACATACAAAACGTATTCTTACATTTTAGAACAAAACAAGCATAACTCTTAATTTCATTAAACTAAAACATTCTAGGACAGTGTCGAGCGTGGTGAAATCATAACATATGTAGATTAAAGAAATAAAATATTGTTTTCAATATATGTATTTTATTGAACGTTATCCTTATTATCTCTGATTAAAATTGAATTATTTATTATAGTATTGTAGACTATAATGAGAATATTTCGTACGTTCCTAAACCACCGACACTCGTATCCCATGTCTATGAGTACAAAGTGCATTGATCGATAGTTGCAGGCGGGGCCCGTCTCACAGGCACCCGACGCGCGCATCCACGGATTGCAACTTACACCATAAGACCTACCTACCCCGTATTAACAACTTTAATATCTTAATGAACTCTATAGATATAGTATTCTATGAAAACATATTTCATTTACAATGTAATTCGTTTAAATTTAAGGTAATTTCAAATCATGATGTTATCAAAGCATAAGAAAATTCTTTTATATGTAATTGAAACTAAATTTAGATTTTTTTCGTCTCCTTATATAAAACATATTTATAATCTTTAACTAAAGAAAATATATTTATTATTTTCAATAGCAAAGTATTCTGAAACGCAAGAAGATAATGAAAATCATCAAAATAGCAAAAAAAATTTGGTAGAAGATAGGAAGCTTGTAAAATTTAAATAACAATGTGATAATAGTACTAACAGTTGGTATGTTTAACTCTTTAATACACTGCGATATGACAATTTGTCATCATCCCTCCTCGTAACAACTTAATGGAGGACACACGACCCGTACGGAGAGGGCTCGATTATTATAATATGAATTTATTATAAACAAAAATAGTAGTAGGCGAATAGTTTAGAACTTTAATTAAAATATAAAATGTTACAACTTATATAATAATTCTATAGACAAAAGATATAGTTAATATTTAATATTTTTGGAACACTTCCTGGTACAAAAAAAAATATGCAACATTTTTTAATACTTGTAATTCCGCTCGTGAATTCGAAATCCTTGGATTGTATTTTAACAAGGAATAATATCTTAAATTTCTTAATTGAGAAACCATAAAATTACTCTATCTTATCAGAATCATCTTATATTATTAACAATATCTTTGTTATATTGATGGATCATAAATCAAGTCATTACGCCAACAAGCGCCCCGCCCTGGCGCTAACCCGATAACAATAAAACAGCTGATTAAACCGACGCCGTTTAACAACTCACTTGTACTTACATACTTTTTAAGGGAGAAACAGTGACTATATATTTCTTATTGGTATTTTTTTACTATAATAAACACCAAATAATTTTTCCTTTAATTTTTACATATAATTCACGGACAGATTTCTTCATAAAACTCTATTCTTAGACAAGTCTTTAATATCAGTCGATTTTGCGGATATTGTCATTAATGTAGGTGTTTCAGAATTTAATATTTATTTAATTCTATCGAACAGACAGTGTCTTAGACAGTACGTACACGTTAAGTTATAGAGTTTAAATCATGGGAACGGACTAAAATGGAAAGCAGGTTAGGGCTTGCGTTCTCGCTTATAGTACGAAATGCTACTGTGTTAACTACTTGACCCCGACCTTAGATAGTGCTGCTCTTCTTGAGAAGATCGCTCGTATATACAACATCAGTAATAGCAACTTAGTTCAGATTATTAACAACCCAAAACAACTATTTATTGATTTTGAGTACTACAGCTAGCCTTAGTTTGAGATGAAAAAGTTTCTTAGAAAATTTTCAGACTACTCGATTTTCAAATAAGTATTCCATAAGAATCATCACTTCTAATATTGATTGATAACTTATAATTTACTTGTCTGTTATATTGCATAGCCTACCTTATGAAGTACTTTTCGTTTTTATTCATTTATCTTTAACTTTATTGCACACACATAGATCCCTACTAATATTATAAATGCGAAAGTAACTCTGTCTGTCTGTCTGTTACGCTTTTACGCCTAAACCACTGAACTGATTTTAATGAACTTTGGTACAGAGATAGAGTTGTCCTTGAGAAAGAACATAGGATCGTTTTTATCCCAGATTTTTAAAAGGTTCTCTTGGAAACGCGATATAACCGAACTTCAAGCAGGCGAAGCTGCGGGCGGAAAGCTAGTAAATGTGTAAACGGTCAACTTTATGCTAAGACGCGTTCCGCACCTTAGCATAAATCACGTAACCTTAGTGATATAGAAAAGTAACGAATGATAATGAGCTTTAGAAGAAACAGAAGTAATTGAGATGTAACATAAGGAAAATTTAAAAAGAAATTCAATTAGAAATGGTAATTTACATTTTAATTATTTAAATATATAGGAGAAAATAGTATATCACTTAGCAAGACCAGAAACTAAGTACCCCTCACTTATTACTCTGTCCGAAAGTCCGACGAAGATGGAGCAAATCGAAACTGATATTAGGCATCAAGAAAAAATCACCTATTATCATTCGTATTATATGCCACGGTAGTGTTTGAAATACTTCCAATTTTACGTGTATAAGATCACTCAATACAATCTCTAGCTTTTAACTTTGCAGATCCCTCACTGTCGTAATACATGGACCATAATTTTTCGCAAATCTTTATATATTTGTTACATTACTCATTTTCTAATATTTTTCATCTGTAATTTTTGTCTACGCCAGTCACAGTACTCATATATCTCACTAAAACATTTAAGTCCTCGAGTCCTTCATTGGATCTATCTTTAGGCATCAGCTACCAGTTGAATTAAAGGAATTATATCAATATAGACCAACCCTTGAATTTTTAAACCCATACTTACACCAAAGAATCACCATACTCTTTAGTCTGCGGGTACGAAACTTGCGATGGCCGGAGTGACGGCGGGGCGGGTCGATGCGGCGCGGGACGACGAAATAGCGGTGTCTTGCGTGTGTACGAAACAAACTTCTCCGTAGACGCGCTCACGTAGTGTTGTGATAAACATGAATTCACGTCGAAGAGTACTATTGGAGCCCAGTCTCCTAATGAGAGGATTTTATAGCCTAGAGATGGTGTTTTATTTCTTCTCAACACTTTATTATTACTCTTTTGTTTTAATAGTGTACGTTTTCACTGTCCCATATTAAGCCAGTTTTGATAAAATAAACGATATTAACTCTTCATTGTCAATTTCCATAATTTCCATATTATTACTGTGATAAAAATGCAACACTATTGTACTCGCTCGAGCGGCGAAATCAAAATAGTTTGTTCCCGTCGCCCCGCTCCGCCACCGCTGTAGCGTCGCCCGTGCATCGCTCGATCGCGCCGCTCCGCCGTCGCCCGTTTTGAACACAGCGCTTACTGTTTTTAGTGCATTTGATTTCATCGCCGTCGCCCCGAGCCGCCGTCGCTCCAGCCGTCGCAAGTTTCGTACCCGCAGACTTAGAGTCTTTTTATAATCACACATTATCACCTATAACGTTGAGATCAATTCTATACTTCTCTGATAATTCTACAAATAAAATATTATGTCTCTCGCATGAGAGAGTCCAACTATATTTACTGTGCCGAGTAATCATTTGAAACGTTTACTAAACAGTGTAGTTTTGTATAGAATTTAAGAATATTTCATATAAAGAGTTTTATAGTGACATAAATCTTATATATAAAATGAATTACTTGCATGTAATAAACACTAAGTTATATAAAATATATATTTCAAAGAGGGATCGCCGTTATGCATTTTAGTATATAATTACATATATTTTTGTATGTTCATATGATTTGAACTTAGGACCATTAATATACCCTTATACTTTATATGACTTCTAAGTTTAAGTATCCAAAATTTTCCTACTAATAGTCAAAACAAAAACTTCGTCAAAGTCTTCACTTATGTTAACCTCATCTGTAGTCATTCAGTATCATTAGTCCACATAAAGGACATTTTATTAAAACACCGAAAAAATTCCACAGCCGCTTTATACATTACGCTATAAAACAATATTCTACTACTATAAGCAATTCGTACAATTGGCACAATCATACTCATTCGTATGGAGTACCTAATTTCACTTTGGGTATAATATTTTCATTTCATATAAAAATATTAATAAATATAAATATATTATTAGTAATACATAATGGAGGAAAATATTTCAACAGTACATTCAACCGCAACCGAAGTCAAGTTATCGATGTGTTTGTGTTGGCGAAGAATTTGTCACGCTTAATTATGACGTAATGACATTGAGATGGATGAACCTTTTATTATGAGAGTAAATCAAGTGAAACCTATCATTAAACATCCATTTTGTTGGATGCTTCTAACTAATGAAGCTCCGGATATCCGTATCCAAGGATATCCGATTGGAAGGATCTTTATCCTTAGCCGGTCCCTTTTTACTTATAGTTTAACTCATTAGTTCTCATTGTACGAATGAATATCTATATACATGTACATGACTAAGAAGCAATTAAAAATATTTAATTCACATAGATAATAAACGCTAGAGAATATGAACAATCTATAACGCAATTTTAGAAGAATATTTTTAATTAATTAATTATTAATTGCTATTTTATTCTTGTTGTCTTCTATTCCGTTTGTCTTTATCTTGCGGGTTATAACTTTATAATATTGTTTATGCTAAGATAAGGCTCGTTAATAACGCGTTGAGGTAAAAAACTTACTTTAAAGGTAACTTAAATTCAAATTCTTAATCAAAATTCTATAATACTCGTATGTTATCAATTTTCATAACCATAGAACTTAAAACAAATATCTATATACGAATCCCACACAACTATGCCGCACACATCATTATTTCTCACGCACTACTACCAAGTATTATTAAAAAAGATAGCCAACACTATACAGTTTCCACAAATCATTCGAATTTTAAAAAAATCTAGCCGTTCTTAAATTATGTTTTATATATATTTCCTATTTCAGCTACATTGTTATGCTATATGATAGTGTACTCACCAATAGCCCTGGAAACAGCTAGCTGTCCATTGACCCGCCACGTACCCATGTACATCACGATACCACCAGACGACTGGATACGGATCGTTTCATCCTGACAAACACACATACATCACATAATTACTACAATAATATTAATATTACACATGACACATCTCCAAACTAAGTATTTTATTCCTGATTGAGTAAAACCTGTACTGAGTAAATTTCTATCGTTCATCTATCGCATGTCGCATTACAGCTTGTTGAGGAAAATTGAATGGCCCTAGACAAATCTTTTTTTAGAACAGACAATCATGCACCAGTGATTTAAATACCATTTTGTTTAAAATCAGACAATCAATGTTAAATATGTATCAGTTTCTAACATTTATTCATTTAACACGCAGGTTAAAATCGAAATTTATAATTGATATCTAGTCTTTCATTTATATTCTTTTCCTAGTAACCTAAAAGAAACGTAAAATACTATATTCATATCCTATACTAAATAACACTAGTTAATTTTCAGCTAAACGCCTACTACCTTTAAAAAAGCGATTAACTTGCATCATATCACAAAAAACCCTACTATAAATTCTATTTTCTATATAAACTAATTTTGTATAATCCTACTAATATTATAATTGCAGAAAGTTTGTGAGTGTGTGTGTATGTTTGTTACTTCTTCACGCTCAAACGGCTGAAGCGATTTTGATAAAATTTTGTATAGATGAAGCTGACGTCTAGGAATAACACATAGGCTACTTTACATCCCGGAAATCCCGGATATCCGCGGGTAACACCGCGGGGCGCAGCTAGTATTTTATGTATACTAACAGGTCTGTCCGGCTTGTGTGGGTTGACGAGCTGCATGAGTCCCATTCTCTTGACGAGTAACGCCAGCGAGTCCCCGGCCCAGGCCGCCGCCAGCCGGCCGCCGCGCACGCACACCACCACCGCCGTACTACCGCCCGCCGCACGCTGCACAGACACACACACACACACCGTACAGTTACACACACATATAAATATACGTAGAGAGCTTATACATTAGTGCCCATAAAAATACACACACATATAAATGTATGTAGACAGCTTATACATTAGTGATAATACTAGATGACGTGGTATAAGTTTATATTACAGAATCTTACAGAATGCTGAAATCTTCGCATATAATGGCTATATTTTTTTAAGATAACTTTAAAATTGTAATTTTTCTAAGTAAATCGTTACATACAAAGACTATTATTTGGTGATATTAACTTTTATTTATAGCTTATTATTATGAAACAAAAGGCAATAGTGAATTAGAGAGCTTTATTTGTAGGAAATAGACAAAATAAAATTAGTTATCAACTACTACGTTACGGTACTGTTGTAATCTGATAGTATATCTTGTTCCTCGGTAATTATCCCTAGTAACTCTGTCTGTCTGTCTGTCTGTTCCATTTTCCACTGAGCTGATTTTAATGAAATTTGGTACAGAGATAGAATTGACCTTGAGAAAGAACATAGGATAGTTTTTATCCCAGACTTTTGAAAGGTTCTCTTGGAAATGCGAAATAACCGAACTCCGCGCGGGCGAAGCTGCGGGCGGAAAGCTAGTAATATTTATATTAATAAAAACAGTTTGCTTCGTTCGTCACCTTTTGATGGCTTTTCCTCACAAACTCAGCGTCGGTTCTGATGAAGGCGTCGTGTAGTGCTTGTTGTAGATCCCTCCTGAAGTACGGGCTTTCCACCAGGTATTGGTGAAGGTGTGCGGCGCAGTACGTGGCCGCGGCTGAACCTGCGTGGCCGTCGTACACCGCGTAGAAACCAGTCGGCTCTGTGGTCTGAGGAAGACGGAATAAATGTTATAACAACAGGCTAAGGAGACATTTTTTGGTTATTAAATAGACTATAGAAATTAGGATGGAGCAATGAACTATAAGAGATTTTTAGCTCTGTATTAAGAATTAAAACTGTAGTGATTTTTTAATTCATTATAATATTTATTTCTTCATTTGTTGAGTTTGGTGTACAAAAAAGATTCTGTCAAATAATTAAAATAATGTTAATAGAAAGGTGATTCAAAAATTTAAAAATAAATATAGTTCTAGAATAATGGATAGCATATAGCTCGTTAAGAAAACCATAAAATCGATTCTGCAATGGTAAATTACGTTTTACTAAATCTTTACCATGGTAGAAAAGTCACTAAAAAGAGACATATTTACGTCAATTTACAATGAACTAGATAATCATTCAAATCTAAATAAATAATTTTTCTGAAATATAATTATGAATGGGAATAAACTAGATAATTCTATCTCTATAGTTGGGTAGCCGATGGCTTTCGCAGTGGTTTTAGTGAGTAGGGGCCTGCCCAGGCCGAGCCTCACACATCCCCTCCGGCCCCACCAAGGCCGGTTGGACGGCTCGTAAAGAGTTTCCCTGCCTCATCAAAAAAAAAATCTCTATAGTTGGGTCATTAACCTCTATTCCGAACAAGGCCTCCAGATTGCTGATCTCAACGTGCCTATCTTCCATTACTCTCCTCAAGTTCTTCACAGCTGATGAGGCGCTGCGGTGACCTCTCTGTGACATTGGAGGCGGTGGAGGTAATGTATCCAACTTGGAGTTGTCCAAGTACCTGAGACACACATCGTTGACCTTCGACGTAACAGCCTGCATCAGACGCAGGGCTTCGTATTCTGGAACACGAAGCGATAAACCGATTAGAATACAATGAAACAGCCGCAGATAACACGACCGTATAGAGAGTTATAGCGTTCACACCACGAATTCGTAATCATTTGTTGATTTGGCAACAGCATTTAAATTAAATAAAAATTCCTATAAAATGTATGTATGTATAATGCATCTCATGTTAGGAATATTTTGATAGAACATTTCTCGTTACCTATATGACTTACTAATCAAAAATCAGAAGGAAAAGTTTAGTCCATAAATATTTTAGCATAATACGATTGTGTAACTAAATGTTAGCTATAAATGTAACCGGTCCTGTTTCAGCGGAGGTCAGATGGCAGAATGGAAACCGGTAAACCAACCTGTTCATGTGGACTATATTAATATGCAGAATCGTTACCAACAGGAAACAGGATAGAATGGCACTTAGGCTATTCGATATATTGATATAGACTGCACGGAGCCTTTGTTCTTAATATATATCCATTTTATATACAACAATCTTATTATATAACGTATATGGGTATGGGTATTATGGGTAATAAAGACAAATACACTCCCTCCAATTTTAATGATATCATTTTAGCGTTATTTCAATTGATTTGAGTTTTGAATATATCTTTATGATATTGAAACCGTTAAAGTTTGTAGAGATTTGGATGTGTAGGTGTGAATGTATCAATATGATTGCGTGGAAGTCTTCCACAAAAAACTTCAATAAGGATTTAATAATAATAAAACGTTGATACAACTCACAATAATGCAACATGAGCTACAATTAGGACATTCAAATTGATTAAATTTCCACGATAACCATGAAGGTAAATTTCCATTGCAAACGTGCTACTGACAAAGATCTCATGATAACAAGCACGGTAACTATCGGCTTCAAAATCAACATAAATATAATTCCTCCTCTCTTTGTCTTGGCATTAGAATAGAAATTGAATTACGTTAGTAAAGTTATTATGTATCCTTTAACACAATGCAAATGTTCGTCCAATGATAGAATGGTAACATTATGACGTCATCCGGACGAATCCAATGTGTGAACTATGAACTAATGTTGACTCTGCGATCATTATGCTTAACATGAGTTAAAATAGTCACAACTCACACTACTTACGGAGAGTTAACAGTCGTTTTCCTTATTAACGTAGGTCATTGAATAAGAAACGTCAAAAACTTCGTAATTAGTGTCACTATGCAATCTTGTACTAAGGCTACGGTCATATTTTATTTTTAAAGGTTTTAAAGAGAATTTAATCCTTTCATAAAAATATATAATACGTACAAAATAATTGCATGTTTTTAATGAGTTTTACATCAAAGTCATCATGGTTCTAATATGAAACAACATACTTATGTAAACCCGTACGAGATTACGCTTTCAGAGTAAAATTAGCGCATACTCATTACAACTTTTACGACCGTAGAAGTAACAAGAAGCACTGCACCTTGTGTTTTGTATTTTTCATTAAAATATACTTAGATTAATTAATTATAACGAGCAAAATAATCCAAAACCTTTTATATCCTAATGTGAATTAAGTCTGTGTATATGTATTATACACTATAATTTATAAAACCAATATGATACTTATCTGGGACATATTTTTTTAAGATCTCGTATGTTTTTCATCTTAATTTTCTAATATTTTGCTGCTTTTAAAATTTGTATGACATTGAAAATAATGTGAGGTAAGGCAATCGTCATTTCTATAAAACCAATATGATACTTATCTAGGACATATTTTTTTAGATGTCGTATGTTTTTAATCTCAATTTTCTAATGTTTTATCGCTTTCAAAATTTGTATAACATTGAAAATAAAGTGAGGTAAGGCAATCGTCATTTTCATTGCAATAAAACTATAGTTATCTTAAAGCTGTCACAATATAAAATCTTCATATTGAAATTAGCCCTTCAATGTATGAAAATCAAGTTAAATCTTGATATGATTGCTTACCGCATTTGTCTGTATCATAACCGTATTCATCGGGATTTTTCTTCGCTGCTATTAACACCTCGTCAAGTACTATTCGCCGAAGCGTTGTCATCAATGTGGGTGGGCAATTTCTGAAAGCAAAATAAAAGTATAGAAAAATCCATTTATTAACAATATGCGTACAAACACGCATAATTGTGTGTATTAAAATCGTTGTGACAAAATATTCCATGAATTGAAGCTGATTGTTTTGTATTGACCGTGTATTAATGCGTTTGACCTCAAGTTCAAGGTTGCTGTGATGCTGTGTGATCTTTAATTTATATTCTTTTATCGACGAGAAGCGGTTTGTATCGGACATTGACCTATTGGATCACGATTGATAGCTTAAATCTTACAACCAAAAATACTTAATATTATTACTCAATTTACCATTTTTTTTTTATAAGACCGAAGTAGGAAGCATTAACGAATGAAATTTCAGAATAAATATTTCCCTGCTGTTGTAAAGCGGAAAACAAATATTGTATACATGTAATGACGTCACAAAATGATAAACTACTCCAGGTCCTGTGGTTCAAAGATGTTTGTCAATAATATGAGAACCTAGCATACTTCATTAAATAACAATTAATATTTTTTTGTAAGACTTCAAAATTATAAAAAAAAACGTGTAGTAATGCTTCACGTATTAGTTTCATTTCACAATTAATAATTCAAAACAGGTATTTTAGTAAAGGGTTATTCCAAAGGGGTAGTTTCGTTTTTAAAGACTATATTGAAGACTTTAAAAGTACACATTTAAATGAAGCTGATTTTCGGATTATGCTCAACTATAGCGACACACTCATTTCCTCATCACAGAACACACTTCATCTCGTCTGCCCGTAATCACTATAGTCGCATAGAAGTTGAAACGTCGCTAAAATTTACAATTGTAAAATAGTAAAAGGCACAATCCGAGAACCATAGCTTTGTTTATATATTTTAGTACTCTGAAAGCAAAAACAATAAATTATCTGATAAGAATGACAGCTTTAGCTTTCTAGATAATTTTAATCACGATACAGGAAGTAACTAGAAGCTGGAATATGGATCCGAAAACCTTACACCTTTTATAAGCACAAAAGTTGGCTCTAAAAGGTGGCCATTGTAACCAGTTTGTAACAAGAAATGGAATATTTTTATAATCAATGTTATTACGATTTTATTGAAGGAGATATGTTGATATTTAAAATATAGAAATTATTCATCCAAAGTTGGACAGCAAAGAATAATCCATAGGTCGATACTAGTTTGAAAACTTTGGCAAAACATTTCGAGAGACTCGTGTTTTCTTTCCTTTAAAATACTTGCATAGTGAGAAGTTTTCACAATTTTCAAAACTTTTCCATAGCTGCAAGATAGATTCGTACAAAGCAATGTTACTAACACTTATTTCCATTATAACAATGCTTTATGAAAATATTTTTTAAATCTGATTACAAAGACTAAAAAAAGGGTAAAATACAATGAAAGCAGTTCAACGAACGTAATTATGTCGTCCTCATGATTGAGATTCAGATAAAACATATTTTGTGATAACAAATAATATAACAAAAAATATTAATTAAACTTCAAAGTCTTACTAGTAAAAATAAAGCAATACAATAAAATAATTTACATACAAAATACACAAACCCTTCAATTAATTATGTTAATGAGGTAAACAAGAGATCGAGTATCGATGGCATTTCACTGGCCTAAGTATTGTGTTTGTGAAGAATACAACTAACTCGCAAGTTTTTATTCCATAGCAGAAATATTTTTAACAATATAAAAATAAAAGGACATATATTATTTAAGTATTTACAACTTTATTAAAGGTAAAACAAAGTTGCTAGGAAATTGTTAAAGATAACTTATATAAAAATACTAGAAACTCCAAAAATTTAGATACCTTCAAATTATCAACAATATGATTAATATAAAAAGAAATAATAAATAACCTGTACTTATTAAAAATCATTTAACGACAAAGCTGGCACGCGTATGGCACTATCGAGTAATCATACGCAGCAACACCTAATACATCATTTCGAACAAATTTAAACTAATACAGAGAGCCAAAATTCATCGCAAGAAAAATTGGCTTTCAAGTGAAAAAATTTGTCAATTCGTTTAGGAACTACGATGCCATACCTCCCCTCTTTTTCGCGTCGGTGGTTAAAAATGAGCAACAATTCGATCTTTTTGTCTCATTTTTACAAAGTACGGTATGTTGATATTTTATTAAAAGTCTATTTTGGTTTATCCCATAATAAAGCTTGATTTACACCATAAGTGCTATTATAATAGGATCGTAGGGTAGACTCACGTCAGCCATTACATTTAATAGTTCTGCACTGTGTAAAAGCTTGGGATTACTTTGTAGTTTTATTACAACATACTAAACTAAACATACTCTGGTTTATTCACAAAAAAAAACTATTTATTTGTGATTACATTATTGCAATATCTACTTTAAGTTATATAATCACAGATTCTTTACAGCTTCCTTCATGTCCAGATTCAAAATATTTTGTTTATAATAAAACATCTTAACAAAAGTACAAAGGGTCAAACTACAATACCTTCCTACAAATTACCAACTTTAAAAGCATGAATGAAAAATAAAGAAAAAAGAGTAAACAAGGAACCGGTTTATAGGATTTAAGAAACCTAAAACCAACACAAAAGCTGCATATTAAATGGCTGCTAAAATAAACGAAAAAAATTTAGCTCCTGTTGTTTTATCTTTGTAGGTCCTCAAAATTAAATTATTTAATATTTGTTACTTAATTAAAATTTTAAAGAGTATGTTTTATAGATGGTAAAGCCTAGCTGTAGTCAGTCACTACAGCTCGAACATGGGCTGGCTCGACCGGGGAAGTACCACCCTCTCACAGAAGATCGGCGTGAAGTAGCCTTTAGTGGCTGCGTTTCGTCCGATGAGTGAGAGAGCCGGTTGCCCTTTCCCTATTCCCACCCTTTCCTACCATTTCCTTATTCCCACCTCTCCCTATCCCTAAAAAAACAAGGTTGGCAAAGCATCCACAACGATGTTGTGGATGTCCATGGGCGACGGTAACCACCTTCCATCAAGTGGGCCGTCTGCTCGTTTGCCACCTTTCACATAAAAAAAAATGTATCACTTAGAAGAGTCATTTTTTGTTGGGTTATTTCAGGAAACTCAAATCTTGCATTTAAATATTAGTCATAACTTGATTGATTGCTTGGGATTTGTTTTTCGGGCTTACAAATTGATATTCAAGCTAAAACACAAAAGAACTAACTTACGAGTTCGTGTTAATCGTAAACGCTTTAAAATATTTGTAAATTGTAATATGCTCGATTTTACTTCGTTCATTTTATTATTAACGAGTTAAAGAAGATACATTTTACCTTGGAAAATAAAACCAATCTGTTCATTATTTTGGACATCAGAAAAGTCATGTATCTAAAATAATTAGTGTTAATAATGAAGTATTGTAACCTAACATTTAAATAGTATTCGAAAAAAATTCTTAATCCTTTTTTTTCACTATGATCAATTGGATCAAGTGAACAATATAATCACTAATCGATATTTCGAAACAAATCTCTAAACTTAGTCTCTTTATCACCCGATATATAATAGAAGCTTACAATAACAACAATAATAATATGTAAATGTATTCTCATTTTTTCCAGACATTATTACGTTTCAGACATAATATTGTTTGTCACAGCCGTGTCTAGGTTTCGACTGTATTTACCGTCATCTTCCGGTCCATTAACTCTCCACGATGGAGGATAAACGTCGCCGGTTCTTGCTTTTATAGTTATATCTTAATTCATACAATTCTATTGTATTATATATTTAAACGCATTTGAAGTAGCTTCCTATTTCATCGGAATGATTTGAAGGTACATTAACATCAAAAACACATGTCAGTTCCTTATATTCGTTGAACGGAATTGTAACAAAATAAAATGCGGACGCATACGTCTGTCTGTACGATACATAAAAAGGTCAGTGATCTGCGTGTTCCGTCCCTAACATGAACCGTGTCGAACGTAATACTAACAGTGCATATGATTTTGTTTACTATTTTTCAGCTGTTCTATTGTTATCAAGTTTGTTGTTTAAATATTATTAAGTAAATATATTTCACTACATTCATATTCTATACACAATTATGACTTATAAATATATATAATATTATATTTGATATAAAAAATTGTACTAAGTAATCTTTATTAAACTTCAGACAAATGAGTTGGTTCATTGGCTTCATAGCGCCATAGCCTACATCCCAGTCCCACTCAAAGTTCATAATCAATACATTTTGATATATTCCGTAATATAACTTATTAAACAACTTGACCTCTTTCAGACCTGTAAACGCAAACGAATATATTATCCTAATTTGATAAATGCATTTCATTGAAGTGGGAAGGTCAACATTCGGGAGCCTGTTATTTGGTAATCTTTTTTTATCACTCATCCACTTTAAAATAAATAAAAATAACAAGGATATAAAGCGAACATCATCACAAACAATTGAGACGAGAATTGGTTGTTTAAAAATATTTATATTAAAACTTCAAGTTTTTGAAATAAATTCTCGCGACTTTGATATGACATATTCTGTATTCGCGGAGTGCAATCTGCAATATTTCGTTCAGCGCTAATTTGATTGCCAATTTCTTCACGTCTATATATAAATTTGTTAAACAAAAAAACATATTTCAATTGCCAATTTAAATTCCATATAAATAATATCGACTCTTGGCAAAATATTAAGAAATTACTAATAAAATATGTGAATGGATATTTTCCTAAGACGTTACCGATAAGAACTATTTATATTGTCTTAATTTTACGTAATTCTAAACCTTGTTATACTACCAAAATGTCTTTTAAATGTTCCTGTTTGTTATTGCATAGTTTCTCGTATTTATTTCTCTGAAAATACTATGTAAGCCGACACACAGACAGTTTTTCTCACAGTACATGACGGTGGTTTCGATATAATATTACGCTGATATTTAAGTATATGTTTCATTGTTCGAGTTCGTAATTTCAGTGAGAGTCTACAATGAGGTGATAAGATAAACACTGACTGACTGACTCATATAGGCTAGGCATTACAATGTACACAAATATAACATAGAACAAGCTAAAACACATTACATTTTATATAACGTTATATATTTTCATATAATGTTATATAAGAGGTTGTAAAATGAATCATCGCATTCTTACAATTCACCTCATCGTTAAAGCAAAACAACAATATAATTTTATACATATAATATTAAAGTTATATGTATATAAAAGTATTTCCATTCTAATTATCAAATCAAATTGTAAGCAATTCGTAATATTATATAAAGTACAATAACGTTTTTTAGAAATTTCATTGAATTACAACATAAACAATCGCAAAATCTTTTCACTCTACTTAGCGTGTAACTGATTAAATAACATTTATTATGATGTTAAGCGTTTTACGTAAAAATTGTTCCACGGCGAACCAGCCACTAAACAAACTCAAATTGTTCATATATAACTTTCATTTAAAACATCTAGAAAGTTGAATAAAATGTTAAATTACGCGTTAGATATCCGAAAATCGTAATTTTATTTATACCTAGTAAAGTACAAGAGAGTGATGTATTTGTAAGTAATGTATCCTTTTATAGTTAAAAATAGCCAATACTTTTTCATATTCCATATAAATAGATTTATTAATAAAATGTACATTTAAACTTTAATCTCTATACATATTTCCATTTCTGTAGAGAAATAATGAAAAAGTAAATTTTTCAAATATAAAACTACCCTCAATAATAAAACCAAAATTCAAAGATAGTATAACAATAACAATTTATATAGTAATAATATCTGTTATTACTGTAATGCTACAGTATTAAAAGTATAGAAATCGGTTTTCTCCACAATATGACATATTACGGTCATAAATCCTCCATATTTCTTTCAAGACGAAGTTAAGTTTAATAAGTTTTTCTCACCAAGAAAAATTATTGCTATGATCAAGAAATAAAAGATGACGTTATGACTCATGAAACTGAGTTAATTAATGACTGTATCAGCATAAAATAATCATAATATTAGTCTGTAGAATTTGATACATTAAAATACTTATATAACATGGGCACATAGAGAACAATTATATTTTCGATGACTTGAGCATTTAAAAACAGTACAATGAAAGAAGAAAGCAAAGAAGTCTACAAATGAGCATAGAATTCTCAAAAACATCCAATGTTGTACAGCAAAACTGTTACAATTTTGGTTTTCAACAAAAAATTCTTCAACTATAATGAAAAAACATGTATTTTAATAATGTTTAATTTTTTTTTAAGTTCTTTGCGATATATACTATATTCTGTCTTTTATTAATTATTTCTTTCTATAAGTATTCTACTATTACTGCAGTAATAGGAATATAAAATGTAAAATATATATTTTTAATAAATTATTGATTGGTGCACTTATATTATTTTATTTCAGAGACTGTTACAAATTCAAAATGATGTTATAATATTTTTTCAAATTCTTGTACCAATTAATATATAAGGGTAGATTAAAAATAAATGGTCAGAACAATGGCACACCATACAGATTTTAATTTTGGATAGAATTTCCTGTCTACAACTACATAAAATAGCTACATCTACATTAAACATTTATAAAGTAATCAACATAATAAAGTAATAATTGTTCAATAAGAATCTATTAAGATTCTTTCACATGTTATTAAGATATTTTAATCTTAACAGAAAAACTTTATATATAAGTCTAAATCAGATTTTAAATACAAACTTAGTTTTTGGAATAGCCGGTTTGTTGAGCAAGAAGTTAGGAAAATGTAAAAAGTAGAGTTAGGACGGTATTTATAGGATTATAATAAAGGTGTTAAATGATAGTCTAGAAACTATTAAGTAGTTTAGAACAATACATTTAAAACTAGGACACTCCTTCTATCCTCATTTTTCATAAAGCTATTCAATTATGGCTATTAAAATGGTTTTACTACTTGACACTATTTCTAATAAATGTTAATTATTTTATCTACTCACATTTCCGACAAATATTCGGCAGTCCAATATAAAACTTCTCCCGGCAACTCTGACTGTGTAATTGTGTAGCCAGCAATATTAACAGGTAATTGGTCCTTAGGATCTACGGTAGCAGCGAATTTTTCAAAAAAAACTCGATACGCAGTCAAATAATCATCCTTATCACCCATTTTATGTAAATTCTTATTTTGTATAGAAAACAAGAAAAATTAAAGTTTTTATAAATTGATATAAAGAATAACAAAAATATTATGCGTGCTATTGGTTCACTGTGTTCACTTATTTTTTAATTAAATGAATATTTAAGCCTTGCTTGTCTTTAACATCACTTATACTTAAAAAAATCGTATCGTTGTATACTAAAAAGTAAAATTTTATATGAGTCAAAACAAATTCATATCTCTACAACGAACATACGTCACACTCTATACAATAGTAACAAATAGACCGGCATCGACTACAGATTGGACAACTCGCGCCCAGTACTTTCAAAGGTAACCATAGACACAAACTAATATTATTAATTTATATGAAAATATATTTTAATTGTTTTTATAGAAAATATAAATTTATCATATTCATAACATAAACTCTTTAAAATGTTAATATTTTAATAGACCTTACCAGAACAGATTAAAACAACGTAATAACATATATAATTATATGCAATTTAGTAAAATTTAATATAAACACAAACACTTATCTTTTGAGTGTTTTAAAAGAGATAATATTATAAAATAAGTGCACCTCTCTCAAGAAATAGACTATAACGTGAATATTTTTTCATATATCAACACTACACAGATGATTAAGCTGTACAATGACGAGTGACTAGTGAGTAAGCAAGTTAAGCGACAGGCGACACATTCGTCAATCTCATATCTTTTCCTCAACTATGTAATAAAAGTTATTCACGATTAAAGATTTACTTCCGAGGATAGAAACATTATTTTAGGCACGTATCATTAAAAAAGTAATATTAGCAAAGTCAAATGCATTTATAACAAAAAGTAGTCCTGGTGACTTAATAATAATAATAAATTTCTATTTATTTATTGGCAGTAGAAACATTTTATGTTAACAATTGTGTGGATGAGAACAGCTACTAGATTAGCCGATTATTCATTAGGGAACCTGATAAAATAAATATAATTTATCAACGATACGCTTAACATTTTTAGAGTTCCACTTCTAAATCTAATAGGAAATATCAATGTCGTATTTAAGTTGATACATGATAGTTACTGTAATGATTCTATAAAATTAATATTATTTAAACATATTAATGTATCGAAATTCAAGAACAAAAATACTTTTTACATATATCTCAAAAGTACTGAACCACGGGAGATAAGCTCGCTCACAATTAACTTATTGTAATCTATATACGTGAGTGCGGACTGAAAGATAAGTAATATGTATAATAATTGCAGTCTGGAACCGATTTTTAAGAGCATAATCACCCAGAACACTTGTGCGTAAATAAGTTAAAAAAAACTTTATAATGCCATCAATCGCTGGAAAATATCAACATTACAAAAATGAGGACATTGAAGAATATTTTACAGCAGTTGGTGAGTATGCGTAATATTTACTACTTATGAAAATATCATGTGTATATGTATGGGTTGGTATATTGCAGAATAAATACGATACTCTTTAATTTTCAGGAGTTCCATACATAGGACGAAAAATGATGTCAATGTCTTCACCATTAATGGAAATATCTGTGGATGGAGACTATATTACTATTAAGACTTCATCTGTGATGAGAACAAATGAAACGAAATTTAAAATAGGTGAAGAATATGACGAGCAAATGCCAAGCACTGTGATCAAAGTGAGATTATTTTACTAACATTTTTTTTATTACTAACAAATCTAACCAACAGAAAAAAATGGGTAAATAATTCCTTTAGAAACATCTAGAACGAAATTTCAAGTCACCAACTTTTTAATCTATTGGAAGATTCAAATGTATCAACCATCAAGATACATTTCAAAGAAATTTTTAATAATACTTTAACTTTTACAGAGTAAGACAAAACTTATAAATGACAATGAACTTATGACAGAGTCTGTAATACCTGAAACTGGAGATAAATGTGGGCGACACTACTTATTCACCGATGAAGAATGTATTATTGTTAGTTGTGTTATTCTAAATAATTTACTTTTAAATTTATGTGTTTTAAACAATATATATGTGTTCTAAGGATATCATTAAATTGCTTTTTCAGACACTCACTCATGATAAGGCTAAGAAACCAGGCAAGAGATATTTCCGAAGGGTGAATCCTTAAAGAAGATGTAATAATAAAATATCTATTAATTTTAAAACTTTTGAATAAATCTTTATCATAATTAATTTGTTTTTTTATCTATAACTATAAAAAAAGTTGTTAATTTGATATATATACGCCTTAAATAATATTAAAAAAAATACGTATGTATATCAAAATATAACGTACTTAACTACAGCTACAGTCATATGCAGTCTTATGGTAGTAATTAAAAAAAAATCGTGTTTCTTTTTCTATTTCCAGTATAATTTCATTCACCAATCTTAAAATATTTCTAGGTTCCTTATTTCCCATTAATTTTGCTAGAAAAAAATCTTTTCCTCGCATTATTTCTAGTACTGTAATTAAAGAACAATGCTTCATACTTTTATAGAAAAAAATTAATAATAATGACAAAAAAATTAAACCATAATATGCTGAAATATGTTCTTACCTATGTTAAAGGATTTGATATCTAGGTATATGTATTTAGTACTAAATACATATATATGTAATTTTAAAATATAAAATTGAATATGTGTTAACTACTAAAACAGTTTGCAAAAAATTTAAGAAGAAATTTATTGCAATATTATTTAATATTCTACACAAATAAAATTGATTACTTCTAAGATTAATACGGCATCGTAAAATGAAAAATTTAAGAAACTGAGGAAAAAGATTAATATTTTATCTACAGTGTTGCAACATCTAAAAAAAGTTTGTTCGTCTAAGTTCCGCATTGACCACAGACAGAGTTTTCAAAAGATATTTTGATGGTCGGGCGGTTACATATTTCATTGTCTGATTGTAATCCGTTTAGTATTTTAATTACAAGGATTCATTTTACATCTAGACTGACATAATTAAAATGGCAGATAATATTCAGGTTGTGTGTATTTTTTAATTGTGTCGTAGTTTATATCAGTCTGCTTAAATATGTTATTTCTTTTTATGTATGCTAAATTAATTATTTTATGCGTTTTTACAGGAACAGCAAGTCAAAAGGGTAAAACGCTTTTTAGAAAGTTGGCGTATGGCCCTTCTTCCATTAAAATCCGTGTTAATATGGGAACAGCAGTGGCATCCCTGTGCTATTTTAGCATTCATATCAATTCTGTTTCTCACTATTTCGCTAATGGACCTGAGTACTCTGGCCACTATATCTGTTGTCGGCTTGATATTTAATTTTATTGATTTCATCGTCCCTATTATGTGCAATACTATTTGTAGTCCCGGCTCATGGACGGGACAGAATGAAAAAATGTATGAAGATATTTGTAGAAGTATTGTTATTACTTATAACAAAATTATAACTAACATAAAATCATTTTACGCTCTAAGGGAGACTAGTCCTCCAATGGTGAGTATATCATATAATACACATTATATAAATATATTTCTTCAGTAATTCCTTATTTTTTTTTCATTTTGTTTCAGTATTATCTGATCTCCATTTCTATGCTGAGTGTTACAACTTGGATGGCCGCCTCCATAAACAATGTGTTTCTCCTCTACATATTCTTCACCATAGTATTGCTATGGCCAGGTATTCAGCACCGAGGCATCTTAAACACCGTCCTAAGCTTTGTTAATAAGGCTCCGAAGATGGCGTCTTTGAAATCTGATTAGGATTTAATGAGTACTTAAGTAGCTTTTATATTTTAGAGATGCTTAAGGTATTGCCTTTATATAATATGATCTCCCGATACCCTTTTGTGATATTTATATCCATAGACTTTTTAATTTAGATTGTCATAAGTAATGTACTCTGGTTGGAACTGGTATCGTTCCTATGATTTTTTTTTAGTTTGTATTGTAATGAAATGTGTCAAGTATATATGTAACAGTCTGAGTTTAGTGAGAGATGTACGGTCTGGTTGTTAAGTTTAGGTCGGCTTATTCAATGTGAGCTTAAAATTATTTTATTTTTGGGTTTAAATAAAAGTTAACTATAATATGTGATTTTATTTAATCTTTCTTGTGGCACTTATGAAATTCAATTCATTTTTCATTACATAATAACAAAATATACAGTGTTTTTAGCTTAGCTCAGACAAAAGTATTTGAAGAACCTTTTCAGATTTGTTTTTTAATGTTCAGCTTTACTTCCAGTTATGTGTTACAAAATGACTGAAGTCAGTATTTATAGTTTTCGAATACAATTTGATACTTAAATGCTGCCATTATAAAATTACAATGCTTCAGTATTAAAATTAATTATTAATTATTATCTATCATAAATATAATTCTAAAAATTATAGTACAAATCTATATAGATAAAAGAAAGTCGTGCTAGTTACTCCACTTATAACTCAAGAACAGCTGAACCGATTTAGCTGAAAATTGGCAGGGAGGTAGTCTAGAGCCAGGAGAAGGACATAGGATACTTTTTATCCTGTTCGACAGCATTCCGTGTGAATTAACATGAAACGTCAGTCACTAACATGGTATGTCAAAAAACAATCAAACTTGGAATGACAAAACGCAATTGACAGCTATGTAATTGACGTGAATGACCGATATGTAATGACGTATGGTTGACAATTTGATATTTGTAAGAAATCTACTATATTCTACTATAAAAAAATAAATCCGGTTTTCTTTCCTGACACTATAACTCCAAAATGAATGAACCGATTTCCACGGTTTTGTATTCGTTGGAAAGGTCTCGGGCTCCGTGAGGTTTAAAAAAAAATCAGGAAAAATTTCAACAGAAAAGCGGGAAAATCTTTTTTCACATACAGCGCCATCATACATAACATGTAATACAAATCAATATTTTAAGTAGATGGTGCCGGTGCATGATACATAGTTTGGAAGTTACTCATGTTCTCTGCTCAGTTAATTTTATGTGACAAACCGGTATTGTGTTTGTAGTGTGATCTCTTAAAACCATTTAGTATTTGCGGGATAAATTTAGAAAATCATTGTTTTTCACATGGGCAGTTATATTTTGCGTGTTCACGAGTTTGGAAACCATCCACTTTGGATTAAAGTTAGACGAAAAAACAAAAAAATGTTGTTTACAAAACAGCACTTCAATGAAACGGATAATTTGCGGACACGTATAACGCTTCGATTCGGTATCTACTTTGGATTTACTTTCATTTACTGAGAGAAGTCCAACTAAATGACGCTTCATTTTTGTAATCGAAATGAATTCATTACTTTTGTGAAATTAAACAAATGATTTCCTTTTCCAATATGAAACAAAAAAAAATCTTCATCTTTTAATCACTAAACGAAATGTTACATAAAACAAAGCCTTTTGGTGGCGAAACGGAGTTTGCCGGGTTTACTAGTTATATTATAATTCGTACAATACGGATGGCGCCACTTGTAACACTAAAAATAAAAGACATTAAAAAATTAAGCATTTGTATATTTTTTAAAAATACTTATATTCACTACAAATAACATTATATATTATAATGGACAGATGCGAAGCTTAAAACAGGTCAAAAAAGAATAAATCTAAATCATTGAATGTCATGAACATGAATAAATACGTGCTCTACCACGAAGTATAAACATTTGTCTACAAACGTTTGAGGCAATAAATATCACTTCATTAAAATCCCGTCTAAAGTTTAAATAAATATGGAAGTAACTATGAAGCAACAGTAGTCAAAAACTATAGTAAAACAGCAAAAACCGTACTTAGAGTACTTTAATCTTCGTCAATTGTAAAACCCGGTGTAACGTTACCGACTTTAGCCTTAACAACCAACGGTCCTACGTGACGCGGCGTCTCCGCTGGCTCTAACGTACTATATTTAACTTCACTCGACATATTTCCTTCTAATAATTCTTCGGAAACCAATGTCGTAGTGAATCTCCCCGAACCGGACTGATTGTTATTCTTGCTACCACTACTATCATTATAAATTTTACGTACATTTTTAAGGCCATTGTTTGTTTTACTTTTACATTCCTCACTTTGTACGTTTGAAAGTTCGGAACTGTATTGCGACACATTGGTCGAGGTGTTACTTATATCGTCACCTACGTTATAAATTTTACTACTTGATGGCACATCACTATACGTATCCTTAATATGTTGATAATTGACATCATATGATTCTACATAAGCGGTGCTAGAGGAGGGTTCGTTATTGTCTAATGTACTATTTTTTGACATATTAGCCTCTGATATATCGTTTCTAACATATTTGACGGATGAACCGCAGGCGTCTGCTGATAAGGTTTCTTCATCGTCTTCGCCATCAGCACTCTGAAACGAAAAAATTACACATACAACGATTAACATATATGTATATACTATGTATATTCGTCTCTTAATATTGATGTCAAGAGACTTGAAATACATTATTTACACTATATTTTGAATCCTCATTTCAATGGTTCGTGTGGAGAATTTATTATTATATGTAACTATGAGATAAAATATTTTTTTACAACATTAACTAATTACCATTTATTTCTCATAAAAGATACAGATTCATAAGTACATGATTTCTGAATATATATACATAAAATTTCCTGAGAAAATAATAAAGAATCTTATGTGACTTAATAAGGCAACCAGTCCATTTACCAGTGACCAATTCATTAGGTAAATATATATTAGGTAATTTTGGGCAACTCAATGCTCACAACCATTCTTTACCTCATTAAAAATTTCAGTATACTTATACCAACCACCATAATATGTAGACTAAAAAACAACAATTTAATAAATTAATTAATTTGAAGTACATATAATAATGTAATTATTACTTTTTGTACATAAATAAATTAATAATACCACATTTCTTTGGTACAAATTCTTTTAACTGAAAATCTATACTAATCCTACTAATATTATAGTTGCGAAAGTTTGTGAGTGTGTGTGTATGTTTGTTACTTCTTCACTCTCAAACGGCTGAACCGATTTTGATAAAATTTTGTATACAGGAAGCTGACTTCCAGGAATAGCACATAGGCTACTTTACATCGAGGAAATCTCGGAAATCCCAGAAATCCGTGGGTAACACCGCGGAGCGCAGCTAGTGTTATATATATGATGAAGGTCCTACCATAAGGTCGTGATCCGTCATAGAGCCGGCTGTGGCCTCGTTACTGTTGAAATCCAGCTCGGACGCCACTGACACCGGCGTTACGTCGCCGCTAATAGACGAACCTGCTGCATTTATTAACATAAATATTCGGTGTAACAAAGGAACGCTGAATTAAATATATACAATAGTAAAGTTCATTAACTTTCAGTGTTTATTATATATTTAGAATAGGGCAATGTACATATTAACGAGAAGATAATAGTAGGAATTTTATCAAACATATGTAGTAATTGTTTTATACATTTTTAGATACATTTGAAGCAGTTGGTTTCACATGTAAAATATACAATTTTTTTAACAGTTCTACATGCATCGCAAAAATTAAATCAGAAACAGTAAAAATAATATACCAAATCGTGCAATGATATGCATGCATTGTCATTTCGAAATATCACTTCGTGACGTCATATGTACTACCAATATTAAACGTCAAAATGTATTGACAGTCGATATATTTTATAGTGTATGAATGAACGATATCATCTAGAGCGTGTCTGTATGTGATTTATATGAAAAATGAACACAGCTTCAAAACTACGTTGTAAAAATGTAACCAAATACTTTTAACTGTAAGACTAGTCAATGTTAAATGATAAAATGGCGAATGTATGTTTTTTTTAAGGTAATTTCAATAACATTTAATGCCGAAGTTTAAGTTGAAAACTTGTGTCCCAAAATGACTTGTCAATTATTAAAGTTTTCATTGTTTGAATAATATGTATATTGCTGTTACGTTGACAAGAGGTTCATTAGTAGCAGTAATTTTCCATATCTTTATCAGTTGAATCATTCTGATTTACTTTCCTGTAAGTGGCATAATGATAGCAATAATCAATTATATAACATCCTTTTTAAACTGAATACAAATCATTTCATAATAATATACATATTGTATTTAGATATTTCGTATTTCATTACATTTTTATGAACGGAGTATATTCTTTAAGTGTGTGCGTGCGTGACGAGAGTGCTATATGTGTGAGCGTGTGTCTGTCTGTGTACATGCGTGTGTGTCTGTGTGTGTGTGTGTGTGTGTGTGTGTGTGTGTACCTGGTGCGGCCACGACGAGCGCTCGTAGCGCGGCGTCCGTGCCCCAGTCGGGTAACTTCCCAGCCGCAGTCTTACTCCAATTGCTACTGGAATCCACAATGTTATCACGCGATCCTTTTGTAAACGACTCCACTTATTAGGTACATATATACAAGTCTGTACAGTTCACATCTATAGAGCCCCGTCCCATACAAGGGTTGAGTTTTGCATACATGACAAGAGTTTATCGGTCGAATATGATATTTGGAAGTGAAAACGATAAAACAAAACAAAAAACAAAAGAAGCTCGACGTCGGCCTCCCATTAGTATTGTACAGCGATGTATCAGAAACCTCATAAAGGTATTCCGAAATGATTCAACAGAATGTTAGCCAATTGCATCTCATCCTAATATAATTTACGGTACACAAAAATTAACTAGTAAATATTTGCGTCGTGCAGAATCATCGGAAGACAATATTAAGTTGGAGGTAGCAACTAAAGTGACGTCACACGTGTCCATGCTGTGTGTGTGTGTGTTTGTGTGTGTGTGTACCTCTCCGTCTTGTTGTCTGCGTAGTTATTGTTAGGGGAGGAGGGCTCGGCGGAGGAGAGGCCGCTCGGTAACTCTCCCGACGAAGACATTAAAGATGACGGACCGCTCCAACCGACGCCTGGAAAAACATTTATCAATAAATACAAATTCTTACATTACTTCTTACGTTTAATTTTGTATAACAAAAAACCTTTCTCTCCTAAGACTTTGTACTTAGTATGATATATAATTCATATGATAACAATGAAATTTCCGATCTTAATGTTTCCACTATTTTTTAAAGCTAAAAGATATATGTATAAGTATATAATTGTTTACTATTAGTGGGCGATGGTTGTTTAGCGGGCGCTGCTGCCGGCGGCCCGGCCTTGGCCGCGGTGTCGGTGACTCTCTCCAGGAAGGCGTCCAACTGCCTCAAGGACAACGCGTTGTGTAACGTCTCCAACGGACGGATGGCCGGCACGCCGCCGAAACCCTCTAACGCCGCTGCACAATGATACGATAATGATATGATATGATGGGGAACAGAAAATATGAGACATCAGTCATATTCTTGTTGATAGTTTTGAAACTTCGTTTGTCATAGAAAGTTGCATCACTTTAATTTTTAATGTTGAAAACTAAGTTCCAAGCTAAAGCTGATTTGATGTGGATTGCTAGGCAATAATTATTTCTTGACAAGTTTTTTAAAAATTTTAAGGTGTATTTTTGACAATACGGACTACTAAAAAACTAAACTAGGATATTACAAACACATCCCTACACATAATGAATTAGTCACTATAATAAATCATAATTAGTCACAAATAAATTATTAATGTGTGAATTTAATTTGGCTCCTGACTATAAATGTATAATAAGGTTTGGCTCATATTACGAATCGGTTTGGGTTATTAAAATATTGTTTGTTAAATGCTGTTTATACCGTTGGATGCGGAGGAGGCCGGTATCATGACCCTCAGGTTGGGCGCCGAGCTGGAGCCCGAGATGACGGCGGTGCTGAACAGGCCCGCGCCGCCCGGCAGCTTCACCCGCGCGCCCAGACCCAACATCTTGAGGTAGCTCATCTGGCCGGCGATGCTGTGCCGCTGGCGCCGCCCTGCGCCCCGCACGATACAGCCGCTCGCCCCGCCCGCGCTCTTACGACTGAACGTCAGCGCGGACAGGGGCAGCTCGTTAGTGGACGACTCCACACCGGACACGTCGACCGCGGGCGGGGAGGGGGTGAGGGGAGCTGGGGCCGGGCAGGGGGAGGGGGGAGAGAACGTCACGTGACCAGACCAGGGGAGAACGGTTAGTACGGGGGTAGTGATAGAAAGAAAACCGATTAGTACATCGTTCAAGAAGAGCAGAATAGAAAATATATAAATAAGATAACGTATATAGAGGTATGTGATAAGAAGCGTGCCGGTGAGAGATAGCGTCGTCCCTGTGTTACGGTTGACGGCCGCCCGACCGAGAGCGCGTCCTGCACCCGACGCGCTACTCCCTCGGTCACTGTGACGTCACCGAGGGAGAAACAACACGAGCTGGACTCACGCTCGGTGTGTGCATGGCTTATCTCACTCGGATCATTATAATGTTTATAATAAGAGTGTCACCGACGTTACTATTTAATGTTAAAACATGCAAAACACAAACGGCAGCCAAACGTGAACACATTCGAGGAGCGAGAACTCAACGCAAACACACACAATATCGCCGGCCAGAATGAGCTCAGTACGACAACGGAGCGCCGCTGTGGCTATGTCTCTACACACTCCAAAATACACAAGTTAAATAATACACAAAAAATATACAAACAAAAGTAACACATCCAAGGTTCATGAGTGAAAGATCTGCTACAGGTTCAAACAAGTCCTGATAAAGCGGAGTAACTACACGGAATAGAAACACCAAAAAGTTCATATAGAAAATATATAGGATTCATGCAGAAGGAGAATGTGTCACACGTTAAAAATCCTAAGTACGTGTAAAAGATACGCGTGTTGAATATAGCTAACTGTCATACCTTCAGTTTTCGGACCATCTCAAGTAAATAATGCAATTGTATATCAGTATCAAGGACTTTATAACACTACGTCGACTTTTCAAGATAGAATTTTCACCTGTATTAAGTATTGTTATAATATATTCAATGAAAAGGAATATTATTATAAAAACAAAACAAAATCAGTTAATTTTAAAATCATGTTAGTTCTCACTTGTTTTATTTCACTCACGAGCTATTAGTAAAACGTATTATATATAACACGTTGTTCTTCTGTGTGTGTGTGTATGTGTGTGTGTGTGTGTGTGCTTACCATTGTCGTTAGTCTGTTTGTTCTGGTCGTAGCTGCGCGCCCGCGGCTGTGGCTCGATTGATACTTTGGATTCACTCTCCTCGCTCTGGAAAAGATATTTGAAATGGATAAATTCTCATCTATACTAATATTATAAAGCTGAAGAGTTTGTTTGTTTGTTTGTTTGTTTGTTTGAAAGAGCTAATCTCCGAAAGTACTGGTTTGAATTGAATAATACTTTTTGTGTTGGATAGTCCAGTTATCGAGGAAGGCTGTGGGCTATATAACATCAGGCTACGACCAATAGGAGCAAAGATATAGTGGTAAATGTGTAAAAAACGGGAGAAATTATTTCATCTTTGAAGCCTTCCGTTGCGTGCGCCGTGAAAACGGTTCAAGATACACAAAAAATATGTACTGAAGAATAATAGCTCTTTTAATGATCTAAAAAACAGTCCGCGACAGTATATGTTTATCTTTTAAGATTAACTCACAAAAACCGTTTTTATGGTACCTAATTTGGTCGAAATAATTTTATAAAATATGTTGTTGGGTAAGAGTACTTCATTGTGAATTAAAAAAAAACATAGGTTTTATCCTGAAAACTCTACGAGAACTCGACCATTCCGAAAACCCCGCAAGAACGGGAACTATATGGGAAGAACCAAAAATCTGTCGGAAGTCACTATTCCACGCGGACGGAGTCGCGGCAAAAGCTAGTACGGAATAAAATTCGATACAATTACGTTAATAATAAGAATCATAGATAGTACGGTGGGATGATTATGGAAGATATACAAAAACATGTTGGGACATATTTTTTATATACACAAAAATTGTTGTGACACAAAAAAATGTGTGTGCGTTTTTTTTTAGTTTCAACTTGACTGTAGCTGTTAGGCGTTAACCCTAACGGCTTTGACAGCGTCACCAGCAGGGATGGATGGCCCGATGGGGCCAACCAGTTGAATTCGTGTGCGTGCGTGTCTCTATGTATATGAGTGTGTCTGTATGTGTGTGTGTCTGTATGTGTGTGTGTGTGTGTGTGTGTGTGTTCGTCTGACCGTGTGGTGTAGCGCGTGTCGATCGTCCCGCGGGTGTCGCGCGCGGAGCTCCTCGCTGAGTCGCGCCGCGAGGGAGGACGCCTCGTGACCGCTCACGGTGTAGTGTAGGTTGCTGGAATTTTATTTAATTTGTATTATAATTTAAAAAATAACAAATATATACTGTAATAATTAATAACTAGTTAAGATAGAGTCAATCGAATCAAAAAAACATTTATAATAAAAAACAGTACAGCATTTAGTTTTATCTACCTTTAAATATAATAAGTATTAGTTTTAGACCCAGTTTCACCAATCAATGTTTGTTTAATCTTAACACAGAATTTACTATCCAACCTTATTAATTATAAATGTCTGTTACAATATTTTCGTCCCACGATGATAAATTAACAACGCATTATTAAACGTCATGTCAAATGACCGACTACCAAATTATTCGTTCTTGTTATAAGACGACCAAGTGGAAACTATAGCGTTTAATACGGCACGTTTGCCACAATGCACCACTTTATATTTTGATCGTATATATCCCTCGATACGTCACTTGTTAGGTAATGCGACCAAATTTTATATATCGTTGGTTGCATACATTTGGCACACAAAAGGCTTTCTTTTCAATTTACTAGGTGTAACCTGTCAAAATCGGGTTGTCAATAAATTGTGTTATATATTATTATGTTATAAATATAGGCATAAATTGTGTTCAAATTATAAGAGATAAAAAGAAAATTTAATTTGCAATGTTATAAAAAAGCTGGAGGCAAAATCATCATAGGAAATGAAATTTTAATTCAGTTTATTAATAATAACAAGGAAATAGTCGAAACTTGCAAAACAGATGACGTTACTATGGTTACAAGCAATAAAGGCTGTGATTGGACAATTGAGTTTCGACAATGCCATTAACATTGTTAGCCATTAGACGGAGCTCCAGAGCAAGAATTAATATTAGTGGCCGGTTAAGACATTTAAACGGACATTTGTGCGTGGTGGGACGCTCGATACATCTAACAGACCATCAAACGTCTTAATAAGCTGTCAATTATTTAACATTGATTGGTTAAACTGGGTCTTAATCTGAGATGTAATTGATTTTTTATTGAAACAAAACTTACCAAATAGGTATCGGATCCGACGGCCTCAACTTTGACTTGGACGATTTACTCGGAGAGAATGTGTTGTCAAACTCATCGGAGGCGTCCTGAAAAAAATATATTTTCGGGTATACATTATATACATCTTGTTTTTTCCGCCACTTCATCCACGTATACTTCAAGATTGCTTTCAAAGAGAAAGTAATGTGTGCACAAAAATATATGTAAGGTTACAAAGTGGTGGCGACATCTAACGTCTACATTGTGTATAGAGAACTACACTGAATATCGAAATACAGTATAGATAGTTTGTTAATATAACGATAAAGCTCAATTAAAGTCGATTCATTATATATTTTGTAAGTGTTACAAACGTCCACACAAGCATACAGAGTGTAAAACTCGTATTGTTAGTGAGTTACCGGTTGTAATGTTTCCTGGCTGGCCATTTGATCATCTTCTGTTTCTTCTTCTATACACTTCACCTCGTCAGACGGGCTCTGCTATAGGTTTTATTAGTGATTAACACATTCATTATCTATATTAAACGTTTTAATCTAAAATTTCTAAAAGAAAAATTTACATTTATAAATAAATAAACCGTCCATCCAATACGGATAAATTTCGATAACTAAAGTAAAGAATAACTTTGCTAAGTACATCACGTTGAACTGTGTATTACCAACGCAGTAAGATTTAGAATTATTAAATGTTATAAGTTATTGATGTTTATATGCATAATTTTTTTTGTTTCCGAATTACTCGGCATAACAAATATTGAGCAATCTTCAAATAAAGTATCTTGAGGAGATGCCTCCATTAATAAAATCATAACCTTCACTTTGATATATGTTAAATAGGAGTAATTTCTTACAAACACGTTATACTGTATATATGTATATAAATGTTTAATACATCGTTGTTGGCTGTTGAATGGTTCCTGGAGTGCGGCCTGAACCCGGGGCCGGGCGGCAGGTTCTTCTGGACGCAGCAGTTCACACCGGGACTGAAATGAAGCTCCACGTGGAACCTTGAACATTACATTAAACATATGTTGAAAACATAATAAAATTATACCTTAGTTGGGTATATGAAAACAAGGAAATTACTGGACAAAGATATAGCCGCGATGAATATCCACGCGTGCGCCGGCGCGACTTAACCGTTTACGGGTCAGATGTTTGAAACGTTTTTTCAAATAATGTCGATTTAAAACTTATTTAGTCTATGCACTATAACTGACCTCTGCTTGATATTTTTTAAGTTATACTATTTTTAATAATAAGCTTATACTTATATGTATACATGCCATTAAGGGAGGAAACAGTTTTTAAAACACGCTGTACAGGGTGACTGGTGAATTACTTTCAATATTTAAGGAGAATACTCGGTATATGATTCTCATTCGAATTATGTAAAAAAAATAGGTACTTAATTTTTGACCAAATTTCCGTATAAATAAATAAAGTGTGGACACGTTCCAAGCGTTCCAAGTGTGGACGCGTGCGGCGGCGTGCTGATACAACACCACGCCACCGCGCTCTAGTGTGTGTGTGTGTGTATACCTAATCTGTAGGGTGTTCACACGATGCGTAATTAATTACATAACTTTTGGTTAACTTTACTTAGAAGTTTATTAATATTTATGTTTTATTAATTTTTATTTTGTCATATATGATCGTCAAATATCACGTCCTCAAGTATCGATAGTAATTCACCAGTCACCCTGTATATACTCAAATATCAATAAACTTTATTACTTGCAGGTAATGTCATGACATGTCATGTCACTAGGAAGGTTTGATATACCATGATAGTGATGTATATGAGGAACGTCTGTCATACCTCTCCTCTGAGTATGGATCCTTGGTGGGATCTTCATACAACATGACCACTATCTGCGACATGTAATTTAACTCGGACACCATAGACACGTATTCCATAGCCCGCCGCCATTGCTCGTCTTTCATTACCTAAAATTATGAGTTTCATGTTATTAAAAATTTAAAGGTATGGACTTCTAATAATGTGTGTGTGAGTGTGTATGTGTGTGTATGTATATATGAGTGTATGTGTATGTGTGTGTGCTAATAGTATAGTATTGATGACGTATGGTTGTGTGTGTATGTGTGTGTGCGTGTGTGCGTGTTCCACGTACGTCGAGCAGGCCGCCGAAGCGCAGCACGGTGAGCAGCGAGTGCACGTGACTCTCGCTAGTGAAGTACAGCCTGGTTCGCACGTGGCGGCCCGGACTCGACACACCGTGGCTGTACCTGCCACAAACATACCCTCTCACCGATCCACCTCTGTGTACACCAAACGTTACCCGGTTAATGACCCCGGACTATATATTACATTATACATTATTTTATACACGACACTACTGATTGGTGGATGGTTTGAATAAATACTTTATGTTCTGCAAAACTACATTGAGTTTTATGGTGAAAAGGATTTATGTCCCATGGGACACTAGCTCTAAGACTAGCTTGATTCACGTATCTGAACATCTTATTCTAACATTACCCACGACTAAAAATAAATTATGCTCATACATCTGGACGTGCATGCAATTAGAAAACCCACCTTACCTTCACCTGGAATAACTCTAGACTGTTAAATGACTCTTATAGTTAGTAATATTTAATAAAAAAATAAAAGAATGCAAAATAAAATTTGTTTCAATTCCAAATGCATCAAGTACCTTGGATTCAGCCTATTAACGTTCTCCTCTCCGGATTCTTCTATATTTCTTTGTAAGTCGGCTCTTATTTTTTTCAGTAACGGTGTACATATTCCTTGCCCGATCGTCAATTTTTCATGAACGGTTAGACCATATTCCTGTACAGGTTTAAACAACCTATTAATATATGCATACTGTATTCAAAACACCATTTCATATTTCCTAGTGGTCAAAAAATATATGTTTAACACCCATATAAACATCACACAACCATAGTATAGACCTTGCTACCGTAGTATGTAATATTTTTTTAGTAGTAATTTAATTTAGTTAGATTAAGGTGTTATTGCTGTTATAAAACTTTTCAGACAGTGCTATGAATACCTGTAATAGGGGTACATATTAAGATCTATACTCTAGATGTATTTTTTATGTAAATGTTGCGTATGTGCACTGTTGGTGTTCCTTTTTTTATTTATTTAATACTTTTTTGTACACCACAATTACAATACAAACAATTACAAAAAATACAACCTAAAAACTAATGGTGAAACAAAAGGCGGCCTTACGGCTTATTATCCATTTCTTCCAAACTACCTAGATTTTATTACCTAGATAACGACCTTTTAATAAAATAAAATAAGTAATGTATGCCTTACTTGTGGTATGACGATATCTGCCAAGTACTTGGCGTATATATACAGCTCCTCAGCCAGGTCGAACTGCAGCGTGTGTTGGTTGTGTTGCAGATCGTACTTGATACAGTCGTATATGTCCGGAATCTTTGATATGTCGTAGGTTTTGTTTTTTGTGCAGAAATCCTTCTCGATCTTCCCCCACCTACGACCCATCAACTCCCAGGTCTCGCCGTGGTATAAAATTGTATCTGTATAAATTGTGTATTGGGATAATTTGTTGTGGTTGCTCTTACATATAATAATGTAGACAAAATTATATAAGTTTATTACATATATGTCAATCTCTATAACTATAGTTCTATAACACTGACCATTGACATTCTACAAATAATAAAATTGATAATTTTAGCTTCTTTAACATTTTGACGGTATTCGATGAAAAAGAAAAAAATATGTTTCAATGCATCACAAGAAGTAGAATTTACTTTAACACCAGTATTTTACTCTACTGTAAAGTTGAAATTTTTATCTTTCGCACTGTTACAAAGTCACCGATGTTTTATGAATTATCAATTGTGATCTGTTGCTGTATACCAGCCTTTCCCAAAGTGGTCGATAATGCCCTGTTGTGGGCGCTTCAACCCTAAGGGCGCCCCACTTAAGATACTCAGAAAAAAATACGTTGCTATTTCAACTAGCTATGATAAATTATAATGGTTTTACAGCAGCTAAAAACTAACTTATTCTCAAAGTGTAAGTGTAAGTTAGGGAACCATTGCCATATATCTTGTATAGTGCGTCACCTTTAGTCTTGGGGTCGTCCTTCTTGGCCAGCACGATCCTCACCAGACTGTTGATGAGTCCGTGCACGTGCGCGCAGGTCCGCGCCGGGTTGTCAACGAACTCCAGCGCGGCCGCTATACTCAGCGAGCCGCACGGGTTTACACGCGCACGGTCACACGCGCTGAACGAACGGTCGGCCTGCAGCGCCTCGTGTAGGCGAGCCTTCGCCCTGATAACACCATATTATATAGTTTTACAAGTAATTTATAAATATCATTGACCAAAAGTCCTGTGATAAGAACTTTAATACAGCTAGACTTAAAATCACACAGGTCTGGCGTCAATAAACAAGTTCAATATATAAGCATGTAGTACGAAGTCAACTGGCGCTTAAATTGAATTGTCTGTATAATTTAGCTAACTGACAATAACAACAATTTTATACAAATAATTTAATTACTTAATATGAATGGGAGTCCAATATAGTATTGCCTTTTTATTCCCCGTATTTGTATGCTGATAAATTAATTAAATCTTTGGCTCTTGCTGCATTTTTTTATAATTATAAATTGCCGTTTTAAAATAACAAATCATATCAACACAAAAAGTCCTTTAAGCTTCCACGAATCATTTTTCGTGTATATATATTTTATGATGTATCGGTCAAACTTTTAGTCAATCGATTCCTATCGTCTATTGGGTTTAAATTCTGTCCTTTCCCTTATCATGAAGTTTTAATCATAAATAGACTCTCACATATTCTGTACTTTGGATGAGTCACAGTCGTTATCGAGCAGGCCGTTGGTGTTAGCTGATTTAACCATTTGTACAAGTATGGGCGTGAGTTCCCCCTCCAAAGCCAGCAAGCCCTTAGCGAAGGCGGCGGCTGTCATCTGCACGCGACCCTCGTCCGACGCGTATATCTTCAGGTCGTGTCTGAACGTCGAGTGTAGCCTCAACAAACCCAGCCCTTGAGTACCTCCTTCACCTGGAAAATATTATTTTACATATATTTGACAAATGTCGCTTGTAACATTCATTGATCTCAGATATAAAGTTACATTCACTATATCTGGCAAGTACCAATGTGATTTTTCGAGTCATATGTAAAGTACTAAGGGTATTTAGACATCACTGATTAATGCATTCCCAAATAGGGTTGATGTCAGGCAGGCGGCCCGTCGCAAAAACAAATAGCCAAAACTATTCACAACATGTAAGGCAGATCCTGGCTAAAGCTGGCAAATTGCCAGCTAGAAGACCCATATCCGCTATATATATGTTATTAACCTGGTATATGTCGTCCTTGTCCTCCGGGGTACATGCACCTGAACATCCGTCCTAACTCCTCGGCCTGGATGCGCCCGGCCGGGGTCAGCTCGCCGCCCCACTTCAGAATCAACACCAGAGACGGCTCACCGTCACTACCTACAATACAAAAATAATCAATATAATATATATTTGTTAACAAAATACAATATTATCTTAGACTTCTGTATATACGAGAGCAATATATTAAACTAGTTTTTGCCCGCGACTTCGTCCGCGTTAATTTCGTCATTAGTAATATATGTAGGTATAGCTGACCGGGCAAACTCTATTCCGTCTTCAATAACCCGGTATTGGCATTTATTAAATTTCTACTGTTTCAATCGAACAGAATGATTGACATATTAGTTAGTTGTCAAGTTTAATGTCAAAAAAATCGTCAAAAAATTTTTCCAATTTTTCTCACCGTTTAAACCTTCCCTGGACTTCCAGGAGTATTTCAAGACTAAAATTAGCCAAATCGGTTCAGCCGTTCTCGAGTTTTAGCGAGACTAAGAAACAGCAATCCATTTTTATATATATATAGAAGAAGAAGATAGAAGATTATGCAAGCTTGAATTTTTCGTGTTTAATATTGTATGCCCGGTACTAGTGAAATGATTTTTTGGCTATCTAAATACTTTCAATGGTTACGCGGTAATATATGAAGGTGCTTAAAAACAATTATAATTGATACATGGGGTGTTTTAAACTTATAAGTTAATAAAAAAAATGCCCAAGAATAATAATAGTTAATTTATACAGGGTGGTCTATAATAATAATGTATGAGGAATAAAAATAATAATAATATAATTAATATGTGTGTAATGAGGTTCGGACCGGGAGCGTTACCGTCGTCGGAGCTGGAGCCCCGCGGTCTGCCTCTCGGCTGGTACTTCATCTGGACCTTACGGTTGATACCCGAGAAATGACCGTACCTGGAACATTATATTGTTATACAATACTAATATTTACATAGTAACATTAATATATAAAAATATTTGTATATCCTTAATAAGTATCGAAGTGTAAAGTTTTTTTATTTAAATTATTTTAACATGTTTAATGATGATAAAAAGAAAAGAATAAATCTCATAATAATGTCTCACTCTATAAACAAACTTATTAATTTTAAATAACTTTTTACAAATATTGTGTAACTAATTCAATGTACATAATATATTGAAGTTGTTTTTGTCTTCTATAGAGCGCGAAGTTTGTTTGCACAATGTTTTAACTTTCCTCATTACATCATTTTAATATACCCTTTATCCCGTTTGTATACGGGAACATCCCTATAATATAAGTAAATTAACTACAAATGTATGGACAAATCATTAAAATAAATCCTTCCACTCACATCTCCAGTACGCTTTTGAGTTGTTCTAGCTTGCCCTGTTTTTCTTCTATCTCAGGGTCGGCGTGTCGTGTATGTATGTCTGCGAGCAGCGAGCGAGCTATATCAAGTATCTCCTGTAGTTGTTTAGGCTTTTTCAGCTTCACGTGACCGCGTTTAAAGCCTTCGTACTTCTCGAATATTTCGAAGAATCTGAAATGGGAATATTAATTGGATATACTAGGAAGAAATATTAAGGTAATTCAACTTCATGTGTAGCACAAATGTTTATAATTATAATAAAACTATATTATACATACGAAAGCTACGTGTTTTTTTTATTATTTTAAACCACATACTCCTGACGTCTGCTTTACTTTACAACAAGTTTTAATAAAAAACGCGAGAATGCATGCGAAAATATTAGTTTTATTAAAATGAATGCTCGCAAAATTCTTAGATATCATTAATATGAAAGTTGCTGAGGATGGATGTTTGTTGCTCTTTAAAGGAATGACTACAGAGTGAATTTTTATATAGATTTTTCCAGTGAAATTATGTACCTATTTATATAATTAAATGTTAAAATAACAATTAACATAGAAAAACTACGCTAAAAAAACACAACGTTACGTGTCAATGGACATAACCATTTCGTAGAACGCTATTACATACTTCACATATGTTTTACTAGCTTTCCGCCCGCAGCTTCGTCCGCGTGGAGTTCGGTTATATCGCGTTTCCAAGAGAACCTTTCAAAAGTCTGGGGTAAAAACTATCCTATGTTCTTTCTCAAGGTCAACTCTATGTCTATACCAAATTTCATTAAAGTCAGTTCAGTGGTTTAGGCGTGAAAGCGTAACAGACAGACAGCGTTACTTTCGCATTTATAATATTAGTAGGGATCTCAAGTATATAATAAATGTAGATCTCAAAGTGTGAGTGTCTGAATGAAACTAATATTTTCGGATTTTACTTCGCGTTTTATTTTTGATTAGAAACTACATACTCCCGACGTTTCGGCTACTTTTAAGCAACCGTGATCACGGGCAGACGAGATGTCATCTCTAAAATCCGAAAATATTAGTTTCATTTAAATAAGTACTCGCGAAAATCTTAGATCTCATTATGTGAGTGCCTGACCTCGGATGGCGAACCTCGACCTTCATCTTCTGTTTGGGCGTGCGGTCGCCATGCCTGATGACGCCCACCACGCACCGCAGCTCCATCATCTTGCCGAAGGTGGTGGGCACTATGGGCGGGTCGTCCAGTTGGAAAGGGACTGACCACGGGATGTGCAGCGTGGGCGCCAGCTCGCGCAGGATCATGTTGCCCAGGATCTTGGCGCAGTCGTCGTAGTACTTGTTAGAGTTCTTCACGAACGAGAAGCCGTTCACGTCGCACACGAACGATTTGCCGTTAGCTCTGGAATTATTTATATTTTGTCATCACAAAAATCCTATTAGACCAGCGATTCAAATACACACATATTTGTATGTAAGCAACATGGAATTTAGATATATAAAATATGGTGTAATATAGTGAATTTTAAAGTCTAAAGGAAGGACATATAAACTACATATATGCCAAAGTAAATTTTAAACCACTGACATTTTATGACAATAAATTAAATATCATTGTCATTTTGTTGAGCTTACGAAAAACATACCTCAACAGATCAAATCCGCACACAGTCTGTTTGAACGCTAGGCAGACTTTTCTTGATATTAGTTTTTCTTGATTTGATAATATAACTGGATATCTTATTTCCTTCCCTTCAGAGTCCCTCTCGACCTTCCCATCTAGCGCCGGGCTTTTCCTAGCCTCAGCGTGAGCATAGTCGGGGCCGACCGTATACACTTTCACATCAGTACCTTGATATGAACATAATGATACGATCAATAATTTAATAAGAATTAATATTTAATATGATGGGTGTATCAAATTCCTCACCATCAGTCGGCATGAAGTCTTCATATATGAAAGAACCGGTTTTCCTTACTCTGGATTCAGGTGAATATATACTACTTCTACTTCCGATCTGAAATCAATTGGTTAATTTTTATTACATCAATCTATCAATCATGAATCATTTATATTTTTCATTGATCAATCAATCAAATGGTGAATGTATATTTCTTTTTCAGCTGTAGTGATAAAACGAATTAAATCTTTCAGAACAACTTAAAGACTCAAAAATATTAACAAAGAATTTTTTTTTTGAAATTTTTGTTTTGGCGTTCTAGAATCAGTTTATTTTCTAACTACATTCCAGAAACACAATTTCTAGGTCCATAGTTATATAAATAAATATTAATAGCGAGTACTTATTTAAAAAAACTAAGCATTTTTGGTCACAGATGTTGCAAAGGACCCGAAACGTTTCGATTAAGTAAACATACAATAATAAAAACGATTCCTTTCCGAAAACCTTAGTTTCATTTAAATCAACGTAATAATTGTATTATGTAAGACATTCAAGGCATTTCGTTAGTACCTTTCTGAAAAGCCTCTGACTGCCCCCGCCGGCCGAGGTGGGATAGTAAATGTAAATATTATGATCTTCAGCCGACACCGGCTTCTCTACGAACGGCTTATTGAATACAACGCCGTTCACTTCCACGTGGTCTTCCGATTCCACTAGTTCATGATCTGAAAACATAATTTGTTCTTAAAGCAATTTAATTAATTTTCCTCAAACAACAGTTTACTAACACTATTATAATACTTGACAGTTGATACGACGAAGTTAGTACTATAATTGAACTCAAAACTTTTATATTCTACCAAAAGATGGTGTTGTTAAATTAAACGGACAGTATTCAGTTTTACACTACAAACTGACAAAATTTCGTTTGACTAATAAACTCGTCTTAATAAGGCATACTGATTCATTAATTGTGGTCTCATTATCCAAATATGTTAGTAATATCAAGCGTGTTATGTATGTAGTATATTGAAGGTAGATTAACATTTAACATATGTATGCTTAGCTTTAGTTCGCATCCTCTAACGTACGGAGCATTAACAGTTTTCATTCAAAAATCTTCGGTAGTCTTGGTGTGACCGAGTTCAATGCGTAACGGAAAACGCTACTTATGTAGTGTGATGATGCAAACTCAGGATAATCGAATTAAATATGCAAGAAGATGACTATTACGCTGTGCTAATTGAGTTACAGAACATCTTTGTGTTATAATTCATTTCTTTTTTGTTCGTTTTTTTTTTGCGTTTAGCTGTTAATCTTGAATATTAATTCAATACATACATATTGGATAAATATTATGTTTCTATACATTTTCTGTTTAGATTATTTTTATATCTTACGTTTCGGATCCGGTGAGTCTCGATCTAGGACAGCGTATCGAGGTATTTCTATACCTTCGTTTTCTAAAATAGCATAAACTCTTCGACGATCCTATAAAAGAATTTGAAAAACATTTTATTTATGAACTTTATTTTAACCCTAAAAAGCACTTAAGATAATGGAATCTTCATTCGAATATAATATCTACATGCATACAGAATCTTATCTAATCTATCTCAGATAAGAATTGTACTTATACCTATTAGGGTAATTTTTCATTAATAAATTTATGAAATAATATTATAAATAAAATTACCATAAGTTTGAGCTCAACTAAATACGCAATCTCCGGTTTTCTTTCATAAACCTACTTCTTAGAATCTTAATTATATGTATGTTTTGCACTGTATACGGTACTTTATTAATCCGTAAGTATATTTATAAAACCCAGTATAATAAACATTACTTTATCGTAAAACCAACATTAAAAGAAAACACTTAGTAATCGCAAGTAGAATATAAGGTCTCAAACACTTCTAATTACCTGGATATCGTATTGCATGTGGAGATTATTAATTACATAGGGCTTCCTTAATTTTTCGTACTGTATGGCCTTGTCTAACGGGAAGCCCTTGGAGTGGAATGAGATTAAACAGTCGCAGATCGGCCATTCCTCGACCGGCTTCTGCAAAACAATACATCATCAACGACACGGGAACAGATCGTGAAGTAAACATCATTCATACCACACAAAGCAAACGGATGTTCAATGGAAACATTATTTTTTAACTCAGTAACATATACATATCGTTATATATAGCCATACATTATACAGCAACAGAAAATGTATTATGACAAAAATAGTTATTTGTTAAACAAAATAATGTCCATCGCTATGAAGGTGGATTTTTTTTTTGGGGAACAGTAAGCAAAGCGTGGTGAGCTATTTTGTTAGATATCGAGAACCTTAAGGATAACCTCCTCTGGGAAGACGAGCATCTTAATGAACTCGAATTCGTCGAGGCGGGTGAGGATCTCCTTCATCGGCTTCGACTGCGACTTCTTCGCCATCGCACAAACCCCAACCACCACTCTCTTGCCCCCGCCATCGCAGTGCGGGTCCAGGGAATCACACAGCTCCAATTCGCCCTACATATAAAGATTTTTTTAATTTATTTCTGACCTGGATACAAAATCCTTTAGACATACATCAATAAAACAACTAATAAAGGAATCTAAACAGAAGAGAAAAATAAATAAGTTGTCAACACTATGTAATGCAATGATGTACTTGAATTAAATTCAAGATGGACATATAGAATGAAAAATTCGTGTAATATAATTCAAATAAAAACCACAATATTCTGAAGGTCAAACCTATGAAGGTTTGAACCTGTTTATGTGCATGAATTTTAAATTCTATATTTTCTGATTGAGTTTTTATTTGAAGGCAAATCACAGAATTCCATTTGCAGTACTGATCTTTGTTAATTATTTTTTCCTAAGCTATGTATGTTATATATTACTTATATTCCTAAGATCTTTTAAAAACATAATTCTTAAGAATTATAATCATGATATTAAGTTTTTATGTTTATTTGGAATGGCAATAATTCATTCAAAGAATTATTGATTTTTAAAAAACATGTTGACAGGGCTTTCTTTAAATATTTGATTCTAAACAAAAAGTTTATCTTAAAACCAAACTATATAATTAAGATTAAATGTTAAGTATCAAATAAAAAAGATTTCTTGTGAGATTAAGATTTTAAATTCAAATTATTATTTTTTTGTATCATACAGATTTAAAAAAAACATACTTAAATTAATTATGAAATAAACACAGTACAATAATTTAAGATGTGAATTAATTTATAGCATTAAAAAATACAATTTAAACATTCTACTCTATTACAGTACAGTCAAGTAATGTAACAATAGGCACTTATTTCGTGATAGTCTTAATTTCCATATAATTAACATTCCGTCCTTGAATTCTTATAGGAATTATTTTAAAATTAATCCAAACTATTGTTAATTAAAACTAATTTTCATATATGAAATACTAATGACAAATGTATCAAAATTATAATGATTAAATTAATTATTGTTTTAGTAATAATTATAATTATTTATCTAATACTTTTGTGGTATTTCATTTAAAATCGTGGAATAATAAAAAATAGGACAATTCTGTAAACATTATGCCATAGAAAATCATACAAGGACATCATTGTATGTTTTTGCATTCGTAACTGTTTATGGTGCCTTGACCTCATTTAGATTTTATTCTATAATGATCACAAATATATTGCTTTCATACATTTTTTTATAAACTGGATATAAAAATGCTTTTTAATATACATATACATATTAGGTTACATCTAATTAACACTGATTACTTATAACATTTATACAATTCAATAAGATTTATTTTCAAGTCTTATACAATCAGAAATATATTTATATAATATTCGTGCACAAATTATAATATCTAAAACATCTCACATCAGGTAAACAATCATCACAGTAGCAGAACTCATCATCACTTTGATCTTTCTTTTTTTTGTTCCTCCATCTTTTCAAACGCCACCAGTCCTTAAGCCACTGCCACTCCATCACTCACAAACACAATACTATCTAATAACAAACATTTATTTGATAAGAGCTTTGAGTGAGCTCAATGATTGGCTGCTTCTAGACACAAGATAACCAACTCTTTGACAAATAAATTAACATGCTGTTACCTCACTTGTCATTGTCACTATTTGCTATAAATAATTTTCACTCTACTATGTTTATGATAATGGCTGGTCCTGTGCTCTTTATAATGTGTTTGTTTGCTAATAGTGTTATCATTTTGTTTGTTTTGTACCGTTCGGTCTGTTGGTAGTATTCAAATTTACATACATATGTGTATTTAAAACGTATTGTGTAAAACTAAACATATTGACTAAATAAACGATAGGGGCGAGTAAAGGTACTTATATGTAAATAATTGTCCTAAATGTATACGTTTATTAATTTAGAGGATTCTACTAGAGCAGATGTCCATTTCTTACTTACAGAGGATCTTATTGGTACAAGGTTTCCGTCTTCGCCGACATAAAACTGAGGCTGAGTAGCTTGTCGCAACCCTTGATAGCCATGTTCAAGCTCAGTGTAGGACATCACCTACATAGAATCCCTAATTTATTTAGCTAATGGGTACAAAAATAACATATAAAGTAAAGTAGATAAAAATATTTTTCAAAATTATTACTAAAATGAAATCTTGACAAGTGTCAATAGCGTTTATGATAAATGCGTTATGCTAGAAATGACATTAGCATTTAATGACATCCTGTGTTGTCACAACATGAATCTGCAAAATGAAATAATTAACAAAACATTAATCGTCATCATCCAGCCGCAAACGTTCAATAATAAATATGTCCACATAAGAAATATACAGTTGAGAGTTTAGATTTGACTATATCAAAAAAAATAAAAAATATTTGAATATCATATCTGCCAAGCGTGGCGATTATGGCAAAAACCCCCCAAGATGCACAACATTGAATATATAAAATGCAATAACTGGACACTAATCTATTAATCCAAATGCAAATTATTTTCAAGTGACTTTCTATTGAAGGCATACTGTATGTAAAATGCATGTAATTTGTAGAGTCAGTCATTATGTAAATGGTCATAATAATTTTTTTTATTATTTTCTTTTGAAGACACTATTCTATAAATAATATCGAAATCTATACTTAATATTATAAAGCTGAAGAGTTTGTTTGTTTGTTTGAAAGCGCTAATCTCCGAAACTACTGGTTCGAATTGAATAATTCTTTTTGTGTTGGATAGTCCAGTTATCGAGGAAGGCTGTAGGCTATATAACATCACGCTACGACCAATAGGAGCAAAGATATAGTGGTAAATGTGTAAAAAACGAGAGAAATTATTTCATCTTTGAAGCCTTCCGTTGCGTGCACCGTGAAAACGGTTCAAGGTATACAAAAAATATGTATTAAAGAATAATAGCTCTTTTATAGATCTAAAAAACAGTCCGCGACAATATATGCCTATCTTTTAAGATTAACTCACAAAAACCGTTTTTATGGTACCAAATTTGGTCGAAATAATTTGTTTAAATTGTATCAACATAATTATATTAATCTTTATTCAAATAAACAAATAAATATGTTGTTGGTTAAGAGTACTTTATTGTGAATTAAAAAAACATAGATTTTATCCTGAAAATTCTACGATAACTCGACCATTCCGAAAACCCCGCAAGAACGGGAACTATGATGGAAGAACCAAAAATCTGCCGGAAGTCACTATTTCACGTGGACGGAGTCGCGGCAAAAGCTAGTCATTTATAAATAACTTGATTTTATGATCATAAACCTAAAGACCTATTCAATAAGTAAATATATAATAAATATATTTTAATAAAGAATAATAATAGAAATTAGTAAAACTTCGTATTCTTTACTACGCAAAGACAGGTAAATTAAAAATAAAAATAGAATATATTTATTTTATGTCATACTTGAACAGGGTTATGGATCATCATAGGTTCATTTCTGAAAAAACGGAACAACGAACGTCAAAGTCAAAATCATATGGTAGCCTATACAGTATACGTATTCTACGGTATAAAAACGTGCCGCATACCTTTTTTAATTTTTAATTTAATAATGATACATAAACAATTGTATGTCAGAAAGCTGAAAGAATTTTAACCGCCTAATATAATTTAATTAATATGGATTTAAAAACACATCCTAATGACCCTGAATCTTCTTTACATAGTTTCTGGCAAGCTATTAATATTTTGATAACAAAACCTCATGTAGTAAACAAACGATTATGGGGTTGCACAGTTCTACACAAATTTGTTTATACAACTTCGACTTCGACTTGGGACAGTGATTTAAAAAAGATTAAGATACAAAATATCCCAAACACTTCACAATTCCTGACAAACTTGACCGAAAAATTAAAACTTTTAAATTTCGATGAGGTTGATGCCGTCATAGAAATCATTATTGTAGAGCTCCTTCCTAAAAGTTATGACGAGAAACATGCTTATCAAATGATTTGCCTAAACAAAAATAAGAATTCAGCTACTTTTATTGACATCACCCCTACAGAATTTAAGCAAATATTATGTCCAACATTTCCTTACACATTCTGTAAAGAAAATGACATTATTTTACGATCTTCAGGTTTGCTTTATATTCTTTCCCATATATTTATTTATTTACTTGTAATAATGTATGATTTGTATTTTCATAATATTTTTTCCTCCTTCAGATACAGAGAGTAAATCTTATATGTGGCTAAAAGAAACAGTTTTACCACAAGTCATTAAGTGGAGTAATGAACTTATAAATGACAATGCAAAAACATTCTGTAATGAGTCTCTAGCATTGGTATCCAATGATAAATATTATTCTAAATACAATGACTTGAAATTGAAGTATGGGAAGAATCTGGTTGAGGTATTTATCATCAAAACTAATTATTTCTGCATATTTAAATCTTAAAATTAGACATGGCACATCAATGAATTTATTTTTGGTTTTCAGATATGGCCTGAATGCACGGATCCTGCAAAATTTGTGTATGAGGACATTGCCATAGCCACATATTTGCTTCTCTTATGGGAGGAATATGGTTCACAAACATTTGTGGATGTTGGATGTGGTAATGGCTTGCTAGTGTACATCTTAACTATGGAAGGACATTTCGGACTTGGTGTTGATGTAAGAAAAAGAAAAATATGGGACATGTATCCTAATAATATTAAGTTGAAAGTAAGTCATATTCTCAACTCTTAAATATAAGTACATCAAAATTGCAAATTACTATTATTTGTATTGATTTTAGGAAAGTACTGTGACTCCATCAAATATCCATGAATTTTCTGATGCCGATTGGATCATAGGAAATCATTCCGATGAACTTACGCCCTGGATACCGGTTATATCAGCTATAAGTTCATATAAAAGCAAATTTTTTCTACTTCCATGTTGCGCATACAACTTCGATGGCAGCAAATATAGAAGACAGGATTCATCCAAGAGCCAATATATGGAATACTTAGAATATATAAAGAATCTATGTGACTATTGTGGGTTTGAAACACATATTGATAGATTGAAAATCCCAAGTACAAAGAGGATCTGTCTCATTGGAAAAACGAGAAGGTATAAAGAACATGAACATGGTGAATATTGTTCATTAGTAAATAATTTACTTGAAAAAGAAATTGGTGTTTCTAACTCTCATCTTGACAATGATAGTGTGAAGACAAGAGATCCCGTTGAAAGAGTGAGAAATTGCACACAAATTGATAAAGACATATCAGAGGAAATAATTATGTGCATAGCAAAATATTTATTAGAAGACTGCTCTAAACAATTAACTTGGTCAATAGGAAGGAAAACTGAACTTAAGAACCTTATTCAGTTAATTCCAAGTGATAAATTAAAAGTTTTAAAGTCAGAATGTGGAGGCTTACAGACTCTTTTGAAAAATAATCATCACATATTTAAGGTGGAAAGAGGATTTGTGCAATTAAGGCACCCAAGAACAGTTGAAGAGTTACAGAACAATTTTAAGAGTAAAAATAATAATAGAATTAGAATTAAGGCGAGAAAGTGTTGGTTTTTTAACAATCATCCACAGGGATGTCCATTAGATAGTACAGTATGTAGCTTCCTCCATGAATATATGTAATATGAATTCATATTTTTATAAAGAAAAAAATTATATGATGTTTAAATTTTTATTAAAAGTTTATTTAACCAACATTAAAAATGTTTATCATGTATAAAACTCATAAAAATAGCCTTATCTTGTCATCAAAATATCCCACTACAGTTATATCACAATAAGATAATGGTAGTCAAGCAAGCTGACATAAAATTGAACTTATATACATATCATATAATTTAGTATATTTCATGGCTCCACTTCAAAGAATTTGTTCAGTTCATTAAGATTTCTTTCATCAACTAATTTTGCAGCATCATGCTCACCCATAAAGGAACAAACCATTCTTAATGTTGTCCAAATGGTTGAAGAGCTTATATCAGATGAAGCATTTGGATTCAAACTTTGAGCTTTATATTGCTGATTTAGAACAACTAAGAAATGCTCGGCTGCTTGTTTATGAGCTCCTAAATTCATGCATGTGATACCAACATTATATCTAGCTCTTATGAAACCTGGTTCTAGGTTGAGAGCTGCATGATAAGCATCAAGGGCTTCCTCAGATCTGTCACTGTTAGCAAGAGTTGCTCCTAGCCTATTCCACAATTTAGCATTATCGGAAGCCACAGCCAGAGCTGCTTTAAAACAATCTACCGCTTTATCATACTGCTGGTTAATGTTACAAATTACGCCCAATGCATTTTGTACATCGGGATCCACTTGAACAGGGTTTAATTGTGCTGCTTTCAGGTACAGTGATGTTGAATATGCCTCCAATTCTTTAAGACTCATTTTGTGAGGGTCAATGTCTTGAGGAACCAAGTCACTATACTTACTACTGGCCTTCAACCAATCTAACAATGTTAAATATGCATGTTTAGCCATGTTCTCATTGGTGTATGCAGCCGCTAAAGTTATATATGCTTCTAATTGTCTCGGATCAATTTCTAATGATTTTTTTAGAGCCGTTATTGCTAGAGGATCTTGTTCATTCTCAGCTTGTGTTGTGCCAAGTAAGAACCAAGCTTCAGCTGAATCCGGTTGCTGTTGTGCTGCCGCTTCAAAACATAGAACGGCACCTGGAATATCACCCATCTTTAACTTCTCCTTACCAAGTTCTAGGGCACTTTTATTTTCCAACATCATGTTCCCCTCTGCAAATGTATATTCTTTTGCTATTCCATTTGCTGCTTCAGAATTCCAGTATTCATTGACATCACTCAACTTAGCCCATTCGTCTTTGTATTTTTCAGCCATCTCTTCAACTATTTTATCTTTCATCATACTTTTTTGTTCCCCATCCAGACTTTCTCCAAGGTTTAATTCACCAGAACTTATTCTTTTCATAAATGACATAAAATTATTATAAGCAAGTTCGTCATCTTCTTTAACACTGTTAACATATTCTTGAGCTTTTGATTGAACATCACTATCAGATTTTTGCAACTCGGATTCATTAACATATTGTATCTGAACATTTGATGACTGTGGTTGCCTCATTATTTGGAATGGTGTTTGAAAAGGTCTCATTGCCGAGGGCATAAAGGATGCTGACGGAGCATGCATCCAAGGAGATGGCATATGTGGACGAACATTCGAAATTTGACTTGTAGATGGTTGAGCAGTAATGTTTGACACTTTCTCCGCTTCCGGCATATTATTAAGAAGGGCGTTCATATTAAAAGTTTGAGGAACTTGAGAGTTTTGTGCCAAAAATTCATTAACAAATCTATCAGATTGTGATAAGTTTTGTGTTATTGAACCATCTCTACCTACAATATTTGTTAGTTTAACAAGTGAATTATTACCGCCACAATCACCTCCGACAAGTTTGTTTAAAGACATTTTAATTACAATTTAAATAACACAACTGTATGCAATTGTTATTCGGTTGACACTACTAATCTCTGTACTAAAACTTTGATAAAGTTAAGTGAGCAAAGGTCACAGTTCAAACAAAAACATGTTCGAGTTTATTTTTCCTTCAATGTAATATATTTACATATTCATCCACGTCTGACGTATTTCATATAAAATATAAGTAGAGGTATAAGCCTAGTACAGTAATACAGATATTTAATAAACTGCATGAATCAGCTGGTTCAACTGTCAGTTTCAGTATTTAAAATTATTATTAAATCGATACTTTTACTTTTGTTAAATTTATAACTATTATCTTAGTATATCGTTTATTGTCTTAGTTATATTGAAAACTTTTTGTTTTTAATAAAAAAAATATATTTTAGAAACTTCAAAATCGGACAGCTGTTTTTGACATTACTCTATTCTTGAACGCACATTTTTTGATTAACCTAAACCCACTATTCTATTTATTAATTACCTATTCCTTTTAGTTTATTTTAAAGGTGATATCTTTGAAACATTAAAGATAGTTTGTTTTAATTCTCCCCTAATATTATTGATAAGTAATGTATGGTTTTTAAGTCAGAAATATCGAGTACTTTTTATATAAATTATGTAATAGGTTATAAACTCTTAACTACAAGTTTTTCAACAAGGTTGTATATTTTATGAATAAAATCTGTTATTTATTGGCAATTTATCGTTGGTGGCAATGTCAGAAAACAACGACAAAAGCTCAGATCAGAAACCAAAAGTTACAGGGAATACTAAAGATGTTTCTGAGGAAGACCTTTCATCAATTGATCCATCTGAAAAATGGCTGGTTAGTAAATTATATTTTGTTAAATAATCATTATTGGCTAACAGATTTTCATAAAATATAATAAACATTAAAGTAAGTGGTTATATTATTGTGGCTTGTAAAGTGGTATAGCACTAAAATAATTTGTAACGAACAAAATTTTTCCCTTTCTGCTCTTTTCATATATTAAATAATATTTTTTCAAGAACATACAAAGTTCAAAACTTTCTGACATACATTAATTTATTAAAATATAAGATAAATGTTGTTTTACTAAAATGCTTAACAACCTTTTTTCTTTCAGATTAGAGATTGTGATGTGTACAAAGATGAATATGATGAATGTACTAGTTTTAGAGGGAGATTCCATCAGTATTTCATTTATGGTGACACATTGGATTGTAACCAATGGAAGAAGGACTACACAAACTGCTGTAAATGGGTCGATAACAATGATGTAAAAGCAGGGGTAAGTATTTCTAAACTTTTCACTACTTTTATCTTATTTAAACTTATCCAAGGTGCTAGAGCCTAGCTGTAGTCAATTACTACAGCTCGAACATGAGCTGACTTGACCGGGGAAGTACGACCCTCTCACAGAAGATCGGCATGAAGTGGCCTTTAATGGCTGCATTTCGTCTGATGAATGAGAAAGCCGGTTGTCCTTTCCCTATTCCCACACTCTCCTACAATTTCCTTATTCCCACCCCTCCTTATTACTAAAAAAAGTAGGCCGTCAGTTCGTTTGCCACCTTTAACATAAAAAAAACATTTATTGTATTGAGTATAATAATGTTTCAAAATAAATTAACAGATTTTTTTTATTTGTTTTTTAGAAAGCTGTAATCCAAAGCGAGACAACTAGACGATTGGAAAGGTTAAGACCTCACTACCAGAATAATGTTTGGAAAAAAAGAGAGTCCCCTCCTGCTGACTGGGACAAACCTTTACCTGAATGGTTACAGAAAAGAGACGAAAATTCATATCTTGCATTAAAAGCCAAAGAAATGAAGGAGGGTAAAGAAGAAAAGACAAGTTCTTGTTGTATTATGTAACATCAAAGTACAAATAAATAACAAACTCATGTGATAATAGTGTTTATTAAATAATATTAGACTACTGCTGTGTCTGTATTGGGTGTATGCAATATTTATATTACAGATAAATATGTAGTGGTTTATACTTAATATTTGTATTATTTTTATTACCAATAAAAATTATTAGACTATAACAATGATTGATGCAAATACTATATTCAAATTTTAAATAAAATCATAAAAATATCATTTTTAATCACTAACATGATGAGATCTAAGGCTTTCGCGGATATTCATTTAAATAAACGACTATCACAAATTAAAAAATTTCTTCTAATGTCGAATAATCTCTACACCATTTTTATTATCCACAATAAGAAATGGAGAATTTTTAAATTATTGCGTGTGTGTATTGTTTATCGTAATGAAATATATAATATACGATCATCAGTAATGAAAGCCCTGACCCAGCAACTGAGTTATCGTTAACAAAATGATAACGCGATTTGTATGACATGTATCGTTCACAAATAAGAATGTTTTATCGTATGTTTACTTAGTGAAGGCACGACATTCGTTGTAATTATAGCACTAATGAGCCGCTTACTCCAACGTGTTGTCGGTTTGCGTTTTAAATACTTGATGGCTAGGAACGCGTCCAGTTACCTCATTGAGGATCCCAAATATTCCTTTTTAAAAGATTTGGGGTTGGATAAAAAAAATGTGGGAGTTTTTAATGGAAAATGGGAAGCTAACGGCCCGGTACGTCTTATTTTTCTACACAATTTAATGTTTTATTATATTTTTATTAATTTTATATTTTTCTACACAATTTATTGGATCTGAAAGTATCAATATTAATTTTCTATATTAATCGTATCCAAAATTCCAGATGATTCAATCCTTTAGTCCAGCCAACGGTAAAGTAATAGCGGAGGTGCAGGCGGCCAGTGTTGCAGATTACGAATCCTGTGCTAAGGCTGCTCAGGATGCGTGGCACGAATGGGCGGAAATGCCGGCACCAGCCCGGGGGGAAATCGTCAGACAAATAGGAGACGCCTTAAGAGAGAAGTTGCAGCCTTTAGGGCAATTAGTTTCTTTAGAAATGGGTATGTTTCATCTGATAAAAACAAAATTCTAAATCTGATAAACACAAAAGTTCTTATTTATATGGGCTTCTAATATAGTACACAATATTGAATAAGTGTTTAAAACAAGAAAAATCTGAACCACAAAGACAGTTTAAAACTTCTCATTATATTTAAAACCCTTTGTGTCTAAGTATAAAATGTGTTTGTTTCAGGTAAAATTCTTCCCGAAGCAATAGGTGAAGTGGTTGAATATATCCACGTATGTGACTTAGCACTTGGTCTATCACGCTCACTCCCTGGTACGATTTTCCCATCGGAGCGGCCTGGTCACGTCCTTATTGAAAAATGGAATCCTCTCGGTGCCATCGGTATCATAACTGCTTTCAATTTTCCTGTCGCCGTTTTTGGATGGAACAGCGCTATCGCAATGGTAAGTTTTTGGTTGGTGATAATAACAAAAAAAATAACTACAAGTACTTTGATAATAATTATGAACGATTATCTAATCATCACGAATTAATATTGTTATTTTTATAATCGTGATAAAGAAACGCGCCTCCTAAAATTCCACCTATATGAAAATGATAACTTCATTTAATTGATTATTAAGTATTTTTATATGGAATATGTAGATCTGCACCGTTCTAATTACGTTTAATAAAATGTTCATTTCATATACACATAAACATATGTGTGTGTAAATGGGTTTGAAACTTTAAGAATGAGTTAAGTGTTGTAGTAGTTAATTTTTTCGCATAATTTTAAACAGTTTGACACTAGAAAAATAGTTTCAAAATATTAAGGTGGCCAACCGTCCCGCATTCTGCGGGACCGTCCCGCAATTCTAGACGAAATCCCGCTTTGAAATTATTAGTAAAATAGTCCCGCAAAACGTTGTATGCGTCCCGCATGTCCCGCATCCCTATTTTTCTACCACACTTCTACACAACACCCATACCACGGCCAACAGTGCAGGAACACAGATTACCTATAATAGCGACAAGCGTATCGCGACCGCGATAATCTCGTTTTCTTTCTTTCTTTCTTCTGAACTCATGACGCGTAAGAGAGTAATTAAAATTTAATATGAGCAGTTGCGAAGATTTTTATGACATTCACAATCCCTAATACCCCCCCCCCCCTCCCCCGCCATTCAAGAAAAGTTAAGTCCCGCATTCAGTTTTCGGAAAGTTGGCCGCCTTACAAAATATTAATCTACCAAAATATACATAGGTATGCGGCGACGTCAGCGTGTGGAAGCCATCAGAAACCACACCACTCATATCAGTGGCAGTGACCAAGATTGTAGAAAGTGTTCTCGTTAAAAACAACATTCCGGGGGCTGTGGCTGCGTTGTGCGTTGGCGGGAAGGATATTGGACAAACATTAGTGAAAGATCACAGGATGAAGCTGGTCTCCTTCACAGGCAGCACAGCTGTTGGGCAAGAGGTAACATTATACATATATTTGTTCTTGGAACACAGTTGCTGCAAAGTACAAAAATCGTCGGGAGTAGGTGTAGTTAAAATAACAAAATGATTAGTAAATACCAAAAAAATACTTTTATCTAATAACACTTGTTAGTTGTCCATAGAATTTAAAATAGGTTTAAAGCTTGTCAATTGTGAAAAGTATGTGTTATGAAATAATCAGGTGGGTGTGGAAGTCCAAAGGCGTTTCGGGCGTCACTTGTTGGAACTAGGAGGAAACAACGCTATCATCGTGAACGAGGACGCCAACCTTCAACTGCTGCTGAATGCGGCGCTGTTCGCTTGCGCTGGGACCGCGGGACAACGCTGTACTACCACAAGAAGACTGCTTATACATAAAAAAGTAGGTTAACCACTTATTTACTACGCTCTATCACAGAGTAATAGATAGTTTTTTTGGCCTTCTATTAACTTTTCTAAATTATATTTCTGTTGGTATAACTTAGCGAATTTTTTAGCGATAGCTTAAATCTATTTCAGGTGTACTCAGAGGTAGTGTCTAAGCTAAAGAAGGCCTATGCTAGTGTTTTAAGTCGTATCGGGGATCCATTAGAGTCCGAATCGCTAATTGGACCTCTCCACACACCAGCTGCTGTACAAGCCTACAAAGACACCGTTGCGGCTGCTGTTAAACAAGGAGGAATTATTGAATTCGGTGGAAAGGTAATTCATCTGGTTTATAAAATTAAGCCTACCGATTTCTTTGAATTAATACCACAACAATAATGAACTGAATTGTTTGTAAATTGTAATAATTTTAATTGTAGGTGATCGAACGTGAAGGCTACTTTGTGGAGCCGACCATCATAACAGGTCTACCGCATGACTCTCCGCTGGTTAAGACTGAATGTTTCGCTCCCATCGTTTATTGTATTGAGATTCCCGATCTAGAAACCGGTATTCAATACAATAATGAAGTGGAGCAGGGTCTATCATCAAGTCTTTTTACTGAAAATATGGGAAATGTTTTCAAGGTAAGCGTCTTCTAGTCCTTTTTTAACATTTAAAATATTTATTATACTTTATAGTATACAGGGTGACTGGTGAATTACTATCGATATTTGAGGACGTGATATTTGACGATCATATATGACAAAATAAAAATTAATATAACATAAATATTAATAAACTTCTTCGTAAAGTTAACCAAAAGTTATGTAATTAATTACGCATCGTATGAACACCCTACAGATTAGGTATACGCTCACACACACACTCGCGCGCGGCGGCGTGTTGTTGTATCAGCACGCCGCCGCACGCGTCCACACTTGGAACACTTGGAACGTGTCAACACTTTATTTATTTATACGGAAATTTTGTCAAAAATTAAGTGCCTATTTTTTTACATAATTCGAATGAGAATCATGTACCGAGTATGCTCCTTAAATATTGATAGTAATTCACCAGTCACCCTGTATAGTGTTGCCATATTTAGTCTACCGTCGTAGACTTTGGTAGACCTTTATTCAATTTCCCGCGTTTTTTCTCTACTCTTACTGCCAATTTTTAAATGTGATAAAGACTGACGTTCAATTTAAATATAGAATATTTATCAGTTTTAAATAATAGAACGTCAGTAGTAAAACAAAATTAATTTAAATCTCTACATGAAGTGTACATAATTAACCCAATTTATAGTGGATTGGTCCTCACGGGTCGGATTGCGGCATCGTGAATGTAAATATCCCAACCAACGGCGCGGAGGTCGGTGGAGCCTTCGGAGGCGAAAAGGCTACGGGCGGCGGCCGCGAGTGTGGGTCGGACTCCTGGAAGAGCTATATGCGTCGCTCTACAGTTACTATCAACTACTCGGGAACCATTAAACTCGCACAGAACATCAAATTTGGCGACGACTAATATATCTATGTATAAATATACATTTTCTACAATGAGTAACTTGTCCAATAAGATAATTTAAGACTGATTAAAACACGTTATAGAACTTAAATACTTTATTTTTGAAATTCCTTACAGTGTATATGTTAGATTATAATTGATTGCAAATATTTACATTTAATGATAGTAAATAATATTCTAAGTGACCTAATGATGTATTCTCCATAAATCTACAGCAATATCCCTTGTTTGTTGTTTGTGAAACTTGTATGTGGCCGGAAGGTTGTATTTGAGTTCAGCAATTACGGTACCCTTAGCATTCCATTCCTTGACTTTCTTTTGTATGTGTGACCTTTAACATTTCATTTATTATTATACTGAAAATTGGCTTATAGTAAACATAATTTAGAGGACATACCTTGTTGAGCTTTTGTGTAATGAGAAAACGCTATCACTTGTAAGATCTAGTCCCATTCTGAGAAATTTCATATCCATCCCAACATTATTTTTCGTTCCAAAAGGTGGATTCATGAGAACGGTATCAAAATAATTGTTCCACCTTAAAATGACAAACACATACATTTATAAACAGAAATATGAGTAAGGATTAGGATATGTGTATTAAAACTTACTTTAATAAATTAGGACTTAAAAAGTCACATAGAACAGCATCAACATTAGTGAGTTCTATATCTTCAATATTATCTTTCAACACTTCTATAGCATTGTCGTCAATATCAACACCAACAACAGTCCCTGCTCCGAGGAGGGCTGCACCTACTGAGAGCATCCCAGGTCCACAACCTGCATCCAATACCAGCTTGTCTTCTATTGAAGAATATTGAGTCTATGAAAAAGTAAAAAACTCAATCTTCTACCTCAAACTAATAAATAAGTTATATTATACTTGAAACTCACCTGGATAGTATAAAGAGCAACAGCTGCAATATGTGCCGGAGTCTCATATTGTTCCAACTGTATTTTAGGTTTAGAAAAACCAGAGATGCTGCCGAGGTGACCCTCAAGAGTCTTCAGTTTCATGATTGATGACATTCTACTATTTGCTTTCAAATGTTGGTAATACAGGGAGTATTTGATCACCAAATGACGAATCTTGAGAGACAAAAAATCCCCAAGATGTTGCGTTCGCGTGTTGTAGTGCGGCTCTGTGACTTGTGTTGACAATATTAGCCTCTGGTAGCTGTGGGAAACCCTAAAATAAAAAATATAACTGACATTAATCATCTTCAATTAAGTTTTAGTCATCAAAATATCAAAGATACTAACAGCAGTTGCAGAAAGCGGTGGAATAGAGCACATGGGCAATTGGCTGACAGGGCTAGGCTGTGCAAGGGATATCGTGGTCGCAGTCAAAGGAGCTACGGCACCTTGTTTCATTAACATCTGTTTCTTAAGCTGTAATTCTTCCAATATCTTTCTATTTGTTTGTAGTCTACCGTACCGTCTATTGTAGTCTACCGTCGTAGACTTTGGTAGACCTTTATTCAATTTCCCGCGTTTTTTCTCTACTCTTACTGCCAATTTTTAAATGTGATAAAGACTGACGTTCAATTTAAATATAGAATATTTATCAGTTTTAAATAATAGAACGTCAGTAGTAAAACAAAATTAATTTAAATCTCTACATGAAGTGTACATAATTAACCCAATTTATAGTGGATTGGTCCTCACGGGTCGGATTGCGGCATCGTGAATGTAAATATCCCAACCAACGGCGCGGAGGTCGGTGGAGCCTTCGGAGGCGAAAAGGCTACGGGCGGCGGCCGCGAGTGTGGGTCGGACTCCTGGAAGAGCTATATGCGTCGCTCTACAGTTACTATCAACTACTCGGGAACCATTAAACTCGCACAGAACATCAAATTTGGCGACGACTAATATATCTATGTATAAATATACATTTTCTACAATGAGTAACTTGTCCAATAAGATAATTTAAGACTGATTAAAACACGTTATAGAACTTAAATACTTTATTTTTGAAATTCCTTACAGTGTATATGTTAGATTATAATTGATTGCAAATATTTACATTTAATGATAGTAAATAATATTCTAAGTGACCTAATGATGTATTCTCCATAAATCTACAGCAATATCCCTTGTTTGTTGTTTGTGAAACTTGTAAGTGGCCGGAAGGTTGTATTTGAGTTCAGCAATTACGGTACCCTTAGCATTCCATTCCTTAACTTTCTTTTGTATATGTGACCTTTAAAATTTCATTTATTATTATACTGAAAATTGGCTTATAGTAAACATAATTTAGAGGACATACCTTGTTGAGCTTTTGTGTAATGAGAAAACGCTATCACTTGTAAGATCTAGTCCCATTCTGAGAAATTTCATATCCATCCCAACATTATTTTTCGTTCCAAAAGGTGGATTCATGAGAACGGTATCAAAATAATTGTTCCACCTTAAAATGACAAACACATACATTTATAAACAGAAATATGAGTAAGGATTAGGATATGTGTATTAAAACTTACTTTAATAAATTAGGACTTAAAAAGTCACATAGAACAGCATCAACATTAGTGAGTTCTATATCTTCAATATTATCTTTCAACACTTCTATAGCATTGTCGTCAATATCAACACCAACAACAGTCCCTGCTCCGAGGAGGGCTGCACCTACTGAGAGCATCCCAGGTCCACAACCTGCATCCAATACCAGCTTGTCTTCTATTGAAGAATATTGAGTCTATGAAAAAGTAAAAAACTCAATCTTCTACCTCAAACTAATAAATAAGTTATATTATACTTGAAACTGACCTGGATAGTATAAAGAGCAACAGCTGCAATATGTGCCGGAGTCTCATATTGTTCCAACTGTATTTTAGGTTTAGAAAAACCAGAGATGCTGCCAAGGTGACCCTCAAGAGTCTTCAGTTTCATGATTGATGACATTCTATTTGCTTTCAAATCTTGGTAATACAGGGAGGATTTGATTACCAAATGACGAATCTTGAGAGACAAAAAATCCCCAAGATGTTGCGTTTGCGTGTTGTAGTGCTGCTCTGTGACTTGTGTTGACAATATTAGCCTCTGGTAGCTGTGGGAAACCCTAAAATAAAAAATATAACTGACATTAATCATCTTCAATTAAGTTTTAGTCATCAAAATATCAAAGATACTAACAGCAGTTGCAGAAAGCGGTGGAATAGAGCACATGGGCAATTGGCTGACAGGGCTAGGCTGTGCAAGGGATATCGTGGTCGCAGTCAAAGGAGCTACGGCACCTTGTTTCATTAACATCTGTTTCTTAAGCTGTAATTCTTCCAATATCTTTCTATTTGTTAGTTCTGAAATAAAAACATTCAATGATTTTATAATGAACTTAAATAAAATGACTGTCTCAAAGTATGTATTTTACCTCTCTGTGCATTTGGCTGGGGAAACGCCATCTAAAAGTTTTAGACAAAGATTCAATGTATTTTTGTACTAAATTGTAATTAAATGCCGCCTTAGCTGTATATTTTTATCCTAGTTTAGGCATCATTTCCCACAACTCACACATTGCATGACATTGACAGATTTTTTTGACATAAGCAATGAAACAATACTTCATAACTGTCAAAATGATAAAGATTTAGATTTGTTCGAAAGAGTTTTGTGTCTCATAAATAAAAAACAAAAAGCATTAAATATAATTATCATATTTTTCTTGCTGTAAAGATTTTCGACTTATTCTTTGGACGGTTTCAACTTCTCTAAAATTAAATGAAAGATACACAAAGAGCATTGTAAGCCTTAATGACTCCTTTTACAATAATGTACATCCTTAAAAACTTCTTGCACAGATTTCTCAAGAAAGTGATCTCTCAACTCAAGCGTGATAATTCGTAAGGATCAGTTACCTATATAGCTTAAGAGCCAGTGAACGGATACCTGTATGTATTTGACCAGACCTGGGCTTTTGAACGTTGAGACCCCTTTACCTACCGTACACGAGATGAGGACTCACTAAGCCCTAAGTGGTGGACCCGGCTAGTGCGCAGGTAGGACAGGTATCGATTTTTGGTTATCTATAAATGCATTTGGCCACGTCTGCCGTTTTGATATTTGAAAATAAGTATATTACTATTATTAGTGGAAGAAAACAATGGCAGACCACTACCATGCGTTTAACATTGTAGCAGACGATTTTGAAAATGTAAAAAATTTTTTTTTGAAAGTAATTGACCAGATCTGCCATCTATATATTTTATTTATTATAGTCTTAAAACTTATATTGTGAATGGCAGACTTATTCATTGCGGATAAACATCAGCAGAAAAAAAAATCTGGGATATACTACCCGGTCAGATGTATGCATATAGCTATCTTTTTTCTTTCTCCAATGTATCACTATTGTACACATTCTTTTTTTTTTTTGGTGTCGGGTTGGAAAATCCTCATGGAGCCCCGCCGCCCTCGGGGAAGGACGGAGGGGACTGTCAGACTCTTACTGACTAAAAACCAACCCGTGTTCCTCATCTACCCGTGTGCCGGAGAGGCGGGTATCGCCGAAGCATTCATCACTACCCCCCCGACAGGATTGTACACATTCTAGCCTATAGTACCCTATCGATTTTTGTCAGATGCTCATAACTTATTTGTCAACCTTCACACAGATGCCTCGTGTTTCGTGAATTTTATAAAATACATAATGTTGCTCTATTTTATTTTGTTAATTTGACTATTATCTATTTAATATATTTGAGATTATGGCGGATGAAAAAGAAAAAGTACAGTGTGTTTTTCGGAAGAGACTATGGCGAAATGTTAAAAAATTTTTAGCTTACGAAAATTTCATAAATTAAAGTACAATGTATAAATTTACCCAAGGAAATTTTCGATTCAGGATATCATTGTAGTTGTTACAAGACGTTTACAGCTTTTAAAAAAAAATAACGGATGTCAATAAAAAAGTTCCATTACAGAGTACGTACTCGTCTGTAACTGAACAACCATCAACATCAGCTGCTAGCCCAATAGTTGATGATAACATGGTAGAACATTCTATTTTGAGTGACGTGTATGTTTCAGAGGCAAATGAAGTTGTAGAAAAAAATATTGACGCCGAAGTAGATCAGCCGATCGAGGAAAGACCATTGGAAGATTCCACAGAATCATCAACGGTTCAGACTTCTGATACCGCGGCTTCAGCAAACCTGAATTTTTGTTTATTTTTTACAAAACAAGCAGTTCAAGTCTAAAAATGAGCCATTGCGTATTTCAAGCAAAGATCAATTTCAGATAACTATCTTATCACAATTGAAATCAGATAATGAAATTTTTAATGAAACCTTGACAAAAATACAAAATTTTTCCTCTCGTAAAGTACATTACAGTCCTATCCGTACTTCATGGCACATATCTCGAGAAAGACATGAAATTGTTTATAAAGAAATTTGTAATTTACTTGAAGAAAATGTCATAAAGCGGGGACGTTGTTATTTTTTTTTTCATATTTACATAAAGAGTACCTATCTCGATATGTTTAAAGAACTGAGTGAAGGCTCAGATGCAACTTTAATATTTACCACATACTATTTGGAAGAGTAGATCATATGTATACCTATACATACATATATATATACATACATATATATAGTAATGCATCAATGATTGTTTTTTATTTATTTAACGTTTAAATTTTGTATTCAATAAATAAATTTAAAAAATAAAATACAAATTATAATTATTCTTTGTTCTTAGCAGTATACTACAATATTTAAGATTTTTTCGTTATGTATTCTATGTAGTCTACATACTAACTTTAAAAGTTTAGTATGTAGACTACATAGAATATATTAAATACAGTGATTAAGTAAACCATATTAATGTAAAACTGCTATCATAATATATAGACATCTGACCGGGTAGTATATCTCAGATTTTTTTATCTGCTGATGTTTATCCGCAATGAATAAGTTTGCCATTCACAATATAAGTTTTTAAGACTATAATAAATAAAATATATTGATGGCAGATTTAGTCAATTACGTTCAAAAAAAATTTTTTTTTAATTTTCAAAATCGTCTGCTACAATGTTAAACGCATGGTAGTGGTCTGCCATTGTTTTTTTCCACTAATAATGGTAATATACTTATTTTCAAATATCAAAACGGCAGACGTGGTCAAATGCATTTATAGATAGCCAAAAATCGATACCTGTCCTACCTGCGCACTAGCCGCGTCCACCACTTAGGGCTTAGTAAGTCCCCATCTCGTGTACGGTAGGTAAAGGGGTCTCAACGTGCAAAAGCCCAGGTCTGGTCAAATACATACAGATATCCGTTCACTTGCTCTTAAGCTTATAGTTACCATAGTAGCAATCATTTTGATGCAAATGCTGATGCAATGAACACATTGTCAGTGAACGTGTTCTCTTACAATAAAAAGTACCGTATGCGCAAACTTTTTGTATTACATCGGAATAGCAGGTGAAGTGACTACTTAACCCCGAAGAGAAAATCCAGATAAATACTATTTCATAAAATACTGAGTCAATGGAGGGTGCTAGGTTTTACTTATAAAAGATTGTCATAGTTACAAGTCATCAATTTATTAACTTACTTTGTTAATATTGTTTGTAGTTTGTGGTTTCAAATAACTGTAATTTTTCCGTCCAATTTGATAGAGTTCAGACCATTTCAGCAGCTTCAAATGGCCGAATTTTCGTACATATAGTATTATAATATGATTACACTTTATAATGGCAGCACTACTAAAGTAAGATACAATAAATAAATGCTTTTAAAGATTTAAATTTTAAAACACTCTCAATAAAAAGGTAAAAGTTAAATTGAAATTCTTTAAGGAAAACCAAATTAATAATACAAATATAAGAACATACAAAATATCAATTTTGATGTTATTAACTTTTTCAGAGGAGAAAAGCGATAGAATTTTAAAGAAGAGCGACTCATTGAAATATTATAAAATAAAATACACTGATGTTTAAATATTTTATGATTTTTGAGAGCACGGTAACTACAAAACAATATAAGACTTATACAATTCCCGATCTACACTATCGTTCTTATAAATTATATAATTGCTGATATGTACAAACACTAAAAGTTACTGATTAAATGTTTATTTTCTAGAATACAGCTTTTGTATGTCCACAAGAGGCCAAGTTTAGACCTTATTATAATTTTTTCTAATAATATAATCTATTAACTATCTTGTCCCAACTTTTTTTCTGAGTAGTATATTGGGTATTTCCGATGGTTTTGGAAACTATTACATATTAAAAAATATACAGGGTGACTGGTGAATTACTATCAATATTTAAGGAGAATACTCGGTACATGATTCTCATTCGAATTATGTAAAAAAAATAGGCACTTAATTTTTGACAAAATTTCCGTATAAATAAGTAAAGTGTTGACACGTTCCAAGTGTTCAAGTGTGGACGCGTGCGGCGGCGTGCTGATACAAAACTACGTCACGACACGCGTATGTGTGAGTGTCAGTGTATACCTAATCTGTAGGGTGTTCACACGATGCGTAATTAATTACATAACTTTTGGTTAACTTTACTTAGAAGTTTATTAATATTTATGTTATATTAATTTTTATTTCGTCATATATGATCGTCAAATATCACGTCCTCAAATATCGATAGTAATTCACCAGTCACCCTGTATATTTTTAGGAGAAAATTAATGTTATAGTCTTTCTATTGAGAAATAACACTGGTCAACAAATTTGTAATTTTTTTTGTCACATGAAGATTTATTTCAAACTAGCTTTTGCCGCGACTTCGTCCGCGTGGTATAGTGATTTCCGGCAGATTTTTGTTTCTTCCCACATAGTTCCCGTTCTTGCGGGGTTTTCGGAATGGTCGAGTTCCCGTAGAATTTTCAGGATAAAACCTATGTTTTTTTTATTCACAATGAAGTACTCTTAACTAACAACATATTTATTTGTTTATTTGAATAAAGATTAATATTATGGAATTAATTTCTTTGATTCTGATGCGGAACCTATGTGACAAAATATTTAATGGTGAAACTGTTAGGCTTTTTTCAACAGAACAACGTTTCAAACTGGTCTCAGCTAACCAACACACGCTGAAATTCCATAAATATTTGATGGTTCGAAAATCTTAAGTACCTATACGTGAAATATATTTTTGTTAAAAGTATAATTTGATTTGGTATATCAGCTGAGACATTTATGATAATTTAATATTGATGTTTATTATCATCTATAGTTAAAATATACATAGGGTGATTATAAATGAAATAGCAGTAGTATATAAAAGCATTTATTTTAAAACAAGGTAGGTAATATACTTTCTGATTCTTGGCAAAACAGTCTCACATAAGCAAGTCAACATTTGGCCTCTATTAAGAATAAACATAAGACTATAACATGCGCTGCCACAACTCACAAATAAAAAAAAACCTGAATCATCTGATAAATAACGATATAAAAGGACATTATAAAATCATGTCGGTATCTGTTGCAGTTAACGTTGCATCATGGTTGAGCAATAATATTGTTTATCTTCGTAAATTATTCTAAGTTAAGGAGAATTAACATTACTAGAATTGACTCACAATATCAGCATTATATAAAAAAAAAAACTTTATAGCTTAATAATATAAATTTTCTTTCACAGACACAGACATTACAGTCCACAATGAGTTTGTGGTATTATAATAATATGATAAAATTTGAGAATAAATGCACAACAAAAATAGAATTCAAGTCGCCTTTGTCTTTTATAATTATAAAAATATTTATATAACAATTTAGAAATTATCATAACATTTTTTTTCACTATAAACAATTTGGAATAATATTGCACGAGCTCAAAGCTAAATCATCATGTGCATCATTATTAATATAAATACTATAAATATAGCAACAAATCAACACAACACACCAATAATATTTATGACTTAAATCACATTCCCGTTATAGGACGACAACAGACTATATATAATGGACCACAGATTAACAACAACTGCAGAATATCAAAACGTCCCTTCGTTGTAACATTTCTTTTTTTCTATTCTTATCAATATTTTAACAACATAGTAACTAACCCTGTTGTTGTCGACCTATACCTACCTTACCGCATCAGAAGATATAGTCCCTTTCATACAGCCGACTCTCTTATCTTCATTAACACGTTAAACGTTATATATTATATATTTTCAAATCAAACCATCGATTTTTCCTTAACTAATCTAAAAGGACTATATCACCTGATATTCTATCACATTTCCGTGTTGATTTGTCTGAAAAATATGACTTTCACAGCACAGGAACAAACACATTCTGGACTAAATAAAAATCTGAAAATGATAACAACATTTCTCTTTTAAGACTAGCACTTAATTTTGGCACAACACTATCACGCGGACAGCGGCATCGATGTTGTTCTTATATACAATATGTGTATATGTATTGCTCAGTGAAATATACTTAAAAAATATAAACATCATAACAGGGCCTTCCGACAGATGAGTCGACGTCTTTACGTATAGCAAGCGAAACAAGCGGTACAATTTTTACTAATATTTGTGCCCAACGTGTCATGTTCGATGTATCGTTTACAATTAATATATGAAACCTTATTAAAACAGTGACTGATTTTATCACTCACCGCGCACATGGACAGCTGCCATTACAATCATAAAATGCAAAATATTTTAGTTTAAAAAAAATATTATAAATAATAAAAAAAAAACTTATTTGAGTAAATAAATTCTCTGTTCCGATGCTCATTCAGTGCTTTATCTGAACAGAGTGTAAAAATAATTAATAAGAAGCGAAGAGAACAAAGTAGCATCTACCCTGTAGGTGAGGTGAGGTGATTACAGCATCCCATACGAACATTACCACCGACCAGTCGACCGATAAGTCGAGCGAACGGTCGACCGACGAGTCAAGAGACCAGTCGACCGACCGGTCCGCCGATCGATCGAGCACGCGTCCTCTGTTATTTTTACACCCTGCCACTATGAGTATTTTAGCGCAACAACACTCTTATATCCGAACCGTACATACCTAACTCTTTCCCTGTATAAATATATTATTATAGTCTTGTAAACGAAACCATATAACCTCATAGGTCATTAACACTACGCGAGAAATTACAAGAGCATTAGGATAAGACATATTGCTACAAGTTAACTTATCATTTGGCACTAAATTAACATATTGCATCTCGAGCATTCGTCACATAAGTATTTTACATAATCTTCGATATAATTATAATTCTCTAAAATTACAATTAAATTTCATTTAAAAAATTTCTAATGATAATAATTTTATTTGGGCCGATCCATTAACGTCTAAGTGAAAGTACGAACAGAATTCATTATAATAATATGCTTATCATTGAGCAAATCTGTCGAGCCAACTCCGTCTCTGGACACCGTCGGGGAGAAGGGGGCGGAATGGCGATCAAATAAAACAATATAATAATACATTAAACAAAAATAATAAAACATTCAGACAAGACGTTCGGCAAGTAAAATTTGGCAAAATTGAGCATTAAAGACAATCAGTTAGCGTTATATAAGTCTGTTATAAATCGTTCTAACTGTGGTAACTGTTACTTGTAAGGCGCGACACACACTCCCGGGTCGGCCAGTGTGCGCGCGGCCTTATTACACACAAGCAGATATTGTGAGTATTTGTTCGTCCGCTTGATATACTTTGAGCATGTATAATTAGTAAATTTAATAATTAAAAACCTTCATACTTGATATGTTTCAGTCCGTCTGGCATGTGGTAACCGACAGACGGACGGTCGTGTGTGATATAAATATTAAAAATATTCAATATCTGCCTGAGCTCAATATATAGCGTTTAATAAAATAAATTGATTAAATTAACATCGATATGAATTTAATATGTGACGTGTTATTATTATGAGGATTAGATCATCGTTCAAAAGAACTGTATAAATGATCATGGACTTTAGAGAATTCAGTTATTTACTAACTACATTTATAACAACGTGGTTAAAATAGTATTTAAAAATTAAAAAATTCTTCATTTATCAAATAATAGTTATTGCTTAGTTGATATGATAAATGGCGGGGCGCGACTGTGTGCCGCGCCGGCGCCGTACGCGTACCTCTACACATTACGTTACAACTCTTACAAGTATTTAAAAATATGACTCCATTTTAACCATCACGATCACAGCTCTCCGAAGACTTTTCAATATCCGTTCCGACGCACACCAAAATAAATTCATCTTTACATTATTATCTATAAAACGAAATTACTAATATTATCTATACTTTACCTCTAACATTATGCCATTTTGATATATTCACTTTGCGATTGCAACGGTCCCTCGTACAGCACTTAAATGCCTCGTATATAAAAACTTTATAATTATAACGAAAATGACTATATTCATAAAAAAAAAATACGAAGTAAGCGATCGAACGACTAAAACGGACTGAAAATATTACTTTTTAAAAAATAAGCGGCAGTGTTTCGCGAAAAATTCGTGCAAATAGAACCTAACTACAGAACATGTCTTAGGAACCTGATAAATTATTGCTAGTGCCTCGAGAGCTACTCGGACGAGGCGAGCGTCCGCATACATCTTATCAGTAGCCAATAGAAAAATATCACCTAAATAAATACCAATCTGTACCCCGCGGCCTTCGCGGTGCCATTACACTTTTTTTTTGGTAAAAAATAACATCGATGTTGACGTATGACGCACATCACTGAGGCCCGTCGGCACCGTCCGCCTCCCCGCCGCCCCCGCCACCCTTCGGCGACTCACTGAAACATTACACACAGACACGTGTTAATATTTTACATAGTATTAATAAAATAAATCATAAAAACTAACAAGCAATAACATAATCCAATACGTAATCTAGAAACGTCTTCGATCATTTATAAATTCAAATAATATTCCAAACATTTGAATTTCGAACCACTCCGATTCTAATTTCGAATGACGCTTCTTGTAGAATATAGATGGTATACTAAATGTTGTATCTAATCTTTATATATACAGGGTGACTGGTGAATTACTATCGATATTTGAGGACGTGATATTTGACGGTCATATATGACAAAATAAAAATTAATATAACATAAATATTAATAAACTTCTAAGTAAAGTTAACCAAAAATTATGTAATTAATTACGCATCGTGTGAACACCCTACAGATTAGGTATACACACACACACACACACTCGCGCGCGGCGGCGTCTTGTTGTATCAGCACGCCGCCGCACGCGTCCACACTTGGAACACTTGGAACGTGTCAACACTTTATTTATTTATACGGAAATTTGGTCAAAAATTAAGTACCTATTTTTTTTACATAATTCGAATGAGAATCATGTACCGAGTATGCTCCTTAAATATTGATAGTAATTCACCAGTCACCCTGTATAATTCTTCTGTGAGTGTGTATGTCACTGAACTTCTCTCAAACGACTGGACCGATTTTGATGAAATTTTTTGTGTGTGTTTAAGAGGATCTGGGAATGGTTTAGATTCATAATTTTGTCCGCTGGACAATGTTTTTTTAATTAATTTTTAATTTAGTAGTAGTTGTTGATACAAACGTTTTTTTTTGACATTAGATTTGACAACTAACTAATATGTCAATCATTCTGTCGCACTTCAAAACACGGAGATTTATGGCTTTAATAGGTAAACTCCAAAAATATAAATAAAAAAACGTAACAGATATTTCTTGATTATAGGGCGATACGAAGTTCGCCGGGTCTTCTAGTATTATATAAAATTTTGATACCTCAATGTGAGTTATCATTTATAACTGTGATGACTTGACCGGTGTTGACGAAATTTTTTTGGTATATACTCGTACTGTAAGTTTTAGAGATTATAAGGAAAAAAAAAAAAGACTAACCGAAAATTTAAATGCTTCTATCACCAATATATGTATATAAATAATAATTATTTTATATCAATTATCACTGGATCAATTGAGCAATTACTCTCTTCAGGTGTCTAGTAGTATTATATACTGTTATTTTATCTCACTGAAGCTAATTTCTAAATCAAAGTTGGATCGAAGGTACTGTAACAGATAGTTTATAGCCAAGTTTTTTGATAACTACGGGGTAGTTGTCAACTATTTTTCCACCTTTTGAAAACTGAATAAAATGTGAAAAAGGTATGTTAGACCAGTGCCGATAGCTTATCAAACATAATTACTAACATAGGCCAGTACAGATGCCTCTAAAAATGATGAAAAGTGAAAATAAATTATAGTAGAATAAAACCCATTAGAAAAGGAGGGGAATATTATAAAAATTAAAGGGAAAAATAATTTACGGGCGATCTGAGGTCGGGAAGGGTATGGGGATGGGTATTTAAGGGTAAAAAATGGATTTTCTCGATTTCCGGCAAAACTAAAAGTCCTACGGAAAAATCTTGTATGGCAAAGTTGTAGGTAATAAAAATATCTAAAACTTTTGTACTAACATTTTTTTCACATATTACCTGAAAATGTATGTGATAAATTCGAAAAACCAAGTTTTTTATTTTTATCTCCAATTAAAACAATTTTTGTCACGAAATTTGGTGAAAACTTTCCTTTTGATGTTATAAATGCACTGTAATTTATTTGATTAGAAATATTTATTTTTTCAGCTTATTCTGAATAAATACCTAAAAATCAGCCTCATTTTCAATCGAAAAATCACCCGTCAAAATATCAGCTATTTTCAAAAATTTTATGTTTTCAATTTATTGAAATCTCTATTTTCCAATGGCGAAGAAAAAATATAAATTTCTTACTTGCAATAACATTTTTGGATAAAAGAATCGTATTTCTTTTAATGAAATGACACTCGACATCGTTTTGAAAAGGCTCTTTCTAATTTATTTTTAATAGTTGTGTACTCTGGAAGTTCTCCAGATAGTCCCCCTTTTAGGTAATTTACAGAAAGTTGACATTAAGCTGCTAAAACTATTAAGTATGTGATCAAGTAATCCAATCATTTGAGAAAGATTTATTACCTCAGTACTTCGGTTTTTGATTTTTCAGCAAAAAATGGTTTTTATTTTTTTTCAATATGTAGTACCGTTTTTCAAAATTCTAAAAGTTCATAGGTTTATAGGAAATTGAATGGAGAATTCAAAAAAAAATATTAACAGAACTGTATCTTAACCGTAAGAAGGTTAAAAATGAAAATTAAAAATATAAACTCGTTTTTTTTTAGGTTCTTGTGAGCCTATATATCTCATATTTTTTCTTCGGATAACTACCACCGACCCCCAAAATTATTTCTGGTATTTCGATCAATCGAATAATTACACTCTGAGAAAATTAATTTTTCCTAATTTTCAGTATTTTTTTATTTTCTCAGAAGCGGTTATAGATAAAGACCTGAAACTCGCAGCATCGAAGTATCTTATGAGTACAAACATTCCCTGAAATTTTGAGCCCGAACCCTGTCTGGGGCCGATTCGGTATACTTATCGTCTCACGGCCTTACGTGACAAAAAATAAAAAAACCAAGAACTTGGTTTTTCCAATTTATCTCATAAATTTTCAGGTTATGTGAAAAAAGTGTTAGTACAAAAGTTTTAGATCTTTTTATTACCTACAACTTTGCCATATAACATTTTTCCCTTTATTTTTTATAATATTCCCCTCCTTTTCTAATGGGTTTTATTCTACTACAATTTATTTTCACTTTTCATCATTTTAGAGGCATCTGTACTGGCCTATGTTAGTATACAGGGTGACTGGTGAATTACTATCAATATTTAAGGAGCATACTCGGTACATGATTCTCATTCGAATTATGTAAAAAAAAATAGGTACTTAAATTTTGACCAAATTTCCGTATAAATAAATAAAGTGTGTACACGTTCCAAGTGTTCCTAGTGTGGACGCGTGCGGCGGCGTGCTGATACAACAACACGCCGCCGCGCGCGAGTGTGTGTGTGTGTGTGTGTGTATACCTAATCTGTAGGGTGTTCATACGATGCGTAATTAATTACATAACTTTTGGTTAACTTTACTTAGAAGTTTATTAATATTTATGTTATATTAATTTTTATTTTGTCAGATATGATCGTCAAATATCACGTCCTCAAATATCGATAGTAATTCACCAGTCACCCTGTATAGTATAATTATGATAATGTTCAACTCACTAGTGCGCGTATGACGAGCGCGAGGGCGCCGGCTGCGCTGTGTGCGGGGTGTGCGCCGGGTGTGGAGTGTGCGCGGGCTGCGGGGTGTGTGGGGCCGGCGCGGGGTCGTCGCACGGCCGCACCGCGCTCAGGAGGTAATTACTGGACTCGCTGAAACAGTTCGACAGCCTACTTCAAATTGTATTACTGCCTCAAGCGCGCTTGTGCGAGAAACACGCAAATTACACTTGTAATATATAGTAAATATTTTAATATAATATTTTAATTTTATTTTATTTTAATATATTTTTTAAAATAATTTTAATAGTACGTAGCATATATCTAATACAAACTATGTGGGTATAAATTTTAATTATAAATGACAACGGTTAATAAAGGCATTTTATATTGATATAGAAAAGTATTGCCATTTTATTTCATGGTTAATTATTTAGTTGCACTACATTGTACCTCAAATATTATTTCTTTATAACTATCAATGTTTCTCTTATTAAATACCATTGTTAACCCATATTCGAGCAAATAAACTATTATTATTCTCATATCACAAAAATCTTATCCACAAAATCCAAAGTCATTACAAACATAACTTTATCTAATAACAAAATGAGCCCGACCATGATCGTGAAAACGGCTCATAGTTTAAAATGATAACCTCTTAGTTGAAAAAGAAGATAAATAATACAATTTACAACTAACAATAGTTTACGTAACGCAAAACTCATTATCGTTCAACATTTTTTGGTGGCTCAAAGTGCGTAAATAATTAATATATTATGCAACATTCATGTATTCCCATACAAGCTGTTGCTGTACATTGACCAACGTAAGCTGACTGCTTGAAACACGTGTAGTATTTATTAATAATGCATGAGATTGAATTAAACGTTTCAGTCTGATTACGGAAATACAGAATTTAGTAAGAAATAAAGATTTTTTGGATATATGACGTCATCTTATCATGGGATCACGTCAGATTGTGATATCTCATACAACACATTTATAACATTTTATATTATTTTAGATTATGAGTCACAAAATGAAGTAAATTGTATAATAGTACAGATAATGGAATCGTGAGTATGTACACGTTTTATAATAATGACGACCCCACTAGATATTTAACGCTTCATTCATGTTTAAAACATTTTTATCAAATATACAAAATGTTAACCGACGGTGGAGTATATGAATATATTTTGACTGTGGCGTGTGTTCGTATGTGTGAGTGTGAGTGTGTGTGTGTGTGTGAGTGTGTGTGTGTGTGTGTGAGTGTGAATGTGTGTGTGTGTAAGTGTATACGTATTTATGTATATGTTCTGTTCTGTTGTGTGTGTGCGTGTGTGTGAGTGTACGTGTCGGTGCGCGTGTATGTATCACCTGGCCGTCCTCATGCGCAGCGCGGCGCAGTTCTCCTTGCACTTGTATGCGAGCACCTGCTTGATGCGGCTGACCTCTACGTCGGGGAAGTGCCTGCTGACGTAGGATATGAGTGCGTGTACGCGGCGTCTCTCCAAAGGCGGCTTGGTGGGCCTCGACTCCTGGCCGGCCCTCGACCATCGCTGGCCCGTGACGGAGCAAGTAGCCAGCTCCATCGGTGAGAACAAAGCGGCCGCCAGCCCGCGGGTCACCTTCCTATAGTCACCCCACTTGACGCCGCGCAGCAACTCCTCGCGGATCTCGACACCCTCGCCGAGCTTTATCTGTAGATGTCAACCGGTCTTTATGCGACATGTATAGCATTGCCCTTTTCCTTTTTCCCACCCTTTCCTACCATTTCCCTATCCCTAAAAAACTAAGGTTGGCAACGCATCCGCCACAAACATGTTGCGGATGTTCATGGGCGACGGTACTACCTTACATCAAGTAGGCCGTCTGCTCGTTTGACACCTTTCACATAAAAAAAAATTGAGCATAATGTATTGTATTGAGCTGTCCTATAAGGAGATTTCCATAATTTACGTGAAGCCAAAATAAGGGGGGAGAAGTCCAATAATGTTTTATTTATACTCGGGAGGAAAGACGTCATTATCGAGTCTAAGAACTTGTGGAAAAAAATCACTGTGCACATTTTAAAAGAGCTTTTTCGCTTAAGGAATATATAGTTAGAGATTGTAATTTCCATTAAATTCAAGAAGTCCAAATTTGAAGTAAAACAGGTCACGTAATAAATGGTTCTCCATTAATGAGTATACAATACATTGTTGTGTTACAAGCGGTGTCTGTTTCAAAGGAAGACTTTGTACCAAATTTTTTAAACCTATCAACACCACAACGTCTATAGACTATCGCTTCTACGTTTATGCATGTATTAGCTTAATAACTCACAAATCTTGGTGCGGAAGCTCTCTCGTTCTCCCGTTTGAGCACGAACGGCAGAGCTCGGCGATGCTGTTCAAGCCACACGGCGTCTGGCACAGGCCGGCTACGTCGGGCATCCCATCTACCCCCTGCACATACAACAAACATCACAAGTTAATCACGACACAATATAACCAGTGAAGACCATCAAACATTCCAATTTGATTACTTACATGTTTCTCAGACAGACTAGGATTGAAACGTAACAAACGGATAACAAAAAAATCTCACACTATTCGTTATACTTTATTTCATTATTTTTTTTCGTATTTAGTAAAAAAATTACATTAATTTATGTACATACATAATGTATTCATAGTATGTCGAAGCGTTTTGCACATACGAACATGATTATAATAAAATGTTCTAGGACTAGCACGTATGGACCATAAGTGATTGAGGAGCTGCGATTAGCAAGAATTGACTCAACATTATTGAATATGAAAATATAGTGTAAACAGTTCTTAGAATTCTTATGTACAATAAAATTATATATATTGTCAGGGAGATTGTATTGTTCGGTTTGAAACATTTAATACATTAGTGTTATACTTATAAACAGTCTGTTGGCAACGGAAAAAATCAAAAATGCACATAACATTTCTTATTCATAGCAACTATTTAACTGTAAAAAACATTGTGTAACAGTAGGTATGCTTAACACGATTTCGTTTCGTCAAACGAAACACATACAGTTTTCAGTATCGGTAGACTAAATACGAGCAGTTTCTGGTTAAAAACTAACTATTCGAATGTAGCGTGACGATGAAAACTCGTGGTTCGCAAAGACTAAGGCTTGTTTATTACATTACATTAAATAAAATAATATTTTTGTTTTTTTAATTATATGCAGAATAATATATATTATATTTGTTCAAACATCACTATGACCGATTTCTAAATTATTAATATTTGTTTCAGAATGTACGGGATTCGTTTATATATTTATAATCAGTAGGTATATAATACAAACGCGAAAGCCGGTCCTAATATATCATGTGATAATTTTAAATTTCGTAGTGCTCGCCGAATAATATTACAATATTGATTAACATAGGCATATAATATATAGTTTTTTTTTTTTCAATTTTTATAAAATTTTTCATCATTTACATATTCCTTTCGAAAATATATAAAAAATAAATGCAGATCAAATCAAGAGATCGTTTTATATCAGGAGGTTACACTAATATTGTATTTCACAACCCTAACTCTATCGACCATCAAAATTCCATAAACGCCTGCTATAAATTATGACTAGATGAGTAATGGCGAACAGAAAAATATTTTAAAAAATTCAGCCGGTCGAACCAATTGATAAATCTTATCAAATAGAAAAATAATATTAAAAAAAAACACAAAATCTTAAACCCTACAAGTGTATGGCGAATCCGGATATCGATTCAATAAAATAATAAAACCATCAACAAGTGTTATGTTCACAATTAATATTGAACATGTCATGTGACCGGGAGCCGTGCGATCACTCAACAATATGTATCATCTGTGTAAAGATAAAAAACTATTGTGTATAAAAAATATTAAATATTACTATTGTATTCATTCGACAATAAAAAATGATGTACACCTCCGATACGAACCGTCGACGACGCGTTACCAAAAAATCACACTCTAATAAGAAAATATTTATCGATATATATACTATATACTAATATGTGAGCGAGTCGACGGTGAGTGTCGGAGGTAGGGGTAACGTGTATAATGTAGGTATGTATAGTTTGTAACCTGTAAATAACCTATGGTAAATCAGCACCGGTTTGCAACAAATGCTTCAACAACGATCAGTCTATTGTCAGTGAGGTACGTCGGGGCGATCCCTCGACGTATATTGTTATAATATAGCTTGTATTTCTATTCGAGCGTCGAAGGGTCGTCCCGACGCTCGGTATAATATTGAAAGGCACCCAATAAGCGGAGAGGTGTGACGGCAGATAGGCCCCCGGCGACACTCCGATCACAGACTAGATATATCTACTGACAGTCTTGTTTTTAACTTCCAAACACATCTCCTCAATGTTACCAACTAACATAATACTCCACGAGTCTGAGACTGCGTCCCGCTCGGCCAGTGGCGCGTCTCCGGACACCGGCCACCAACGAATGTACTCTACCTCCGTGCGCTCTCATATCACATCCGCATCGTGAATCCGAATTATTTATAAATCAAGCTTTTCAATCCATTAAACATTTTTACTATAAATGCGCCAAATGGGGGAGGGGGAATTAATAATGTACATGATGTATGCGACGCGGGTAGTCGGCGATGTGGGAGAGAGACAGAGATACAGCGGAGTGAGGAATGGACTAGAAGAGAGCGCGTGCGCTAGTGGTGCGCGGGCCGCAGCGCGGGCAGCGGCGGCGGCGGCGGCTTGAGTCGCGCGGGGTGCGCGGGGTGCTGCGCCAGCGTGTGTCGCCGCAGGTAGAGCGGCGTCTTGAAGCAGCGGCCGCACGTGGAGCACACCACCGGCTGGGCCTCGTGGATGAGGCGCACGTGCTGCCGCAGGTTGGACGCGTTGGAGTAGCGGCGGCCGCACTGCGAGCACCGCACGCCCGGGCCGCCGCTCGCGCCCGCCACCCCGCCCACTGCCAACAACACCACGATCGCACTGCGCCCGCCACCACCGCCCCCCACCCACACACCACGGAACACACCACCACCCCCCACACCGCTACACACATCACCCCCTCACCCATAGGATTGCCCTCCTCCACTTAGTGCCAGTATACCATGAAGGAGCCAAGTTTGAATATAAAAATCATACTAGTCAGCTGGAGAATGCTCAAGAACAGTGGAATAACTGAATATTTAAATTGAGTGGAGTTTTATATTAGTGCAAAACGATAGATTTTTTCATAATAAGATCGTACCGAGTAGAGCTAGAACAGGATGGTCAAGTTAACATGGCAGGTGAAGCGAGAGGACAGTCCCATGGGGTGAGCGTGGCGGCGGGCTCCTGGTGCGGGGGGGGCTGCGGGCTCCTGGTGCGGGGTGGGCGGGGCGAGGGGCGGGGACGGTCGGCCGACACCCGCGCGCCTGACTCTAACTCCTGACTCACGACCGCGCGCTCTCTGCTAGCCGATTCATATCAAGTCACGTATACTTTATGTTCGACAGAGGTTCGCCGGGGGCGCGGCTGTCCGACTCGACTTGTGCGTGTCAATGAGGTGAGGGTGAGAACACGGACTATAATTACCTTCGACGTTTTCGTCCCGGAGCTCCGAATTCATTCCGGCCATGAGATCGATGTTACCTGACACAGAACAACATAGCGTTACTTGTGACCGACGAAGGTTTCGTCTTTAATGTCTCTTTGAGAGCTGTCGTTTACCTTGTAAAGTGGCGAAAGGGTTGGGATTGGCTAGAGCGTTGTTTTCATTGAAGTATGATTGGAAGTTGGAGCGCTCCTCGTCACTGACTTCTTGCTCCATGACTTCCATCTTGGGTTCCAGAAGGTCCGCGGCGGTGAAGTCTTGACACTTGTCCGCTTCTTCAGAGTCCCCGGGGTCCATTGGGATATCGTTTTCTTCATTATTAATTTCAGTTGCTTCGAGATCAGTTTTCACCCTCAATGTGGGGTAGTTTGAAGTTTGGTTAAAATCGTCATTATTAGGCCTCGTTTGACTAGAAGTTTGAAAGGAAGCTTCTTCGTTGAGATTATTTCTGGCAGCATCGGGAGAATTTATCTCAGAGCGGCGATTCGCACCCTTCTCGAGGTCATCGGCACACGTCGATTCCACGTTTTGGCTTGCGGCTTTGGAGGAGGAGGTAGAATGTGACGGCTTGGCGCTGAGCAAATTACGTAGTTGCGAGGGTGGCGACTTTCTATTAACTTTCTGGCAAAAAAAACAACACGAGATTAGAAAAAAACATTAATAAGACAGAGAAACTCGAGTAAGGAATGTTGTTTAATTACTTTGTCATTGTGTTGCGAGCAGTCCGTGAGGCCCCGTATCTGCAGCGCGTCGGCTGTCCTGAGGAAGGCGCTGAGCTGTGCCTGCGCGATGTTCACCTGACCCACGTACATAAACTGTAAGAGCGCCCGCACGTGCGACACCTCGCAGTCACGCATGAATATTATCGGATGAGGGCATGGATTGTTCTGGAAAATTGCACGCTTCGCTTAAAATGTGATCGTTAAAATATATATAGTAATAAAAATGTTATACGATTTCACAATTCTTTATATTGAGAGTGTTCAATTATAAAATAAATACTCGATGGCTGCTTCTATAATTAGGTTAATAGCCTTCTCTTAATGAGTTCTCGATGTGTTCTATAGATTTCTTGCTACATTATTGACTGTGCTTAATTTTTTGATGACATAGTATAATTGCATTGTACAAATAAGATACCATATTTATTTTATTTGATTTACATTCTGTTTCCATTGGTTCCTATTGAAGTACTGTAAATATTGCACAGACTTAGTCACAGATTTACAAAAATAATTATTAAGAGCTAATAGATGTAAAACCCAATATGAATATATTATTGAATTAAAAATGTATATTTGATTCATTATATCCAAGGATATTTATATAACCAACACAAATTGCTATAACATAATCTTTAATGAATGCCTACTAGGTTTGTGGTTTAACCGAAGTTATACTGAAAAACATTATGCTCTCATAATTTGAATCACTTAGTTCAATAAAAAAAAAATGTACTTTATAAAAAACTCTTTGGTAATAAACATTAAAAAAAACTGAAACCTAATCCTTTTCGTTTCTAATTCTACAAAAAGTAATATAAATATATTTTACCTCAGTTTCTAATCCGCAGATTTTTTTAACGAGATATCATCTTAAATCTTATAATTGTATATTTTTTCTCCCTATGGTTTTATATTAACAAACTTATCTATTCCGCAAAAGGTCATTGACACATCATCATCATTTTTTACAAACGCTACCTTAATCTCCTCTAAAGTGGAAATGTTATCATACATTGTAATTGTTTGAATCTTATTTATTGAGTACCGTTTTATCTATTCCAATAATTTTAATTCAATGTTGTAATATATATAAAAAAATTGGTATACTGATTTTAAATTCTAAAGTTTATGTATAATTAATGCTATAAAAATATTATCAAAATGACTGGGATTTTATGTGACAAAGCAGACAATATTGAGCACAGCCTGTACATCATGTTGAATCATTATAATGTGTATACTAAATTAATAACACCCACAACATATTTTGTCTTAACAAGCCAGGTTCACTGTAAACTGGCAGTTAAGGGCAAAGACCTTAGCATTCGCTGCATCACACCGAATGGTGGTTAATTGACCTATATGTAACCACTATTGTATGAATTATGAATGTTTGAACACAATTTATTTTATTAAAACAATAAGATGATGAAAGATTGTATACACATTTAGTATTGTGTTAAAAGATTTTCTATATATAGCTTCATTAAAACAATTTGAATAACAGAAAGCATAACACAGTAATTCCTTTTAAAGGTAATGTTATTTTTTGTACAAATTATTGCTAGGCTTATATTTATGCAACTTTATGACAAATATTAGTAAAACTTCTTAATTTACTTTCATGCTTCTTGTCCAATATATATTAATGTTACATTATTAATTAAAATAGGTCACTATCACAAAAGGAAAGGCAAAATTTTATTCCAAACTCATATAGGTACATTATTTATACATGTAAATATAATTGTTCAATGATAATTCCTTAAATTCAATGATATATTGAACAGTGATGAATTAATTAGAAATTGTGAAACAGAATTCTAAAGTAGGTACAAATAATGAAATCACGAATATTTAACTGGATCGCGAGACATGGCATTTATAAGTAGATCAAGTGTTTTATACATAACAACTTTCACTAGAGTCATTGTAATGGTGACACATCAAAGTGTGGGGAGCGAAAGATAGACTTACTTTAAATAATTCCTTGAAATAAGGACTACAGGCCGATAGAACCACTTTGTGGGCCTCGAGCCTGTGTCCCTCGCATGCCAGGGTGACATCAACGAAGTCCTCATCATCGCGCAGTGCCTCGAATTGAGAAGTTATATTCGCTTGAAAATTGTTCCATCTCAAACAGAATTGCTGGTCGCCACCCAGTTCTGTACCTTCCATTACTTATATACATAACTCGATATCCCTGCTCATTTAATTGCTTGACAAGAATAGTTAATTATTGAAAATAAATATATCACAGTAACTTGCAATTTCAGTCGCCGTCTGGCCGAAAATCTTGAAAGAAAACAATCAATAAAATCTCCTACCAATATAAGAAAAATAAAACTTTTTAATTTGTCATTCATTTGCTGATGGGTACATTCACTTTAACGTTCCTGTCTACGTTATATTTTTACATCGGTTTTAATATTCTTCTATTATTTTATATTTGAAATAATGATAAAATGTAAAATTATAATAATATAATTGTTACAATCTGATTTGTATTTAAAAATTGAGATATAAAACTAGGTTAATATATATTTTTAAGACACCTAAGTATCTATATTCCTTAAATATGAATGAATAAATATATTATTTACAAATTAATTATTTGGTTATTATTCAACACAAAAAATATATGTCAATAATTAGCTTTACCATCCGTTTTTTTTTAATTTACAAAATTTGACATCGATTTTTATTATTCGATAGATTCTAAAGATGGTATTATTGATTGATGCTTTTAAAAAATTATATACGATTATAAAGTTATAGTATGTTTAAAAAAATTAACACAATTTTTTAAACTCTTAAATTAATAGTCCTAGAGAAAAATCTAACGCATATGATACACATTTTATAGGTTAAATTACAGTTTAAATACTATGGCAACCCAAAAGAATATAATATAATTATAGACTAAATTAATGTCTAGATAAATATAACTTTTATAAAATTAAACAAACACTTTAATTCTAGGCATTCATTATATTTATAGAACACTGAATAAAAGTAATTAAAATAGAAATGGTTGCTATTGAATGTTTACACAATTACTAATTCTATTGAGACATGTTGCCATAGATATAACCAATAGTACCTTATTTTCGAGCTTAAAGTTGTTTTAATCCTATTAATAAATTTATAATAAAGACACAAGATATAAATACATTCATTTATATTTTAACAGCAATTACAAAACTTAATAAATAAATGAAACAATGTTATTTATAAGTAAATTTTAAATATGGGTTCTATTACAATGCTTGTTCTCCTTCAATCATTTCTTTTAGGTTCAATAACTCAAACTGTCCATTCCCTTTTGTATCTGTTCGTATCATTTCATCTAAATTCCTGAAGCTCCCGGGGTCAATGAGACATATTAAGTTAGCAGTGCCAGAATCCCATGATTCATCCTCTACATTCGTAACCAATTTAACGACTTTGTCTCTTATTTTACGTGCATCTTTACCTTGTAATTGAATTCTGACTCTCATTTGTGCTCTCTCAAGTGGAATTTCTTTTTTTAATAGTTGTATCACATCAAGAGACTGCTGCTTCGCACTCTTGTTTACGTTTACTGAAAAATGGATATCTTTCATAGCTTTTTCAATTATTGAAACTGGGTAAGGTCTTTTTGTTTCGGGGTTAATGCATTTGTCAGCTACAGTAGTTGCTATATCTTTGAACAGAGAATCAATTTGGGATTGTCTTTCCTTGTCTGAAACTTGAAGTTCTCCTTTTTCTAATATTTCTTTGCATATTTCAGTTTGGTCGTCTTTGCCGAAGACTTTCATTAAATCCTCTTTTTTAGCAACCTGCCCTTTCGATACATTTATAAATACGGTATGTGTTTGGAGCACTTCATCGATATCTTTCTCCCTGCAATAAAACATTTTATATATTAATTGTTAAATATAGGTATAAGAGCATGTAATTATAAACATTTTTTTCTTATATTCATTTCACTTACAGCTTATTCCTCCATGATACAACTTTATTTCGGTAACATGCTATTTCGAATCTTTTACCACCTTTCTTTAACCTAACTATGGCCACATTCGTTAATCTAATTTGATTTGTTGGTGTAAATATTTTTGACATCGTTGTTTCTTATAATGTTCAACAAAAACAAACGATTGCGAAAACAATGGCAATTAGAAAATAGACGTGTTATTTATGGTGTCAAGTTTATTATTATTTGTTAAAACCATAGACATTTTTTGTTTCATTTACAAGCAGGGAGAGATTTTTGTTTTGCCGCCTAGGATTATGCATATTGTATTATTTGAAATGAATAACATAATGTAAAACAATATGAAAAGTTCGCTCTAATTAATTATAGAATTGATAATTTTTACTTTATCTTAGGATATGTAATTAGTTCATCTTTTGGTGAGATGTGTATTATCTTTTTTCGCAATAATAAGTACAATAAGTATAGTCAACTATTAAATAAAATAGATTGTATTTTAATGCAGACCATGAAAATTGTTAATTATCTTTGAATATACCCAAATATCGTATTTTCAAACTGTGAAAATTTTTCTATATTATCGATAAGTGGATTTTTCTTCTTTTAACAAGTATTAACTAGTGAATATATTAAACTGAGAATATATAAATCATTTACAATGAATTGCTTTAAAATGTTTTTCAAAAATTCGTCGAGTAGAATTTTTGTAACACTTTGACACTTTCATAATCATTCGTTTTTAATCTATTCTATTCTCAACTCGACGTGTATTTCATAAAAGTTGGCCGTCATCAGCCCTCATTTTGTTATATTTGCATATTTTGTCGGCAATTTTTATGTGATTTATTAAAAATGGCTAAGTTAGTCGATATTTACAATTGCGATAAAGATCCCCTTATAAAGCGGCGACAATTGCCTTTAGTTATATACGAAAATTTAACTGTAAGTTGTGTCTCTTAACTCTTGACTTTACCTCAAGCGTAGTTTGATTATTAATGTAAATTAGTCTTTAATATCTCACTGCAGTAGTTTACATTTTCCACATTGTTATGATAATATCATGACCTTAGTATTGTTTATTTTCATTTTTTTATTTTTTATTAAACTGATTTCTTCCACTGGATGTGACGTTTTCAAATTGACCTTATTTTCTTAATCATTTCTTTGTTGACTTGACTGTACACGCTTTATTTTCTAGATGATTATGGATTTAAATAGTATGGGCCTAATTTGCGACAATCCGCAAGTTAAAGGTCGCGAGTATGAAGAATTTATGCGCAAGTACAGAATTCTTACGACAGACGAATTAAAAGCAGCGCTTAGGGTTGACGCCTCTGATATATTTAACGTTTTAAACCAAAGCATTCCTTGTGTTGGCTGTCGGAGAAGGTAAAAGAATGAGACTACAAATAATTTTACTTAAAAAGATTTCTTGTCAAAGTGTATAATACATTTATTGATAAATATTGTTGCAGTGTTGAAAGACTTTTTTATCAGCTTTGTAAATCAGGACATCCAACCTTAGACCCACTAATCATCACACCTGATGAAATTATGTCCATTAAAGAGGATAAAATCACACATCCACAGTCATTGGCTACTTTATTAAACGGTCACAGGTACTACTAGTTTTTGTTAGTAATATGTACTTTTTAAATATATTTTCCAGTTTAACTGTATGTATTGTATTTCAGTACGGGGTTAGAATGCCTATTACTCAGCCAGCCTAGGTGGAAGAAATCACAAAGGTGTACACTTCATTCTTTAGAAGCGGGTAGTGCAAGAGGTTGGGGTGCAACAGTCGGTTGTGGCTGGGGCGGCCGGGCGGCTTGGAAGGCTGCCTGGGACGCCATGAGAGCCTCCGCCAGGGAACATGTCACCCTCGTCCACTTTAACACTCTACACGATACTCTTCACAACTATTTGAGGAAGCATAGATTTTGTGCAGATTGTAAGACTAAGGTATTCATTATTTATATAGTTCTGCCAGTTAAGTAGTTTCAGCTGTATTGAAAGAAAATGTTGTGTGAGAGGTAATTTGGTTTAAAAAGCAAAATTTATCCAATAACTTATTTCTTCATTGTATATTATATCATAGTAGTTGTATAAGATTTCAAAAATCTTTTTTCTGTATAAATCGAAGCAATGGTTTGATTTCTTAATCCAAGATATTTAAGTTTGCTGTCTAAGTTAGCCTGAATTTAGCAACAGCCTGTTGTGAATTATATGTAATTTATCAATTTGATAACAATTTTGACATTATCTACTTTTAAGTGATCAACAATTTTAAAAATAATCAGTGAATTTATTTTTTATACCAAAACTGTTTCAGGTTTTGCGAGCTTATCAGTTACTTGTTGAAGAAAAAGAACCTCAAAAGGAAAAGGGATATGTTGGTGCCTTATATGGGGGTATAAAACGTTGTTTGTTAGACAAACACCTACATTTGGAAGCTAAGACAGATTATATAGCACACCTTATAACCAGGGCAGAACCCGAGTTGCTTGGTAATCACCGTGAACGGCATGCCAAGACATTAGAAATAGCGCAAGAAGAGGCTAGTATTATTAACATATATATCTTTATATGAAATAAATATGAAAATATAAAATTCAGTTTCATAAATAAAAGCAATATACAGTATGTTAACTATTAGAGGACATTCCCGTTAATGCACAATATAGCATCCATACATGCTAATTAATGCTCAAACCTTCTCCATGTGAGAAAGAGGCCTTTGCTCAGCCGTGGGCTCTGATAGGCTGATGATGACATGCTAAAAAAAATATTATCAATCAAAAACAAAATGTTTTTTATTTAATGATTCTAGGGAATAAACTTTCATATAACATCCAATTTAAAGAATACAATCATAACACTCAGTCTTTTTTTACTGGTTTATTAAGCAAATTTATTAATGTTATATTATCTATATATTTCAGGTGTTAATTTGTCTGGGAATATGTATATATGAGCGTCTCCAACGCATATCTTTAAGGTTGCGTGAAGAGGAAGGCACATGTCAGGCCCTTGTAGCTGTTGGTATTGAAGCACTCTATCGAAAATTTGAGACTGCCGTTGAGCTTAAGAGCGGAGTGTCTAAACTTCAATTATTATATGATGAAATAACACAAGAAGAATTAACAAGACAACAGAGGAAGGAACAGAAAAAACTTAAACGGCGTAAGAAGAAGGAACGACAAGCTGTTGAAAGCAAGTGCAAGGTATGATACAATTATGAGTTTATATCAGATTATATTGTAACTTCTTCTTCCTGGCATTTTGCCAGCTTTAGCCAGGGTCTGAATTACATTTTGTAAATAGTTTTGGCTAATTGTTTTTATGACCAGCCGCCTGCCTGACATCAACCCTCTTTGGGAATGCTTAAATCACCACACTTGCTCAAGACGGGTTGGTTGATTTCAAACTTATAATTTCATTAAGTCCATGTTTCCTCACGATGTTTTCCTTCACCGTCTGTCAGTGGTGTCTAAATACTCTCAGAAAGTACATATGACTCGGAAAAATCACATTGGTACTTGCCAGGATGGAACCCACGCCCTCATGAGAGGCGGGCCTTTAACAACCAGGCCACAACTGACTGTATCAGATTATATTGTATCTACTATTATAAAAGTTTTATATAAGATTTACAAGACGCAAATAATTATATATCTATTGTGGAAAGTATCATATTTAATTTATATTTCAGGAAGGAGACTCCGAGGAACCAGAAGAAAAGTGTGAATGTGAAGAATGCTTACTAGAAGAAAGAGACACTCCAATGGATCTAATGTCCCCAGATTATAACCAGTGTTGTGATGTGATACAGTCTAATGTTGGTAGCTGCCAGTCATGTCAAGACGACTATTGTTTACCCAAGAAATCAAACGCAAAGTTTCTCAAAAATAATCTTTTGGCAAACTGTAGTCACGACTGTGGATATTCGTCGGGTAATAACATTGGGTGCTGTGAAACAATGTCTGGTTCTTCATCACTTATGAGTTCACCGGAAGGCTCTGAGGTTGCTTGTTCTGAAGGATTCTGCAATCACGAGAGAGGGGACTGTCTAGACTTACCAAAACATGAAAAAATATCTTGTTCCGGTTTCACACTCTCCTTGCAGGAAATGCTGGTAGGTAACATTTTTAGAAAATAGACTAAATTTACATGTTATATATGGATTAACTTCCAGAAAATCCTAGAACGAAATCAAAAACAAAAATAATTTGTTAATGCATTGTAGCTTTTATTGTTATATTTACTTAATAATTTTGTTATTAAATGTGGATACTAAAAGGTAAATTGTGTATCAAAATAATATTGAATGGTGTATGACCTACAATGACGTTTTGCCAATTTAAAAAAATTCAACATAGTATACTTCCTAATCACAAATTTTAATTTCATTTCATAAAATAATAACTTAGTATGTCATAATCACAACTTTATCGAGACAACACTAATGGTGAGCTACAAGTAACTTATGTATCTTTAGACTTAGCTGCGTAAAGAATTGCAACTAAACCTGAAGGGCAGTATCTTAAAAATAAAAAATGCCACACTTGAAACTTCCATTTTAAACCAACTTGGAAATTATGAACAATGTATGTGATTATTTTGTGACAGTCAGAGTAATAATTAAAATTTATTTTTTACAGGACACATGTTCTTCAGATGAAGAACAAGACACTTGTTACATACCCATAGAAGAAGTTCTGGAATTCAAATCACGAAGGAACATAACTGAGAAACGTCAAGAACTGAGACAGAATTTACGACAAAAGTTTGCTCAGCTTTGTGTGAACACACCCCACTCACAGCCTGTGGCCGTACAGAGAAAAAAACAAGTCTAGTGTTGATATAATGTAACATTCAAACTGCACGTATAAGCCTCAAACTGTAGCAGGAGACTAATAATCCCAAAAAAATATTTATTTATTACGTAATTCAGAATAATATATTATTTTTCCGATATTTAATTTATAGATGCATGTTAAAAAACAAAGGAAGCTTTTATAAGAAAAAGCCGTAATGAAATTTCATATTAGTATTGTAATAAACATCAACTTAAAAATCAAATTTTGATCCAGAGATAGTTCCTGATAAATTGGTGATTAAAATATTGACATGTTGGAAAAGTATTCGAAAAAAAAGGTGCTTATAGACTATATCAGTAGTATTTTATAGTAATAGTCACATACATATTATAAATTGTAGAAAAAAACAGTGCGAGTTTGAATGATTGCAACTATAGGATATTATATACAACTGGAGAGAAACCAGCATTTAACAATGATATATTATAAAAATGTTGAAAAGCTTTGTAATGAAATATAGTAGCATTTTTGATGAGATAATTTTTTTTTCTTGCTTTATGTGACTTAATATTATATGTGGTACCAGAATGAATTATTCCTGCTCTTTATAGCTGTGATTATCAGCATATTGTTGGGAGTTACCTTGGCTGATTTGCCATTGTTATGAAATCGAAAAACATTTGTAACTCAGTTTTAAATATATTATCAAAACTAAACTTTGTTTCTTTTTGACTTATAGTTACTTAGATCCTTGTAATATGTATTATTTTGTTAAACACTGGAAATACAGAGTGTTGCATTTGTGCCACCAAATCCAAATGAGTTTTTCAATGCTATTCTTCTATCCTTAGTCCATTTCTGTGGGACTTTAGCTACATAATTCAGATCATCCAGTGGGTTGTCTAAGTTTAATGTAGGTGGCACCACTCCCTCAGAGATTGCTAGAACTGTGAAAGCTGCCTCAAGATTCCCCGCAGCACCAAGTAAATGTCCATGGGCTCCTTTTGTGGAAGAGATCAGTATGTCTTTGGCATTTTCTTTGAATAAGGTTTTAATAGCAGTGGATTCTATACCATCACCAACTGGCGTTGATGTTGCATGTGCATTTATATATGAAATTTCTTTGTAATTTATGTTACTATCCTGTAGGGCTCTGTTCATGGAGAGTATAGCACCACTGCCATCTACCCGAGGTGTAGTTATATGGGCGGCATCGCCCGACAAACCATATCCTAAAATTTCAGCATAAATCTTAGCATTTCTTTTCAAAGCATGTTTGTATTCTTCTAAAACTAAAACAGCAGCCCCCTCGCCCATAACAAATCCATCTCTATTTTTATCAAATGGCCTAGAAGCCATGGTAGGTTTATCATTGAATGACGTGCTTAGAGCTCTTAACCGACAGAACCCTGCTATGGCTAATGGACTTATACAGGCCTCGGCTCCGCCACTTACCATGACATCAGCATCACCATTTCTGATAAATCTAAAGGCATCTCCAATGGAATGTGCTCCAGTGGCACACGCCGTTGAAACAGCATGATTTGGTCCCCTAAATCCATATTTTATACTTATATGTCCAGCTGCCATATTTGGTAATATCCTTGGTACGAAAAATGGACTTACTTTATTATAGCCTGATTGTAAAGCATTATTTGTATCACAAACATCCTTAAGATCTATCATACCCATGCCTAAAGTGACTCCTGTTGATTCCATATCTGCTTGTGATTGTGGTGTCCACTTTGCATCATTTAAAGCTTCTTCTGTGGCAAAAAGAGCTAAGCAAGTAGCAGGAGCCATTAATTTTAAATTAGATTTTGACATCATTTTTGTTAAAGCAGGATTGTCTTCGTTTGGTATTATTCCAGCTATTTGACTAGGTAATTTTAAATATTCCTCATCCTTAAGAGCGACTATTCCACTGTGTCCTTTTAAAAGGTTTTGCCAGGACTTTAAGGTATTTGTTCCAAGAGGCGAAACTATTCCTAAACCTGTGACTACAACCCTTCGCCTGGGAGGATTTTGTGAACATTTACGAATAAATCGAATATATTTCATTTTGTATATAAATAAAGTATAAAAATGACACACGATTGTAACCTCTTGCCATGTACTGTTTTCATACGCAAAACTTACAAGTCTATTGATAGTAAACTTTAAAAAGTTTGACAACTGTCATCTACTACATATGATAATGACAGTTGACATAACAACATCTGAGTTGAGTTTCAATAATATATTGCAGTTCACAATTAATGTCTGCCAGGCAGGCTGTCAAAACAAATATTTTATTATAATAGACTTAATATAAGGACTAAGTTTGTACTCAGTTAATAAAATCATATTTGGAAAACGTTGCTTATACAATATGTTTGTTGTAGCAAACTTAAGATCATATTTTAAGTTTCTTGTTGTAATAACAACTATAGCAGTGGTGATAGCAGCTATAATTTTGAACCAAATCCCATCGGAATATGAATCACCAAAAATTAACGAAACTCCTGAAGTTCCGAACGAAATTCCTGAAGTTCCTAAAAAGATACACATTTTTACAGATCAAGAACTAGCACAGTATAATGGTATTCATGAGGAAAGAATCTATTTATCAGTAATTGGTAGTGTTTTTGATGTAACAAAAGGAAAAAAACATTATAAAAAAGGAGCTTCATATCATTATTTCGCTGGTAATTATTATATATATTTAGACTGGAATTTATTTTACTATTACACCATATTAATGTGATACTTCTTATAGGAAAGGACGGCTCTAGAGCTCTTGTAACTGGAGATTTCAATGACGAAAGCAGTAACAAGGATTACATTCTAGATCTCAATTGTGATGATATATTCAATGTTTTACATTGGCGTCGCACTTTTAGAGAGAAATATGAATTCATAGGTAGTTAAATTAAAACATAAATAATGTGAAAAAATATTATTTGGATTTTAATTGATAAGCAAAACTTGAATTAAATTAATTTTTAATAAAATTTCATGCAGGATATTTATCAGGAAGATATTATGATGAAAATGGGGAAGAAACAATATACATGACTGGGTTGAAAAAAGTTGTGAAACAGTGTAGGGAAGAAAAGGAAGAAGCTAAGAAACAAGAGAGAACATTTCCACCATGTAATATATCATGGAAAGAAGGTGAAGGGTCTAAGGTTTGGTGCTCCAAGTCAAGGTATGAAGAGGATATAATTAATATATTTAATTATTACTGTTATTATTAATATAAATAATCTTTTGAAGTAATGAGAATGAAGATTTTCACAAGTATTCATTTAAATGAAACTAATATTTTTCGGATGTACTACGTGATTTTTATTTTTGTATATAAACGACGATGACGGCAGACGAGATGTCGTCTGCCCGTGATCGTGGTTGCTGTAAAGTAACTGAAATGTCGGGAGTACGTAGTTTATACTCAAAAATAAAAATCGTGTAGTACTACCGAAAAATATTAGTTTCATCTTTGAAAGTAATCATATTTTAATCATAAATCCATGTTATTACAATTAAATCTCTTATTCCAGTGGCGGCATAGTCAGAAACTGGGTTGGCGTTCCACGGCAACTTTACACTCCAGGAGTTGAAAGGCCACAATGTGTCTGTGTAAGGCGTGACAACAAAAACTCGGCTCTGATCAAAGAGTATGAAGGATGCCCCTCATCTTCCTCAGAATGTATTGTACCAGATAAATGAACTGATTCATTCATAACATTTTGATATTACTTAACATTCCTTGTATTCATCATAGTCGGTAACATTATAATAATATAACATATACAATATGTTGTAATTGTAGTATATTTATAATAAGTCTATTTATTTTTTTATAAGATTTTGTTGACACAAACCATCTCATGGAACATGTGATCTCAGGTTGTAAGCAATTTATTATTATAAGCAAGTAGTTGAATTGCTGTTTTACAAACTTATACTATTTATTAGTTTCCATGTACTTAAAAATATAGTGTTGTGACAATGTTTTGTTTAATAATTATTCTTTGTAATTTTTAAAAGATGTAATCTGAAATTTGTTATTCGTAAGTATTATCACCAGTATTTTAGTATTGGTTATGGTTAGACTATTTTTTTACTAGACATGTAAGAAATAAATAAAATAAAATAATTTGATTTCTACTTACTCTTTGAAATTTATTTGTGCTTCACCTATTGTTTATAATCCTTTGATGTCATATCTTAAATGAACAATAATGAAACATCATATCAAAAAAGTATTAAGAATTGTTTATTAAGAGTCAAATAAGTGATTATAAATTGATTTAATGCATCACGTTTATTATAATACCATTGGTAAATTTGGAACCATCATACAGTTGTACTTTCTACAGTTTTATTATCGGAATGTACAGCTTCATCTAGCTCCAGACATTCAATTGTTTTCAGAAATACATTCATTGGGATTTTTTTCCTATTAACAAAAGATTTATTACCTAAAAGTTTCTTGATCTTTGCTCTGCGTTTCTTAATTTTTTCTTTTGTATATTGACTACCTATTTGAAAGGTCAATAGTCTCTTAACTTTTCTTCCTCCAATGAAGTTATCACATTCAGAATTATTTGATTTAGGCTCTTCATATATAGTCTCTAAAGTTTGAGTCAAAGTTTTAATTTTTTTATTAAGGTACAATGCTTCTATTTGTTTTGGGTTTGCATTTTCAGTTATGCTAATATGTTTACGTGGTTTCATACTAACTCTGCGATTAGAAGATTTACTTGGCTCTGGAGCCAAACATTTTCGTTTTCTGAGAATACGAGAAGGTGGGTTTGACACTACACTTTCAACGCTACTCTCTCCCACTTCCATTATATCCAAAAGTGCCATTTTATTTGGTAACTCAGAATCTGATCTGCAATAGAAGTAAGTCTAAATCGTAACATGATCTGAGAAAAAACTTTTGTTCGTTTTGAAATAATAATTTCATGAATAACTATATACTACTAACCTCGCTGTGTCCATGCTTAAATTAATAAAATACTCAGATTCTTCATGCACGTAATACAAGAAAAAAAAATGTGTTCCGACTGTTCAACCGTTGTACACTTGTTTGTATTCATTCATAAGTTTCAGAATTCAGAGTGACTTTGACAGATTATCTGTTACATGTTCGAACATGGTAAAATATAAGTCACATTTATTCATGTAGGCTACGACAGATGACGCTCATGTGGTGATTTCTTTGCAGTTTTAGTTATTATCAAGTTTATAAGGTTTTGTAAAAAAATATAGATTATTAAATATAAAAAAAATTCTAAGCACCATCCTCATGTAATAAATGTTCGTCTTTTTTGTATTATGTTCATATTTTTATCATATAATTTAAATAAGAGATATATGATAGGAGATGCTTAGATTTATTTCATTAATAATATGTATACATATTTGTAAATAAAACATTAGTTGTTTTATAACGATTTATTGTACAAAACAATAATACATTAAAATGTACAGGTATGTTTAAAAATTGGACACAATTAGGTCCCAAACTGGATAATATTGTATATATCCTTCCCTTATAGACACCATATTGCTCGTCGAGGCGTCAGCACTAATAGAAACATAGATTCGGTTCTAGATAAGCAAACTAGATAAAGAGAATAAAATTATAACAATAAATAATAGCATGCTGTCAACTTAAGTACACAGTTTATCGCACTGCTTTTGTCGACGGGCACCATGTAGTCTTTAATTAAAAAAACGTAATTAAACAAATCGATTAAACCTCCTAATTATACTGTATAGTATATACACATTATGAACATGTCCTCTCTGAAGAAGCGCAGGTGAGCAGGTGGTGGGGGCGGCCCCGCTCCGTCGTCGTCGCGTGGTCGCCACGTCGCCGGATCGCCTCCGTCCCGAGCCCTACTATACTGGATAGCCTACAGCGGCACACGGCACACGACACTCCGCGACGGTAAACAGATAGATGAGAAACAGTAGTAGCAGAGAGAAGCGGACGAGGAACTATGACTAGGTGGCGTTTACCACTTGTCAACGACCACCTCGTTCACTGGAAAAAACAACGATTGCGTTAGTTTGATGAGTTCGAGGGAGTGCCGCCGTCCGAACTTACGGAGGAGCGTGTCGTGGATACTAAATATGTAGTTTCACTGCGGGATCACAACAAACAATGAGTGTTCATGGAATATGTGCGTGCGTGGCGCTGCGGCGTCTCCTGGCGCTTACACCTTCATCATCGGGGTGGTGGCTGGGGGCAGACAACAGTGCGTTAGTGCATGCGACTGCGGCTCATCCCGCCTTGCAGGATAGGGAGAAAGTTTTGCAATAAAAATATACAAGACTTCTTAAGCCTTCCGAGACTGAATATTTTTTTTATATTTAATTATTTTCGGTATTGATTGTATTTTTTTAAATAGCCAATAGTAGCAATTTGATGTTGAAGCTTGCAAAACTTTAGTATGTTAGTCGGAAAACAAAAACAGATTAGTGCATCAACACAGTCGTATAACAGAGTCCTTGCTGCCTGTAATTGGGTGAACTGAATTGAAGGTTTTACTATTTCGGATTTCATATTAATAGGTAAGGGCAGTACACAGGGTATGAAGAGGATGAACTGGTCGTTCAGTGAGGAACAATAATTCCAACAGTTCTAATTATGTAAAGTGTGTATATTTTAGATAACTCCAACATTTTAGTACATAGGTATTTATATATAAAAGTAAGAGGAGTTTCAGGATTCACAACAAATTTTTGAGCATGCCCTCAACTGTGCAGTGTGTATGTAGTTCGTAACATTTGGCTCCACCCTTAAATAGTTGACTTTTATTGATACAATATAACTATTATAATATAGTTCACTCGGAACACACAAAAACTGTATTAAAAAATAAATCATGCAACTGCACACATGCTAAATTTTATTAACAATATTATAATAACAATTATAAATGTCCAGACTACAAGTTTTATTAATTATTAACTAAGGTTTTCTGATATATATTACTTATAGTATTAGTATGTCTCGTTAATATAGTTGGCATGTAGTATTAAAATATATAAATTACAACTATATTATAAAGTTACATGACCAAACAAAATAATCAATATTTAATGTAACATATTTTATGTAACTCAGAGATACTTTAAGTTATTTTGTATGTGCTGGACATAAATATAATTTGTGGCATTTGATAAAAATAAAATACAAAAAAAAACAATGAGAGGTTATTGATTATGCTCAAGAAGACACATTCATAAATTTGTTAATATTGTTAGCAGTTGTATATATATGAATATATATGGGGCAGTAGCATAATGCTAACTGGGAAAAATGTATACTAATAGATGGAAAATGCATTGGAGTTGATTATTAAGCATCCGCGAGAGAGGACAGACAAAAAGTTCTCTTTTAATAAGAATAGTCACTCAAGACTATGGAGTCCCTAATTATATACTTACAATAAATTACTCTAAGCTAACAGTGCACATTACTAAGTAATGTAAGATTTAATTACATGTCTGCAGTCCACAAGGACAAGGTACTGAGCTGTGTGCGAGTCTGATGTAATAATTACCAATAAACGGATCTCTTAGAAAAACTTATTAAATATACAGAAAAATTACTATAGAATCCAAATATACTAACTTACAAAATACTAAATTCATGTAAATAACCATTAAAAATTTTGTGTAACGAAATTTTTGGATGAAGGTAGTCACAGCCACTCGACACCTTATAAACAATTCTATGAATACTAAATGGAAATCATAGTTGTGGGTTCGGGGCGACTGTGAAATGAAATTATTGTCTCGCACATGCGAAATGCAAATCGATAATTCTAGAACATAACACTACAGGACTCAAGACGATTCAGTCCGAGGGTCACTTCACACGCGTGGCAGATTAGCATTCCAGACGGTTAGCGCACTGTGGTGAGGCGAGCTCATCGTCCATACGTTTCCACAGTCCGAGGGGTCGATGGGTATTAGGGTGAATCAAACCGGGCGGCGTCGCGGGCCGGCCTTATAGCGGTCCGTACACGATGAGGGCAAAGAAAACTGCCCACGCGAGCACAATCCACTGCATGCCTCGCATCCAGTCAAGCACAGAGCCGGTCTCACCGTCGGAGATCTTGCGGGCGACGAACTTGAGGACCTCGTCCAGCAACACGACCGGCACCGAGAACTTCATCACCGTCACCCACTCGTCCACGGACAGGGGCGTCACTTGGAACACGGCCTACACACACACACACACACACGTGACAACAAAATATATGTAAAGAATAAATATATAGACTGACGAATAGTAGAGCGATATGGTCATTACTCACCGACAGCACCTCCACATACAGAATGACGAAGTGGAGCGTGAAAGACAGCGCCATAGAGCCGACCAACCACATGTTGGACCATGGGGGCATGGTGACGAGCGACTGGTTTCTCAGACAACGAGTTCATGGCGTTCAACATCTCGATGGTTACCAATACTGAGAGAGCCATGGTCATGGGGTGAGGGTCTGTGAAGATCTTGCAGTCGATACCCTGGAAACGACATTGATTGAAGTAAAATGGGCAAAAAAATCTTTTCCATTTATATTAAAATACTTACCAGTGAAACATTATAGAATTAGGTCTAATCTTAAAACCTAGTCGTACTAATAGAGTCATATAAGACGTTGCATAAAAAAGTGGTGTAACTATTTACCTTGAAGTCTTCGGGGCTGTTGATGCATTGCAAGTGGTGTGTGAGTTGCCAGTAGGTCATCTGAGGTCCGAAGGGCGAGTACATGAACCACCAGGAAGCTGCTCCTACGGTCGCCATACCGACGTAGCCACCGATAGCCATGTATCTGTATTGAAATTAATATACACGATTATTTAAATGGCAGTTACTGAAATGCGATAATTAGGTTGTGGGTTCAAATCCAATAGGAGCATCTGTCAATGAATTTGATTAATTAAAGAACAAGATTGACATTGTTTTATCATTAATATCATAATCAAAAAAGTTGCTCCTATTATAAGCATCTTATAAAAGCAGAATTTGTTGTTCATACTGACCTGAAGAACAGCCATCCAGAGATAAGACCCTCGTCAGCCTTGCGGGGTGGTTTGTCCATAATGTCAAGATCAGGTGGATTGAAACCAAGGGCGGTGGCGGGTAAACCATCAGTGACCAAGTTGACCCACAACAGTTGTACGGGAATCAAAGCCTCGGGCAGACCCAGAGCAGCCGTCAAGAAGATAGACACCACCTCACCGATGTTAGATGAGATCAGGTAACGGATGAACTGCTTCATGTTGTTGTAGATAGCACGACCTGGGGATAAACGTTCAAGAACTCATGTTATGTATGTCCAATGCATTTGTATTACTTTGGAATGCTTTAAACTTTAAATCTCATGATAATAATAGATTCTTAGAATTTGAATAAGCGGTGTTTTGTTTGTACACATTTGTACGTAAATTCATTTGAAAGCTCCATTGTTTTATTACCTACATAGATTTCACCCAAATTAATATTCGTTTTAATAGTAGTACTGATATAAGGATATTATATTTATTTTCTAATGATTTGTATATTGATGAGGTTTTATATGTCACCTTCTTCAACAGCAGCGACGATGGATGAGAAGTTGTCGTCGGCGAGCACCATCTCAGCGGCGGACTTGGCTACGGCGGTACCAGAACCCATGGCAATACCGATTTCGGCTTTCTTGAGGGCAGGGGCGTCATTTACACCATCACCAGTCTGAAAGAACAGAATATTAATGAACATTATAACAAACAGTTCCTTAAAGTCCTGTATTTTTTTTTGTTTATACAAAAATAATGTCATTATCATATCATAAAAATAATCTGTTAAAAATGTTGTAATGTATCCTTCAATTTGGACATCATATTCCTATGTAATGAGCTGTATAAACACCTAACGTAAACATTCCATAACATAACATAAGCATTGCCAATACTGCAATTGTAAACATCAAATAATATAGCTACCCTACAGTATTTGTGATGATATTGTTTCAGGATATATAAATAATCAAAGTGAACGAACTCTAAACTCACCATAGCGGAGATTTCGTTCATGCTTTGCAGGTATTCAACGATCTTGGACTTGTGAGCGGGTTCCACTCTAGAGAACAGACGTGCTCTAGCGCAGGCCTGGCGTTGTTCAGCCACGGGCAGATCGTCGAATTCACGTCCAGAGTAAGACTTGCCAGTGGTGTCCTCATCCTCTTTGAATACACCAATACGTCTGAATAAAAAAGATACAAAATTATAATAATTGAATTATTTTCCCGCAAATAAGGACTTAGAGCAGTAAGTAATGTGGATCATACCTGCAGATAGCTTCAGCTGTGGCCTTGTTGTCACCGGTGATGACAATGACGCGGATACCGGCGGCGCGGCAGCGGACGATGGAATCGAATACTTCTTTACGAGGAGGGTCCAACATGCCCACGACTCCGACAAAGGTTAGGTTAACTTCGTAGGTGTAGAATTTGGTGGAGTCTCCGAGGTCCATTTCGTCGGGTTTCATTGGGTTGTCGGCGGTGGCCAAAGCTAAGCAACGCAGGGTGTCACGACCGGTACCGTATGAACGGGTGAGCTCGAGAATGCGATTCTTAAGGGTGGAGCTAAGAGGGACTTTGGCGGTTCCAACACGAGCGTGGGTACAACGTTCCAAGACTCCTTCTGGGGCGCCCTTAACGAAAAGTTTAGGTCCGTTTCCGAGGCGGGAGGGTTTCAGAGGTGTGCAGTAAGTCGACATGGATTTCCTGTCACGGGAGAACTCGAGGGTGAATTCCTTCTTCCATTTAGTTTCAACTTCTTGGCGGACGACGATAGCGGATGAACGGCGATCGAGACCAGTCTTAGAGACATTGAAAGGATTCATTTTTTCAGCGAGCACGATAAGAGCTGTTTCAGTAGCTTCACCGACCTTTTCGAAAGCCTGTTTGAATTCGTTGAAATCGATAGCGGAGTCATTGCACATAACGCAAATGGTACCCAGTTCATGGAGAGCATCGAATTCGGAGGCCTTTACTTTCTGTCCCTTCAAGTACACATCACCGATGGGTTCGTATGTAGAGCCAGTGATTTCGAATTCCAAGAAGCTGCTGTCGCCACCTTCAACCTTCTCGAAGATGAACATGCGAGAGACGGACATTTGGTTGGTGGTGAGAGTTCCGGTCTTGTCTGAGCAAATAACTGAGGTACAACCGAGGGTCTCGACTGAGGGCAGAGACCTGACGATAGCGTTCTTCTTAGCCATCCTCCTAGTACCGAGGGCCAGACAGGTGGTGATGACAGCGGGCAAACCTTCAGGGATGGCAGCTACAGCCAGAGCCACGGCGATCTTGAAATAGTATACGGCACCCTTGATCCAGCTTCCACCGTGGGCGGGGTCGTTGAAGTGGCCGATGTTGATAGCCCAGACGGCGACGCAGATGACGGAGATCACCTTAGAGAGCTGCTCACCGAATTCATCGAGTTTCTGTTGCAGAGGGGTCTTGATCTCCTCAGTCTCGGACATTTCAGTACGGATCTTACCGATGGCAGTGTTGAGACCGGTTCCGATGACGATGCCACGGGCTTTACCAGCGGCGACGTTGGTACCGGAGAAGAGAATGTTTTTCTTGTCCTGGTTGACGGCGCGCGGGTCGGGGATGGCGTCGGTGTGTTTGATGACGGACACCGACTCGCCGGTCAGGATGGACTGGTCGATACGGATGGTCGTAGAGTAGATCTTGATCAGACGGATGTCAGCTGGGATTTTGTCACCGACGGACACCTCCACGATGTCACCGGGGACGATCTCCTTAGCACGGATCTTTTGGACTCCGGATTTGTCGCCTCTTACAACCTTACCCATTTCCGGTTCGTATTCTTTTAAAGCTTCGATGGCGGATTCTGCGTTCCTTTCCTAAAAATAATTACCAAACATTGTCATGTTTATTTACTTTATCAATTGTGTGATGATTTTTATGTATAACGTATTATAAATAATATTCACCTGCCATACTCCTACCACAGCGTTAGCGATAAGAATTAATAAAATAACAAAAGGTTCTACGAATGCTGAGAAAGCGTCTTCATGTTCTTCAAATAAAGCTAACACCTGGAAAAGAAACAAAACATGTATTTGAAATGTTAGTGTGTTTAAATGAAATGTTTTATTCCAGTTTCACTTACGAATGAAATAATAGCGGCTAACAGCAAAATCTTCACTAAAAGGTCATCAAACTGTTCGAGAACTAATTGCCATATACTTTTTCCTGTGAATGAAATCGTTTTTTATAAGTTTCATACATTCTGTATGAATACATACATACATTATGAGTATTCAAAATCCTGACGTAACAAAAGACGTTTGAGTGGGCTAACAACGCGTAAGATATTGATTAAAAACAGAACAAAATCCAGAACGGTATTATTGAGATGTTTAGTATACATTAACTAAAATACATCTCAGGACTAAATCCAAATATTTTAAAGACAATGTATAAGATTTGATCATAAGCAATTTTATATTAAAATTCTATACACTGTATATGACAGTACATTTCTATATACCATCCATTAATTATACACATCTCTGTATGTCAATTGTTTCTTCTCACGGATAACTATTAAATATTTTTTAGTTTTTATAAACAACATACATACAATTCAAAAACTAAACGTTATAATGACCCTGACATACTTCTCATTTGTATAAAGATTTACGTCATCATATTTTTAGTAAGCGCGTTCTAATGATCTCTAATCACATATAAATAGATATAACTGTGATTTACAATTTAAATGTCTAGTTTAATTAAATAATTGATTGAGCAATATTATACGTCATACAAGTTGCTTACCTTCCTCGGCGGGCAATTCTGAAAACAAGAGAAAATCGTAATTAGAATATTTCCTTTTCTTTTTTTAATAAAACATCAAAGGAGTAAATTTAACGCACTATAAACCAGTCAGGGCGGGCATGTGATCTATCACGGCTCTAACGATCTTACATAAACACACGTACATTGACTAAATATGCGCTGCTGGCCGTAGTCGGACCGTTCATCTATCGTCCGCTCTGCATCATCACATATACGCTGCTCGTGTCCATTAAAATGTTAATGTTTGTGTAATCATTCATTCATATTACAAATAAAATAATATTACTATCAATATTAATATGTATCCATCGATTACTTTATACTAGATTCGATTGATATGAGTATTACGCTGTAATTTATTGTTATATGGTATAGTGAACAGTTTATTGAACTTGATTTAGGCTATTAATATTTTTTTATACTCAAATCTGATTAGAGTCTTTTACATTGAATAATAATAGTAAAAACTAAGGAGTTTTCCTTAGTTTTTATAGCGTATAAAATTCCAGTATTATAATGGTTTTATATTTGCATAATATTTTGTTAAAAAATCTCATTCGTTAGCTCATGTACCGTCACATTGGGCCACGTCTTAGCGTGACGTATTATACCTGTTCACTGACCTCTGTTATAGGAATGAGTGATTCAAAATAACTTTAGGGGTATAAGTTTTATTTAACATTCTTATAATTATAACTTTGTTTTGATACATAATTAATAGCTAGTAATTATTATGCTATTAAATGCATTACAGGAAACCACTATATTCGATTAAAAAAATGTGTAATAAAATTTGCAAATAGATTAGCTTACTACGTCGTTGTTGTCTTTGTTAGATTTCGTATCGTGGCAACGTGGTATAAATCAATCGTTATGGTACTATTTGCGTACGTTTTCATCTAGAGTAATGTAAGCAATTAGTCAATGTTTCTTTAACGCCTTGTCAGCTATGAGACGGGAGTGAGTAACGAATGGTTGGGTTATGCTGATCACTGGTACAGGCTGCTTACGTTGAGCTGGGTCGTAGTACGAACGTGCTTTGTTTAGTGATGGTTCTCTTAAGTTTAAACAGAGTCAGTTATTGCATGATCCTTGAATATAATTGTCGTTTGTTATGCAAGTGAAATTCTAATGTCTAAAACTTGTTTGAAATTAAATGTTATAATTTTGTTTTAAATTACTGCGATTTATTTATAAATATAAAAATGAATTTGTTTAAGATGTTAATCAAATAATTTATTTCAGTATTGCCACTTCAGCTGACATTTAATGGTACTTTAAGTAAAAGTGATATTTTAAATTTTATTATTTTGGTTTTTAATGTAAGCGATACAACGTTTGAAAACTTTGAATTAATGTAATATTTTTTACCCACGCAACACTTGTCTGTCAACGGATTAAAATTTTTCATTTACATTTTTCGTCCACAATAATTAATAATGGCAATTTATTTAGGTATGAACGAAATTTTTTTAAATATAGCATTTTTGTTTTTCACGTCGATACTATCCGTTGTATTAACGTTGCCAAGTTGTCAACATTATTTATAGCATAATATAGTTGAAATTCTGGTTCCGTATTTACAGAACAAACACGATGAAGCGATATGTTTGGAAGCTCGTCAGCCAACGGGCTCGAGACATCCAACGTAACACTGTCCAAAATAAACCTACTGTGGTTGTACGTAATAATATTACAGTCACTAGGCACTCGGGGCTCGCCGCATCTGCTCCAGAATAACCAGGCGCAGATACCGACAATTATAGACTATATGCACTATAAAGATATGTTTGAACAAATCTCATAGCACAGTTACCGATTGAGTTATACTACGTGTGCTAGTAACGAAGTTTACATCTCGTACGTCGCAACAAATCATTAATATTCAAGAACAAACGTCTAACGTATCCTTCTCTAACCTCCGAGTTTAAAGTGCGTCACAATACGTTTTAATGATCAAAGGAAAAAACACATCTGACTTGCGTTATGACATATAGAAACAATTATAATGAATATATTTTTAACCTGACTTATGTTTAATCATATTTAAATTGAAAACTGGTATACGTTAGAATACTTTGATTACATATATCAGCTATTACTTTATTATTATTAATTTTTTATGGATGAAAAGTTATGAAACAATATGATCCCTACTAATATTATAAATGCGAAAGTAACTCTGTCCGTCTGTCTGTTACGCTTTCACGCCTTAACCACTGAGCTGAATTTAATGAAATTTGGTACAGACATAGAGTTGACCTTGAGAAAGAACATAGGATAGTTTTTATCTCAGACTTTTGGAAGGTTCTCTTGGAAACGCGATATAAACGAAATCCACGCGGGCGAAGCTGCGGGCGGAAAGCTAGTTTGAAATAATTTAGATATATTGTTAAGACGATCCGGTCAAGTATAAGATTTATATATGTATATAAAAGAATTTTCGGCACAAAATCATTACGAAGCACTTAGGGAGATGTAAGAGAACACATGGCCCGTAATAACAATATTAAAGATTAAAAATGGATGTTGTGATTAATTTTATACGGAAAATATAATAATATATTTAATATTATGTATCACTCATTAGATATATACAAAGTACATAACACTGTGATGTGGAATTAAATATGAACAGACTGTTATATAAATTTTTAATAAAAATGTAAATTATAGAAGTTAAAAATTATTATTGATAGCATTGACATAGAAACCAGTCGATTCATACAATACGTTGACGTTATTATAAAATTATCGATTCATCATGAAAAATAACTTGTTTTGAAAACTGAAAACTATGCATATTTTATTACGATCGTCGAAAGCAAAAAAAGAAAATGAAAATTATGTTTTCAATATATATGCCGTATAAAATATTCATATTAAATTGGTAAATGGATTATTCAATATTTCAAATAATTTTCATTCTCTCGATTGTTTTGTCCAATGAAATCGAGTGCAATCAACAAAGTGAATTGCTGAAACTATGGCTTTAGATGTCAAATTACTGGCACGTCATAGCTTAAAGCATATTATGAAAAAAATATGCAAAATTGCTAACCGTTAAAAAACGAATATTAAATAAAAAACAAGTTAAAATCGTTACGTTCGATTGATTATTATAATTAAGAAAACTCGTATCTAATGTGCTATAATATCGTCATCGTCCTATCAGAGCCCACTACTGAGCAAAGGCCTCTTTCTCATATGGAGGTTTGAGCAAGCTATAGCTCTAGGTACCTATAAATTCTAAAATATATACAACGCAATCTTAATAATGCCGCATTATTAGCACACAATGATTTTGACCAGTCAACATTAGCACGTATTATTTGCCTTACAATCTATTTCTGAAGGAAGTTTTTCTCATTGTGACCGGTCAGAGTGACGTTGAGTTGGGACGTGATAATTTGCTCCGGCGAAATACTTTGAGGTCGGTAAAATAAACAATCATCTACCTTACGGCGCACTATTATTAGAATAGTTTAATTTAGGCGATATTTTTTGGGCTTTGCTTACATATTAATGACAATCCCTACTAATATTATAAATGCGAAAGTAACTCTGTCTGTCTGTTACGCTTTCACGGCTTAACCACTAAACTGATTAAAATGAAATTTGGTACGGAGATAGAGTTCACCTTGAGAAAGAACATGGCATGGTTTTTATATATAGTTCCATATAAATTTTCAGATATTACAAAAGAAATTACTAAAACCAGCTTTATCACGCACTGAAACCTGGAATAATACCGTAGGTATCAAGCAAATGTTTGTAATGAGAATGTAGTACTCGTTTAAACACATATCCCTATTTATACATTAAATAAATATATTTACATAAGATACAAACGTGATTAAGGAAATACGCTATTAAATAAAAAAGTACGACAAGAATTACGAGTAAGTAATCATAGTAGAGTTTAGATTATTCGCATATTTATGTGGCGATTGAAGAATGACAAGGCTCATGTCGGATACAAAATACGCAAAAGAAATAAATCAGGAAGTACAGTTAAGTAACGTTATAAGTTTAATGCAAATATATTGAAACAGAGCGTGCTATCGCCATTATCCACTTGGAGGCGAGCTTATCGTATATTAAACAATACTTCATACATCAGCGTACCCGCTGTGATAAAAATGTGGGAATGCTATTTCACTACTACGCTATAAAGTAATAACGTTATAAATAAATATGATAGAAAATATACACTTGTCGAGATTTTCACTTACTACCTTTTGAATCTGAAGTATTGTGAAAAAAATCTTTGTTCAAGTTTTCTGCGAACTTTTCTATTATAGCATGCAATGTTTAAAGATTTTACGTATTATTTGAATTTAATAAAAACATTACTAAGGTTTTTAGTATTTTTTTAATACGTTTATAAACACAGATTAAATTACCATAGACTACATCTTTGTTTTCATTACGTTCCGGGCCATATTTAAATTTTCCATTGTAAGTGCTCATTAGATTAGGTACTTTAAATTAATAAATAATTAAATACAAGGTTAGCGACCTCCTTTGTTAGTCTATGTAAATGTACGAAGCTAAATTGTTTACGTTTATCAATCCCATTGATAACAAGATGATAATTTTTCAGCCGTTTTCTTTGTCTAGACTGTGAGTAATAATAACTTAATTATTTTCAGAATTTATCTTATATTTATTTTGTGTTAAATATTTAAATGTATAAAGAATTTTCTAGTTGAATAAAGTTTCATTATAGGGTTGCGACATGGCCGACTGATGTTCAGGTGTACGCACCAATGGCAGGTCGAGCCTAACAATATCCTACCATAAATAGAAAGCAAATACACGCGTGGATCAACCCTTAATCGAGTATAAACAGTCTGAATCAATATTTATATATATATACAAATATATTCTCTCTCGTTAATATTTAATATATTCTACACTTCAACTAAAATGAAAGTTCTAAACAATATATGTATATTCTTTGATATTGAAATTTAAAAAAAAATTGGTTTATATGTATTTTGCTATTAAAACTACGATAGCTTCAAATTATTTAGTATCCTATTTACTTACACACTTGAATACTTCCAATTAGAAAAACGATAGAAATGAATTAAAAACCTGAATTTTTTTTAATTAAATAAAATTTTATCACATTCCGTTCATATAATTAGGTGGTAGAGCCTAGCTGTAGTCAGTTACTACAGCTCGAACATGGGCTGGCTCGACCGGGGAAGTACCACCCTCTCACAGAAGATCGGCGTGAAGTAGCCTTTAATGGCTGCGTTTCGTCCGATGAGTGAGAGAGCCGGTTGCCCTTTCCCTATTCCCACCCTTTCCTACCATTTCCTTATTCCCACCCCTCCCTATCCCTACAAAACAAGGTTGGCAATGCATCCGCAACATAGATGTTGCGGATGTCCATGGGCGACGGTAACCACCTTCCATCAAGTGGGCCGTCTGCTCGTTTGCCAGCTTTCACATTAAAAAAAAAAAAAAAAAAGAAATATAATTGCAGCGTCACGGTTAAATATATGTCATTATACCGTGAAATATTATTAATTAAATCTGATTAATAAGCATAATTAGAAAATATAATTCTAAAGAGCACTTTTATATGTAGGTATATAGGTCGAAGTATTGAACACTCGGCCATATTATATGCTGATTGGTGTTGGTTAATTTATAATGCTTTAAAAAACAATAGAAAACTAAGACAATAGGTTTATTTCTACTGATAGAAAACAATATAATACTTTTAGTCTCCTTAAGAAGATAAATGCTACTTATATGTTTTGAAATTTGTTAAATAATATGTGAAACCTTACTCGTTTAATAATGACAAGTGACTTGCAAAAATCCTATTTACTCACTTCAAATGAAGCAAAAACAGATTTATATTTGAAAACAGTAAACAAAAATGGTAACCTAGAAATACTTGAGAAATGACTTTGGTAACTTTCACTTCACAGAAGATGAAAAAAAGTATAGCTAAAGACCAAAATAAACCAGCGTTTAAGTAAAAGATGTGAAATAGTGACAAAATGAATTATTTGTATATAAACTTCATAGTATAAATATTAGAAAGTATTTTTTATTTAAAGCATATGGAAGGTCTAGCGACTTAAAATTTGAATGGCTTATTATAGCATATGAAATAAGTTTAAAAGATAAGCATTGTGGTCGGAAGAATGTTCTATTTGTTTTTATATGCTTATAAGTTAGTCGCCAACTTTATAAACCACAAATTGAAACTATTAGGAATTATAGTTGAAATTGAATAACCATTTATACTATGGTCTGTAATAATATCATGATGAAGAAATAATGATATATGATTCTTTTGAAAGTAATCATGTTGCTAGTTATTTTTTAAATTATGTTGAGAAATCCTCTTTACGTTGAGAAATCCTCTAATTTTTGTAATTTTATTTTTCTTATATGAGTGAGTTTTTGGAAATGATACCCTATCAATAACAATTTCCCATTCTAGGCACTTAAATCTTTCTGAAGAGAAAAAGAGAACAATATTGAGATATAAAAATTAAAACAAAGGTTTTACAAAATCAAATCGCTTTGTTAAAGATGATTCATGATAATTTTCATTTAATAAAACTGATAATAAAGATAAGGTATATTTTTAAAGTTGTGAGCTCTTGCATACATAAACAACAATAATTTACATTGTACTGCAGCATATTTTTTTATATATAATTACATAATAAATAATGTATTCAAGTAATAACAAAAAGTGATTATTCATATGAATTATATGAGATTTTTTTGGGAAAATTAAAATACCTGTAACACTTATAATGACTATCAGTAATCCTAATAAAAAAAATAACTGAATGATCATTGTTTGCATTAATTACAAGGTTCTGCTCTGCTCTGACTGGTTATAAAACTAAAATAATATAAATTAACTTACCATTTGGTCCATATTTCTCCTGATTTCTTTTAATCTGATCCGGAGTAAGACCTTTGTCTGGATCTGTACCAAAATATCCTAAGACTTCGTCCACGGATTTCGTGTGAGCGTCCTCCATGGTGGAATTTCTACGTTGCCGTCAGTTCTAGAAGACAAGAAAGAATATATTTAGGTTAGAAAATGACAAGTCATCATCAATAACACGAATAAAAGGTAGCGTCCAAAACGTCATTAATTTAATAAAATAGATGAAAAATAAAATAAATTAAAGCGTCCGAAACTATTATTTCATTTACACTATTGCTGTTATTTCTTTTAAATATTAGAGGTTACATTCGTACCTCGCAATAGATTTTTTGGTATAGTCATCATTATACACGGAAAATGTACGAATTCAATTATTGATCGTTTTAGTTTCGTCTGACCTAAATAAAAAAGAAAAAAATAGGACACAATTTAAGGAAGCATCTTAATAAGCTATTTCCTAGTTCCTGCAATAAAGCGCCTTTAAAACGACCACTGCACTCACCGAGAACTTTTGTTTTACATGAGCAGATAAAGTATTACTGAATATTTCACTTATTTTAAAGATTCTAAACCCTACTTTTTAAAAGATAAAACTATTTTATTAATCGGCTAATACTTTTTCTCGTAAATATCATAAACTACACCAACACGTATCCAATATAGACGTCATTTTTTCCCAGACTGACGGGATTGGACGACGATGCTACTGCCATCTGTGATTCGTAGCAAAATTTCATGGTATCAAATGAGCATCTCTTTTTATTGATTCTCCGTTTAATTATGTGAAAAAATAACCAAAGGTTTTAAAATACTTTCAAGTATGATAAAATCCAATTTGTGAAGTTATTAGTGAATAAAAACGAATAAAATAAATTATTGTCAAAAATAAATGTGGTGTTTTTCTATAGGTCGACGATGTACCACGTGACGCAATCCTATTTTTAAGCCGAAGGCGCCTAGAAAGTGCGGTATTTTTAAATTTAAGAAATAGCTACATAATTTTCCAAGTATTATGTAACACTGCATCACAATATTATTTTTCACATTCTTCTTACGAGCTTGATAGACACTTAAAAAGCACAGTTTTATTAATTCACTCACTATAAATTTGGTTTTATAGAGATATTAGGAACTTACTGAAATATTATTATTCGACAGCGTCGGGAAGGAAAGAAGAAATAAAAGTGACGCGGGAGATGTTTTCCCGCCGCGCCCCGAGTTACAACTCCCGGGCAAAGAGCGACGATTTTAGAGCGGTGCGGGCGCGGTGGAGGGACACCGGCGTAGATTTCTTTAATTATTTTGGCAACAGTACCCGGTGGCACGGTCGAGTCGTTTTCCAGGGTTGCATGTCGCGCGGCTGCCTTCGGTGGCCGTCCCATGTTGATCTTTTTATAGCGGCCGCTGCCCAGCTCGAGCTCCCGGTACAGTGCAAACGTGCGGTTTTTTTATCCTAACATTGAAAACTACAAAGTTCAAAGACGTATAAAATATTTTAAAACAAAGCTTTCGTACTGGCCGGTTTGAGAAAACGGTTTTTTATTGCTTTTTAAGAGGAATTTTGACAACCGCTGTTTTCTACTAGGTCAGGTCACGATCAGGGCAAGCGTGACCCCTACCTCTACCTCTAGATCTAACTTTCCTATTTAGAGAAAACACGAAAGTGTCGAGGACGTAATTATTAAGCATTTTAGTGGAGAGTTTTAAAATCATTAATTAACATTTCTTATATATATATATTTGTCTTATCAACAAATCTTCTACATTAATTTATGCCAAGCAAAAAATTACATATATGTAAGTACATACACATAATCGGTAAGATTTTTACGTCGTAAGCTGGATTTTATTAGTATACTTATTTTTAGTCATTAAATTTCATACTATCGATCAATTTATTTATTATTTTTTAACCGACTTCAAAAAGGAGGAAGTTTCTCAATTCGACCGTTTGCATATATGCTTTTTAATTAAATAGTTACCATAATATAGCATAATAGTTATGGTAATAAATCCATCAGACCACAGTAATTTTTATTGATATTTGTATGCCTCAAGACTTACTGACCTCAAAGAAAGTTTATATAATAAGATATAATTATGCAATTCGACAATCACCTGTCCTTCCTAATATAACTATCTTTATTTATTAATTGCTATGTACATGATTGCACTACGACACACATATTTAATTGGAACATCGCCTACCATTCGACATTGGATGTTGCTGGCAAGTTGTACTGATCTTTGACAATGATCCATCACTAAATAATTCACATCGTGACATGTAAGCCGCGATTGATAGTTACAAGCAGTCACAGATGTCATATGATTTATGAATTAATTAATTATCTGTATTTACATGTTATTTTATTTATAAAATTTTAATCATCCTGTAATCGGTAGCAAAATTAGATTTGATCTTTTGATTAAATCCAATGCTAGTAATAGGGGCATGATTTTATGCTGTTTCAAAGATAGATTTAGGTTTTATTATAATATCACTAGGATCTTTTAGCAATTAGATTTCTTTGTACCTAATTATGTATGAAATAGAATCGTATACATTTGAGTTGATTTTTTAAAATTATAAAGATGTATAGGTTGTGGTCTTGCATGTTTTCAGTTTTCTCGATTGATAAACATGGAAATAAAGATCAAGGTGTGATTATAAAAGAGAACTTCCCTAGTATATATACATTTTAAAAAGCTGTTTATAAATATAAAAACACACAGGTACATAAGTCAAAAACCTACGTATATGTAGAAGTATATAACATTTATTTTTTTTTGTTTTTTTGGTGTTTTGAAACCACGTTTTTTATTTTTAATCCGTTTATTTGTTATGTATAACATTGATATTATATTTTATTAAATTCCTCGTTATATTGTGGAACCGAGCAAAACATAAAAAAGTCTTTGTATTACTTGACTGGAGTTTTTGGCTTTTAAATGATTACAGGAGAAGATATATAAACTGAAAACTGATGTAAAATAGATACAATAAAGGCATATATGTACTTCTAATAAGAAAAAAAAACATTATTACTATACAGTTGATATACTCGTAGTATACATGTTCTATCATGTATAAAAAAGTAAATGAGTCACTGAAGAGAAAAATTTAGATCAACGAACATGCTAAACTAAAACCTTCTTTAATGTTAAAAAACTTAGAACACTTATTTATCGCTTGTCATCAAAGTTGCCAGTTATATCATAATCTCCAATCTGTGTCATCTCTGAAGCGTCAGCTATAAAATCGGTTACGATTTTATTTTCCGGTTTGTTTTCAATTGATCTATTTATTATTTATAATAAAGAAAACTACTTTTCTATCTTCAATTTACGCAGGCAATGACGTCAACGGTTACGTAAAATATGTTCGAATATTTCAGGTGGAACCTATTTAAGTATTAAATCAATATTAGAAGACGTCGGTATTGTCTTAAGTATATATTGAACCGATTTCAAAGAGAGAACGTCTCTTCTTTGAAATCGGTCATCATACGAATTGTATAATTTAAATGTTGCGAGAGTTCTTTGAAATATCACGGAAAAAAATGTCAGCCTTGTTCAAATAACCTGCTTTATATTTAGATAGTGAAAATAGAGAATCAGTGGGAAACAGCTGAATGCCAATGTTAACGTCTATTTCGGTGTCTGGAATAAAGTATTAAATAAAATGCAAACGCTCTGGGGAACAGTAATGTATTTCTGTGAGCTCTTTCACTTTGAAAATATATAAAAAAACTTTGAATGGGGATGATGTTTCAAGAAATAGTTTTGAACATTTTATTAAACTATTTACATAATAAATGAAGCAGATTTAATTTGTTTTTTAAATTATTACCGAAGAATATAGAAATAAATCTTTAATAATTTAGAATAACATATTATGAGGTCGAATTAAACATTAATCATTCTGCATGATTGAAGATTTTTTTTACACTTAATATCGCTAGCGTGAATCTTAAGAGAGATTGGATACGATAACTCATTTTGTACGTCATTGATTTTCTCCAGAGAATAAATGTTTTCAATATAAAACAAGATGAGATACTGTTGTAGCTCAGATAAGTATCGAGTTATAAAAAATCTATTTGCAATACAAGCTTTTAAAATTCCGAGATAATTTAACGGGACGTACGCACACGCATGCACATACCCAAGTAGTCGTATCTATGAAAATACACGTAAGGCTATTCGTCATCTAGAAATAAACAGGCGAAGGTAATAATCGAAATAGAATTATAGCACTTGAGTGTGTCGTAACCATCTGCTTTGGCAGGTTCGAGCTGTCTTTGGCCCAAAGGATTTATAAGAGATGTTCAACGCGTCTCTAAATATTACTCTATGTATGAACAAGGGCTATGTATTCATACTATTGATGTATATGTGTTATTTTTAACACAACAGATCTGTATAAACAACAGTCTGTCCATCCTCAACAGCATTGTAAATATTATAGGATCAGACGTCAATCAGTCGGAATAATGTAAGCTCTTCCGTTTTTATTTCTGCGGTCTCTTTATTAAACGCGTTTAAAATAACTTTGTATTCATTTGGATTATAAACTGTGAAGCAAATTGATTATACAATACTATAAAATCATTCTTTAAAAATACCTTATTTAATATATGTAAACTTTCAGAATAATGAATTCTTACAGATGTATTAAATGGGCGAATTTCATTAAAGTAAAATCGATTGTTATTGATTGAGAAGTTAAAATTTGGTTTAATAACGATTTTAGTTAAAGTATCCGTACAAAGAAGTTATGTTTATTGAATAACTTTTAGAGAGTTTTCTCTTGATTTACTTTTTTTTACGACATGTTAAAATATTGCATAGAATGAGATTTCTCGATTGACTTTCTTATTGAATAATGATGTCATATGCCTTTTATTTTATCCAAGAAATGCTAGCTAAGGTTAGGTAATAATTTTAATCTATGAGCCTCTTTTAGCTTAATTGCCCTTTTCTCTTTTTTTTTTTTATTTTGCCTTGAATATATAGCATGATATATTTTTATCGTTTTATACATTAAAAAAATGGCTTTTGTTATTTGGTTTTTGATTCTTTTTTTGGTTACACAAAAGGGTGGTTTTAACATAGATGTGTTTGTATAGTTTGTTAATTTAAACAAAAAGTTAAGCCCATTAATAAGAGTAACATTTTGATTTAAGTATATATGTATAAGACGATGAAGATTTTATATATATTAAGGAAATTTTATGTTTAGATGAAGCATTTTAGAATTCTCCCGAAATACCTGCCAAAAATGCGTCAACCTGCTAGATGTGATGGTAGGAGGTGACGACGGATGTTGTCTTGGCCGTGTCATTTAGAGATTTAGAGAGTGGTGATTTATTTTAAGATATATCGAAGGTTATATATTAAATGGTTCATATATGTATGTGACTATGTACAAGATAAATGGAATAAGATCCTCGCTAATGTGTTTGTTTTATCTTGTAAGCTGGAGCCGAATCTCCTTTATCCCGAATTAAATATTAGGGTATAGCCAGTGTTTCGAGAAGTCGTACAATTTGTTATATAGTGAAAATACTAGCATATTCAGTTTTTATATTAAAATATAATTTAAACGGATAGCAAATTAATATTTGATATTAATTCTGAGCAAACGAATCTATCTTCACAATATTTAATGACTTTGTCTTCGAGATTATCTCTTTGATATTTTTCACATAATATCGAATAAATTGAATTCGTACACTTCACTTCTCGTAACACTGGCTCAAGGTGAATTCACGCAGACATCTCTACATCATCGAATATAACACTTCATAGAACATCCGTATGGACTAAATCCAATATATCACTGGAATCACACGTACACATATCACAGTCCTTTGACACAATCACGTCTTCAAGACTTACCGTATCACTAATCACTTGGTCCCAATAGTTATGATAATATTTGTTGTACTATCCGATGAGGTTAGCGCGCCCCATGAGGAGTGCGTCGTGTTTGTGGCGCGCCGAGCGTGGGATCCAAACACCGCTGTCTTTTATAAGCTCCGTCCGAGTAACGGGCGAACTGCCAGCTTCTTTAACTCTTACACAATCAATGTTATCTTATACATATGTGTCATAAGACTCAAATTGCAACTTGTTGCAACCCTGAAAAAAGTACATTGTCATTGTATGGACGTCGAACACTGCTATCTCTTAAGGTAATCTACATATAAATTGGTGGCTGAAGAAATGTAAGTACTAGGAGTTTTCAGGATTTATAATACCAGAAGCTCCTGAAGGCTAATATAAGTAATTTTGTATTACATTATCTGATTATGTATTTAAATTTTTTGAATAATAAAAATGTTTAACAATATTTCTGTGATAATAACAATTGACCTTTCGCATTGTCTGAGTGACTTGAATTTAGAAACTTAAATACAATTTTTGTTAAAACATTCCTTTTTTTTAAACTTTTAACTTAATTTTTAATTTGATAACTCACTGTGTACAACTTTCTTTATACACAGTGTTTTACGCAACCTGCTACGAAACTTCATCTACGCCGTAGCAGGACTAAATACATCACGGAACAAAACTCCAAAACCAATATAAATTATTAAGGGTACAATAATAATATTTATAACATTTCCAAAACATTATAAAATAAAATTATGCTACATCTAAATGATAAAATATATGACAATGATTTAATTTTTTTTATATAATTTCTTAGCTTTTATACTATTTTTTGTCTACCAAATAATATAATAGAAAAATATATATAATAATATCGAAAAAGTTCCTTTATTAACATTTGGTAAATACCAATTATTCAATATTATGTAAAAGGTAATTAAAAGAGAGAGTATGTTGTGGATGAATTTAATATTATCACCAGCTAAGAGCTAATAATACAAATTCGGAAGAAACTTCAGAAGACACAGAAGTATTGTTACTGAGCTTATCTCTGTAAAGAACCATTATTATGCTACTTTACCATACACTTGCATTTTTGTTAAGATTGTTAATTTCAGATACTTTTTGCGGACATTAATACCATATTATTCCTATATACAAGCAAACAAGAAACACTTTTGGTGTGGTTGTGAATGGTTTAAAATCTCTTGCAATATCTATTGGCAACAGACTTTTTCCGAATAAAATTAAGTTTGAAAACAAGAGACATATAGCTTTGTTATACAACCTCGGATCATATTAAGAAGCTTGCACTGACTCCTGATGAACATTTTTCCTTAAAGAGTATCTGTTTATACACACTAATATTTATAGACCACAGTTTCGCTTGCATAGTCCCCTTTTCTACCCCTACTCAAGTATGATGATATTTGCTATTTGGATACGTCCAAGAAGCTACATTCTAAGTAAAACAAGATCACCTCCTGAATTTATGTGGCAAAATTGTTTTCGGATTGTGCATTGGACATGTAGTTAATTTTTTACGTCAATTCAATAAACATCTTCTTCGCCTTTGCCAGTATATGTATGCCTTTACAATTTTTCCACTTCCTAAATTTGCAATGATTCCGTTATGTCTCATCTAGTAACAGCCCTAAGCCTCCTTGTGAGAAGATTTATTCATTAAACACCCCCCCCCCTTCCAACTTCAGTTTCTCAGATAATTTTGTTACTGTTAATGTAGCGTGGTTGTAAAATACTTATACAGCAGTATAACACTTACTTTTATATAACTAGTACTTTCAAATGGAGTTTAAAACTTTTTTAATTGTCTACAAAGTGATTTTATTTATTTCTAGGTATTATATTTGATTGCTAGTCGAAGTTCGAAGTAAATGTTCGTATACAGAATATAATATTGTGTATTGTTTAAGTTTTTCTTTCAAATTTTAATATAGATTGTAAATTCCACTTTCTCAGTCTAATAAGTAGTTGAAAGAGATCTGCGAAATTGCTTGGTCCATTTTATCTCCAATTAGTTTTACTGTTTCTTTATATCTGTTGATCATAAAATATAAATTCAAATGGTATTTTTCCTCATTAAAATATAATCCGATAGTTCCAGAATGGTTCATATTTAAATTCAAAAATCAACATTAAATCAGAATAAGGTTTTTTTTAGATCTAGTCAGGAACAAATTGCCGTTGGGCAGTCTTTGAAGATTATACAGATAATATTATAACGATTCCATTCGTCATTGATAGAAAGGTAAGTGATAAATAAAGATAGTTTTTATTATGAAAAACGCTTACTATACAACTTCCGTCAGATATTAAGGAAAATCTACGAGCACTGGAACTTCACAAAAGGAATATAGATGATAACTATAAGTTGAATAAAATATGGTTAATCCTTTACGATAACGTCCGTAATATTCGACTTCGAAGGACAGCATATATACTGGTTAACATATAAAAATAGGTAAAGGAAGTTAAAAGGCATTTCATTCTTGCGTTTTAGGTAACCGGGATATCTCCGCAAGATATTGACTTAAACAGCCCTTATTTCTCTCGAGAACTGTATGAAACTCTGGTAAAATCGAATCACTTTTTCAACAGTACGGCGTTATAGTCAGAAGTTTCGGTATTTCATTAGTTGCAAAAGGTTTTTCTTTTGGTTATGAATTTATTATTTTTTGTTAATTACATAAATTAACTTTTTTCTGAATGGAAAATGATATTAAAAACTCTTTCAATTCTTAGACGTCTGCATATGTAGTTTACAAACGTGTCAAATAACTAGACAAACGACTTTCAAATAAGCTTTCCATGTGTCCAAACCGTTTGAAGTGGAATAAAAACTTTTGTGTTCATAAACAAAGATGAAACAAACCTTCACTTCAGCAGAATACATATTACGGTAGTGCATGTAAACTATGTTACGTGGGAATAACATCTTGAAATGTTAATTCACCTATGAGTGACGATAACAATACCGCCGAAAATATATTAAAATGTAATAATGCATAGATAATACCGTCAGTTTCATAAATCAATGAATATTCTTTTTATTTTTCTTCTAAAGTAGTATATTTTGAATTTAAGATTTTCAGGAATAAGAGTATATTTTTGTAAAAAAAAGAGTATGGATGAAACATCAGTTACTAAATCCGAAGTGCATAGTTTTCTCGACTATAAAATTTCTATTTTTATATAAAGCCAGCTAGCTGCGCCTCGTAACAATGAGATTGTATGTAAAAAAGGTTTTTTTGAATTTTTACGAGCTCCAAAGTCTGCCCACTTGTGGTGATGTAATATTCAGTGAAAATTTGAAATGTATTCGTAATAATGAATGTATATACGATCTTAACAAAGAGCATATAGTACAAAGTACATAGTAACAACAAATTATTGTAAAGAAAAAAATAATGGAAAGTGGAGAGTTTTAGAAATTTCTTTATCATTTATCAGAAAAAAGATAATTATTTGATTTGGTTTTAACTACAACATGTATAAATACATTCATGTACTTATTTCCGACGTATTTCTATTTTAACTTAAATGTGTATAAGCTTTATTTTATTTATAAAATATAAGTTCTAGATATTTTAAGTTGGTTTCATTTAAATTAATACTCGCGAAAGACTTGGATCCCATCCCGTTATTTTACTTTTTGGTTAAAATGTCATATTCTTATTTCTTCCCTTAGAGACTTACAGCGACTTATAGATTATTTTAGTCTCTTTGAAATTTGATTGATAGAGTAAGGTATTAGGTATTTCAAAGCTCTTTTTCCCTACAGGTATTATAACTAACTGCTAGTAGTAGTTTGACTTGTCTATAAATTAAGAAACTTGTTTCAGGATTTCATTGAAATATGCTTCGAATTTCGACTAAATCACCCTTTTTGTGGACAGGGTGGTATCTCTCCGATCGACCTAACTCATGTTCGAGCTGCATTTGACCACAGCTAGGCTCTACCACTTTAGAGAAATTGTCATATAAGGATTTGTATACTATCAATGTTCATACATTCGTATGTATTATTAAAGACTAATGGAAACCGAACATATCGTTCCTGGTGCTATATGATATATGTAAGATAAATTAGCTAACTAATTTTGATTTGTTAAACTTTCTTTTATGTTTATATTTATATACTTATTATGTTATTTACCCTAAAACACCTGTTGTTGTCTACAATTCTATAATTTTACTAAAATGTATATTTTTCAGTAACGTAGTCGAAAGACAAGACGAGCTTTTAAATTTTCAAATTTTGTGGAGATTCGGCTAATACCTAATCAATTTGTTATTATTCTTATCTAAATAGATTTTCTTTTATGATTGAATTTCGATAAATGTTGTTTATAAATCAAATATTTCTATTTAAGCTCGTTTTTTTAAATAAATTAGCCGTATTATTTGTATATTATGTCGTTTAATCGCATATTTTATTTTAAATCATCTCACTAAGTTTAAAATAAGATATGTAAGAGAAAATTAACACTAAATATTTTCCGATATGTAATTAAGTTGTAGCCTAATGAAGTGCTTTTTAAAAATCTATATTTTAAAATCAGCAATGAAGTTTCGATACACCTTTTACACGTCACTCGGTTAAATGTAATGCCAAATAATGTTATTTGTTACGTAAAGCATTCTTTTAAATTAGGGTTTTTCAACCTTATTCGTACCACAGCTCTTTTAATATGAAGAAATATGTCGCGATCCCTACCCTTTTTTTATAATTAATATTAAATCCAATACATTTTTATTAAGTATGCCTTTTAGTTAAGATTTTTCTTAATAAATCTTTATAAATGTTATTGTTTCTGTTTTCCTATTGTAGCTTTCCAACCTTTAGCAACTTTAGTATAAAATCTTCGCGACCCTCTTGGAGGTCGCAACCCACAGGTTGGGAAACCCTGACTTAAATTAATAAATTTAAGAAAATATATCTAAATAATTAATTTTCTTTTCCAGTTTAATAGTTAGCTATAGATCTAATTCTCAATAATGTTTAACAAAAAGAATAATCTGTGCGCTAGCATGTTAAGTATAAAATAAATGTATTGAGCAAATAATTTATTTAAATCAATTTGTGATCTCGTTTGTTCAATTTATTTCAAAACAGAACCTCATATAACCGAGAAATAGAAACTGCCCATCAATATGTCAGATTACGCTCCAGTTGTTTGTTGAAAAATAACTGAAATAATCATTATTTAATTTATGATACTTTTAATGTAGTACAAGGTTTAAACAAAAATTGTTTATTTTTAAAATAAAATGAGAATAAACGAACATTATTATCATGTTTTCAAACAACATTAAAAGTATTATGAATATGGTTTTATGGAGATATTATAGTTTTACTAATTTTATCATCTTTGTGTCGTGTAGGCAATCCTTTGGGTGAAAATTGAAGGTCTAGATGACTGTTTAAGCAAACAATCATTCTAATATATTTGTCACAAGTTTTATAGTAACTCGTAATAAAGACTCACAAGCTTTAACAATTAAAAGGTTGTTGACACTACTTTAATGTTTTTATATCTTTAGTAAACATAAATTACTGGTGGATTAAATAAAAAAATCTTCTCTATTTTCACAATAGCAATTACACATACAACTGAAA